TTTATCAGAGTGTTAAAATGGCTTAATTCAGTGTACGTGTGGGATACGAAGGTTACCTAGAACTTAGCTATCTATCGACCTAATCGGAAACGTTGTTTCTGGCCATGCGTGCAGATGCCGTCTTTTGTTGCCTCATGCTCCGTATTGTGTGTATCGTTTCTTCTACGTACTTTTGTACTCTTCAATCATACATAAACTCACCTACACTCTCACTGTCTCTTCCTCTTATCTACTCACAGATATCACTTACTCTCTATTGTCCGTTACAGACATTGAGCGAGATTGAGAGAGAGTGGAGAGTGAGATAGAGAGAGAGAGAGAGAGAGAGAGAGTGAGAGAGTGAGTGTGAGTGTGAGTGTGTGATAGAGTTACGTATTCTCTCGCATTTTCATGTATACACATATATATATACACACATACACACTCTCACACTATCTCTCTCTCGTATATTTAGGGTGTGAGTTGCACGAGTGCGATCGTTCGTGCGGGTGTGCGTGTGTGTGTATTTGACACCTGTAACAACCCCCACATAAACATACATAGATTTCCACACACTCATACCCACTCCCCCTCTTTCTCTCTCTCTCTCTCTCTCTTTCGTTTGAGAGAGAGAGAGAGAGAGAGAGAGAGAGAGAGAGAGAGAGAGAGAGAGAGAGAGAGAGAGAGAGAGAGTTTGAGATCAAAACAAGTCCCAAAAGGCAAAAGCTTTGACATATCAATTAGACCAAACAGATCTCTAAACTCGAAAATCACAGACAGGAGGACAAAGACCGTATGTTACCAGTTCCCGATCACGAGGATGATTGAACCGACAAGTAGAGCCAAATCTACAAAGTCCAGTTCTGATGTAATAAGAACAGTCAGGCTCTCCTGGTCGTTCAGGGTAGGAACCAGTTTCCATAGTTTCATCCGAACTCAAATTCATTTGCCACATTGCATCTGATCAGAACCCCCAACACCCCAAAACAAGAAGAAATTGAGATTAAACCCAATCCGCCAATAACCAAAATAAAAACTTTTCCGATCAAAACAGAGAAAAAAGAAGAGGAAGAAAGTGAATGGACCTTGATTCATCAAAGGTGAGAGAGAGGACATGGGAACTCCGGCATTAAAATCCATAGACGTGAAGAAGAAGAATGTCTCCGATGATGATGATGATGGTGGTAATAAGCATCAGACATTATACTGTCATCACTCTCAATGATTCGCAGATAACCGATCTTCTTCCGACAAGAAAATGGAGTGTAGAGAGGTAAATGACAATGGAGGAGGAAGAAGACATAGAAGAAGAAGAAGAAGAATCGTGTAAACAGAGAGAGATGTGAGAGGAAGTGAAGAGAGAGACGAAAAGCAAAAAAGCGTTCTCGTCTCACCTCCACACAAATGAAACAAGAAATTTTCTGAAAACAAAATTAATTATTTCAAAGTTTATGTGAATGCTATGACGGATATACCCCTACTGATTTTTTTTTCTGTAAAGACCAGAGAGTCTGCCAATTTTTATTTTATCTTCTCCACCAAAATTGGACGGTAGAGAACACGTCAGACACTTTTTATTATCTTTTGTCCTTTTCCATGTGGTTTAATTCATTCATTTAATATTATTAGAGACATTGAAATTATGTAAAATCTCCTAAAAATGTTGAAAAGGACAAATCTGCTATTGTGCCAGAGATCATCAACCTGTGTTGGAAGTTGGAACAGATTAAACGGTCCACAATATTGGGTTCGATGGTTCTTAAACCGAATTTGAACCGAGGCGATTCCTGATATAAACACAAAAACCGAACCACAAACTTAAAAAGCAGTACCAGACATACATATGCTAGATTCTGTTACACTTTGGTTACAAAAATCTTTAACTGAAACGCCAAAAGGCAAAGATTAGGTATACTGAGCATGTGAGTAAACCTTGCTATGTGTGTACCTTCACACGTTTAATAGCTAATCTTGATTGGGTTGAAGCCTTGCTTTGGCTCTTTCGAGAGCCTTTAGTCTATTAGCTTCCATACGTACTCTCTGTTCCTCGGAAATGTTCTGAGCTTTCTCCATTGCCTTCAATCTATTTGCTTCCATACGTTCTCTTTGCTCTTCTGTCAGTTCCCTGCTTTTATCCATGTTTTGTTCATCTCCCGGTAGCCTCGAAGCATTATCAAAGATCTCATTCAACATACTGTCTTGAAAAGCATCAACATTGGCATCAGCATCAGCGTCAACATCAGTGCTCTTCGATGGTATGTTCTCTTCGTCATGACTTGGCTGATCCGTATCTAGGTTACCTGCAAAAGACTTTTTCATTACTTACATGATTGTAATGGAGTAACAGAAATTGAGCTTAAGTGGAATGAAGCCAAACTAGAAGCGTTTTCCTTTTCATATCAATTTTCAAAACTTATATAGCCAACCAAGTTCCAAGATTATCCAGCATTGAGAGAACAAAGAAGATTCAAGGGAGAAAAGCTGATCTGTTTGACATACCTTGATCATCATAAGGACCAGTATTGTCTTCCGGCTTTTCGTATAACTTGTTTGGATCAACTCCGCTGGCAACCCTTTCTCGCAGTTCGTTTATACAATTCTAAAAGGATAACAAATCAGTATTGTATCAGATATAAATGCAAAGCCAACATATCAATTGAGTAAACTTATCAGTGTATCAAGTACAAAAATGCTAAGGCAGTATAGTTATTAGTTACTGGCTTTAGGTAAAGTAAAGACAAAGGTATGAGCACAATGATCATAACCGCCTAACACGTCCCCAGATTCTAGTATAATTGGAACTTAAAAGCAACACACGATCCCTGACCAAAGAAGGAGACGAGCAATGTAGTTCTGATTTCAGTAATCTTGACAATCCACTGATTGTATACAATCAGTGGATATATTTTCAGCCGTCAAATCGAGATTCATCACTTTCAAAAATCACCATAAGGATGAAGGAGAATCCAAGGTGCATAACAAAATCAGAAAGAAAGGGTGGAGCTATGTGTGTACCTTGACACGTTTAGTAGAAGCGACTTGTTGCACTTTATGCACAAATTGATCAAAGGAATAATAAGGTAGCAAATGAGAGTGCCACTCACTGTACAGCCGTATCAAATTTCCCAAATCGCTCACCTATATAAATGATTCATATAATCCAAATTATATCACAAAATCCACAGCTGAATCAAAATTTCAAAAAAAAAAAAAAAGATAGAGAGAGACTTGCCTCTTTGCCACGGCCACGATACTTGAAGGATTTAGGGAAATAGCGAAGAACATAGCCGAGGCCATCCTCAGAGAGAAGCAATTCAGGAGTAAGCTTGGGCCTTTGAACTTTCGTCTTCGTCACTTTAGGAACAGGCCCTACGGAGGTTCCACTTTTCTTGGAGGATCTCTGATAGTCATTACTAGGGATCTGAGATGGAGCGGAAGAAGAAGAAACGGTATTATTGCCGGCGACCGGAGCCGATGATGGGCAATCGCGAGACCAGTGACCGGGACGGCCACACTTGAAACATCCCGTCGGAGCTGATTCCATTTTTTCACCTTTGGATCTCTTTCTCTCTCTCTCTCTCTCTCTCTTTCTCTCTCCCTCTCTGTTATCATTCAACCTTCCAAATCACATCTTTGGCGGCTTTTCTTTTTTTTCTTTGGCGGGACAATTAGATGGGTCGAAGCAGGCGGGTATTATCCGACCCGGTTTTTATATTGGTCATTACGCACTAGGCCCAATAAATTAAAGGCCCTATTGTTGTAATAATACCAATCTAATCACATAATGGTTTAGTAGTCTGTTCTGGGACAGATTAATCCACCTAGGAGCGTAAACTATTTATTAACAGGTTTTTAAAATTAGATTTTACAGAAATCTTAAGGAGAAGAATGGTTCTCCATGCTTTCGGGAGAAAGGTAAAACATTTTTAAAAAAATTAGCGGTGGCTTGGATTTGTCTACTTCATCTTCTTCCTCTCTTTCCCCTTTCATTTTTTCCCTTGTGTTTTTCTTTTTTTACGTCGGTCCTTCAATCTCCATGAAGGACCCGACCAATTGCTAATTTGTAAACAATATTTTTTTGTAGAAAACTTCCATCTTTACTCTGTTTCTATTTTGTTTTGGTAAATTATAAAATTGATTTTCGATCATCATGCATTGTTTTCCATGTTTCTCTTGTCCAAAAAACAAAAAATCTTCAACTACAAATGAGACTAGCGACAACGAATTAAGACCACATGGTATGTATATCCTAGTATTGAATCCTTTTTTTATTTTTCTTGTTTATATTAATATTTTCTTGTTTTTGAAGAGAGGAAACGGCCAGAGGAAACAGAGCAATCTGAAGGGATGACGTTGAAGACATTCACTTTCCGGGAACTAGCGACCGCGACAAAAAATTTCCGACAAGAATGCTTACTAGGAGAAGGTGGATTCGGTAGAGTTTATAAAGGAACCCTTCAATCTACTGGCCAGGTTCATTTTCTAAACTTGCTCTAAATTGAAGTTAGAATTAATTATTTGGGATATGATTCATCACCAAAGTTAGATATTTAGTGTGATCCCTCATTATAATTATGTTTATTTTGGGAAATGTAGGTGGTGGCTGTAAAGCAATTAGACAAGCATGGATTGCATGGGAACAAAGAGTTTCAATCTGAAGTTTTATCGTTAGGCCAACTTGATCATCCAAATCTTGTTAAGCTTATAGGGTATTGCGCAGATGGAGATCAAAGGCTTTTGGTCTATGAGTATATATCTGGAGGTTCACTTGAAGAACATCTTCACGGTATTAGATTGAGAGATTCTTATCCAACACATGTTATACGTTTTAGAACATGAAAAGGTAGGGTTTTTAATGTTCGTTTGTATAACCAAAATCAGGCCATGAACCGATGGATTGGACTACTAGGATGCAAATAGCGTATGGCGCAGCGCAAGGGCTTGATTACTTGCACGATAAAACAAATCCACCTGTGATATACAGAGATTTGAAAGCTTCAAACATTTTGTTAGATGATGACTTTTCTCCTAAGCTTTCTGATTTTGGTCTGCATAAGCTAGGACCAGAGACAGGTGACAAGATGATGGCTTTCTCTTCTCGAGTAATGGGAACTTATGGTTACTCTGCACCAGAGTATACACGAGGAGGAAATCTCACTATAAAATCAGATATCTATAGTTTTGGAGTTGTGTTGCTTGAGCTCATCACGGGTCGAAGAGCTCTTGATACCACTAGGCCTAATGATGAACAAAACTTAGTTTGTTGGGTAAGTAATAATAATCTATGAAAATTGTTCCTTTTAAAAATCATATATAATTGCTTACTTTCTGAACAATTCTTGATATCGCAGGCACAACCGATATTTAGAGATCCTAAAAGATATCCGGATATGGCAGACCCGATGCTAGAGAAGAAATTCTCAGAGAGAGGGTTAAACCAAGCAGTAGCAATAGCTTCAATGTGTGTTCAAGAGGAAGCGGCAGCTCGTCCTTTGATAAGTGATGTAATGGTGGCCCTTAGTTTCCTTTCAATGGCAACAGAAGATGGAATTCCAACATCAGTTCCTATCTTGTCTTTCAAAGACAAGAGTATGTCTATTGCCTTAAGTAGGCATGATTCAAATCGTCTTTCTCCCCCTCCGGAGATAGCGATGGAAGATGACAAATCCAGTACATCATCAGACGAAGAATCATCTTTGGACAGCGAAAAGGAGAGTGTGAGTAAGAAGAAGTATAACAAGAAACACGAAGAGGAAAACAACTCAATAGAATCTGATGATGGGTCTGATTCTCATTCTGAACATGAGAAGGACCAAGATAGTCTACCACATGATGAGAAGAACCAAGCTCAAAGCTTGAAGATAAAATATAGATATAGCTGGGAGGATATAGATGTCAGTGATGAAAGACTAAGCAGCCAAAAATCAAGTGACGTAAGCACTTCTTCATGCTATGATAGTGATATAAATCATGACCATGGTTTGCTTAGGAAGCATGAGAAAGAGGAAGAGGAAGAGCATACTCATTTTGAGCACATCCACAGCTCAAAAACTGATGATGATGATCAAAGTGTTTACTTCGATAATGATGATGATTCAAAAGATAACAATGGAGGCTCTTTGCAGCGAATAGAATCAAATGTTGAGATTGCTTCCTTTGAAGATGACAATGGAGGAGATTCTTTGCATCATATAAAATCAGAAGTTGAGGTTGAGTCTGATTAAGAGTGACGTTTTCAAAGTTTTTTATCCATCCATTGAAACTCACAAAAGAAGTTTAAATATTCTTTTGAGTTTATTGTTTTGAGAAAAAACTATTAGTTGGGGTATATAATATGACATACATACTGAAGTTTTTTCTTAACAAATATTAACCATCTCTCTTTTATGTATGATGAAGATGTTTGGATTGCTAGATAAAAGAAACAAGTTGTATTAAATCATATGATTTGATTGAGAAAACAAATCTCATCTTTTGTAATCTCCCCTTAACCATTGCTTCTTTTGAAAAGAATGTTAATGTTTTTTTCTTTAAACATACCATAAAAACAAGTGTGATGATAATACCATACCATCATCTTATGAGAAAATGTGAAATTCTAATCTTAATAATTAAACTTATCCCATGACTAATATATGATCAAAGATTAGATTAAAGGAAAGGAAATTGTCATTATATTAGTATCATTATATTTATCTAAAAGGGAAAGAATAAGATACTTTAACTGATAGGATAAACATAAATACATTATATATCCTAATTACAGGATTAGTCTTTGGATTTTCCATGAATTCGTCAACGAAGACAATTGTCAAAAAGTTATTAGTCTTCAGAATATTGTGAGGCCACTTAGGTTTACTTTTCTTTCATTGATTCGACCACTATACTTAATTTTACAAGAATTTTAATTTTGTTCCTTACCAAAAAATAAAAAAGAATTTTAATTTTGTTAGACAATGTGTTTACGTAAGGATTGACTAGCGAAAAAAAAAGGAGAAGAAAGTGTTTAGATTCGGACGAATTGTCAGCGGTGAGGATCTAGTAAACAAGCAGAGAAAACGACACGTGTCAGGATCTTGGAGATTCCTAAAGTGAGAGCCTAGGTCCATCCCTAAAATCCTTTTTTAAGGTTTTTCCATTTTTTAAAATATTTTGTTCAAAGCAAATCCCAAAGGAAGAAGGAAGGATCCTAAAAAAACAGAGTCCGCTTTTCAAAGTTGTCTCCTTTAACAAACCAACCCCACTTGACCCCTTTCTCCTCTCTATAAAAACTCTTTCTTTCTTTCGTTCCTTCTCATATCAATTCCCATCACATCTTTGGTGTCTTGCTCTGTTTCTCTTCTTTAACCTCTCTGTTTCTCTTGATTTCGATGTGTTTGATTATGGAATCGGATGAACACAACAGCGACGGTGATGTTTTAGCCCCGCCGTTTAACTTCTCCATGGTTGAAGATGGAATTTACCGATCTGGGTTCCCTCGACCTGACAATTTCACTTTCCTCAAAACCCTAAATCTTCGTTCCATCATGTAAGTTTTTTTTTACTATCTTCTTTCTTTATATACTTGTCTTTGATTGCTTTGGATTAATAATGGAATCGTTTGTTTGATTTACCAAAACAGTTATCTGTGTCCTGAACCATACCCAGAGGAGAATCTCAAGTTTCTTGAGGCTAACAACATTAAGCTTTTCCAATTTGGTATTGAAGGCAAAACGGTGCGTTTATTTGTTCCCCTTGACCGCTCGCTCTGTGTTGATGATCATCAATAATTTCCCTTTATCTTTTTTCCTGACGTCGACTCGTTTGTGAATTTGCAGGATCCTCCTACTCCTATGCCCAAAGATACAATTTTGGATGCTCTCAAAGTCTTAGTTGGTAAGGATTCTAACAACACTTGAGTAATAATGTCTGCAGTCTCTTGTTAGTGTTTTGTGAGTCTTTAAAGTAGATTACTTTTGTTTCTCTGTAGATGTAAGAAACCATCCAATTCTCATTCATTGCAATCGGGGAAAGGTAATTTACAATTTAGCCTTATCTTCGTTATTCATTACAGGACACTCATGGTTGGTTTTTGCTTTTGTCTTTTTAGTCTTGAACAGTATACTCTTTTGGTGGTCTGTTTAGGAGAGATTTAGTTTATGCAGAGTATTATACTCTCTTTGGTCATTGGTTATTTACAGGAGACTCATGATTTCAACTTTAATACGATTGCAGCATAGGACAGGTTGTCTAGTGGGATGCTTAAGAAAAGTTCAGAGCTGGTGCTTATCATCGGTGCTCGAGGAATACCAGAAGAACGCGGGTATAAAGTGGAGACAAATGGACTTGAATTTTATAGAGGCGTTTGATACAGTGAGCTTGAGAAAGTGTCTCTTGAGCATCATGTATCGCTATCACGGCAAGAGGAGGAGGTTAGCGTATGAAGAAGAAAATGTCCAGACACCTAAACCGCAGGCTGCTAAAGTTTAAAAAGAGAGCAACCAAGTGCCGATATATCTCAGGTTTTAATATTGAGTTCCGATTCAATGGTGACTGGATGATTCTTTTAGGAGGATATGTTTTAATTAACCGCAAAGTCTACAAAGTTTGATTTTTCTTTTGTTTTTTTTATAAGAAATCGAAATGTACAGATAGGGTTATTCTTCATTACAAATTGTTGCAGAAGGGGTTGTTTTAACTTTGATGAATGTTTAAGTTGTAAAATTAAAATTAAAATATTCTTTAATAAAAGTTATTACACCATGTAAACTTTGCAACCACGATATATAATATTATCTGATTCATGTTCAAAGAACTGAATGTTGAAAGATCAAAATGTGGGTAGTATACTTTCGTTATAACTTATAAGATAGATCAATTATTAAGAAAAGGAGAAAACAGAGGAGGTTAAGAGTATCGAGTCAGCATCTAAACCATGTGCACTGGAGGACAAGGTTTCTGACTATCTAGCACATGTGTTCGGAAAAGTATTTATGTTATTAAAGATGATTAAAGATAATCCAATTTGATTAGCACTATTTAACTTATAAAAAGCCTTATTCTTTCCACATACAAAAGATATTATATATCCAATTAGCATCAGTCTCCTCCACGTGATTGAACCATCTCATCGGCACTTATAGAAAAAGTGTGCAAACTATAATTGACATTTTCAACGTAACACCAACATTGACAAAGAATAACAAAATGTCTGTCGGTAGCACTCAGAAACTAGGAATCATCACTTACCTAGAAATCATCACTGACCTAGATTCATCACTTCAGAGTGACAATTACTCACTCATTCTTATAATTGTAGAACTAGGAAAATTTCATGCCTTTATATCTGAGAAATGACGTGCTTTGCAAATCATCCTGACCTATCAGTTTCCGCTGTTTATGTCTGAATAGAAACAGAGTAGTTGATTTTAAAACAAGAAGATGTCTGCGCATTGATGCGCTCTCAGCTTCAGTTGGCAACAAACTTCAAGCTCCTTAATCCTAACTCACAAATTAGTTAAACCACACGAGTTTGCAGAATTACAATAAACAACACAATCCTATGCTTGCTTTACTTAAGACCACTCTCTTCTTTATCAGCACAGATTCATATGCCCTTAAAATGTAATACCAAAACAAATAAAACATAGAGACTAAAACTACAAAGCTTATACCAAATGACTCTAGTATGAGAAAGTGTCAATTGACACAGTTTATTGATAATGAACTCCCCTCAAATTTTCGGAAAATAGCAGATAACAAGTATGAGATCATAAAAAAAAGGTAGAAACCATAAGCATCATCAACAACATGATTCATTTGGGGGTAAAGAGTAGCAAAGTCATAATCTTTTAAATTTTCACAAAAAAATGATACATAGGGGTTACTTCTTCAAGCTTCCCCTGATACCAGGTTTAGGTTTTGACTCAGCAACTGGTGCTAAAACAGCATGGAGATTCACGAGCTTTGATTCATCATAAGTGAGCTTAGGATGCTTGGATTCGTGATGGATCTGCATAGTCTTTAGATCCGGAGCCGTAATTTTGCAGTGAGGACACTCGTACTTAGCGTGACCTCCTTTCTCTTTTCCGGTCCTGTCAGCGATTCCAGCTTTTCCTCCTCCTCGATTCGTCAACGCAGCATCGATCTTCGCTTGAATCTCCTTCGCCGTGTGCTTCTTCGGCTTCGCCTTACCAGTCATCTTCAACGGCGGCTACGAAAAGGGATGATTTTGCCAGGAAGGGAGAAGCCCTAACCCTAACCCTAACCCTAATTGTGCTCCACTCTTCTGATTAAGACGCGAGAGCCGATCTGAATATATATACTAACTTTATTTTAAAAAATGGAAATAATCTTATCTGCTTTTGTTAGAAGGGTTTTGGTCGTATGCGGAGAGGTTCATGGTAATAACTGTGGACCTTTGATAAAAATAAACACAGAAAGGTGGAACGCATCAGTCATCACCACATGCGCACAACCACTACCAATGTCTGCTTCTTCTTTATTTAATCTCCCGTTGATGCGCCTCAGATCTCTCGCTCTTTCGTCGTCTTCTTCTTTCCAGTTTTCACATCGTCCTCTATCATCGATCCGATTCGTTCTTTCACCGGGAAAGTTACCAAATTTTCGTGCTTTCTCCGCTACCGCTATGACAGATACTAAGGATGCTGGGATGGATGCTGTTCAGAGACGTCTCATGTTCGAGGATGAGTAAGTCTTTGATTCCTGATTCTCTCTTCTTTGGTTTCAATTTCTGGGTGTTGCCAAAATTGTACCTTTTGTCTGCAACTCGTGTTCTCTTACCTGGTTTGTCGTTATCGTTGGGTCGCAGAGAAAATGGAAGTGAAATTGACTAAATTAGGTTATGGGATTTGGACTCTCTTTCGATTAACGATGGTTCAGAAACTTACGTCTATTTATTTGTCGACTTTGATGGAATAATATATGAGTTTTAGATATAGTAATTGTTAGGGGTCTTCCATTTTTTTCCCTGTTCTGGTGGTTACTCATATCATGCAAAAAAGGTCAACGCTTTAGTGTCTTTTGTGAAAGATTTGTTTTGGGTTTTTGATGTGTAGTATAAGAAACTATACAATTGATTCATCTCTTCGTTTTCAATTTTGCTTGCAGATGCATTCTTGTTGATGAAACTGATCGTGTCGTGGGGCATGATAGCAAATATAACTGTAAGTGTACTTGGTTTGAGTCTCGTCCTATAACTTAGTGTTTTCCATTGAAATTTATTTACCATCCTCTTATGAATGAAGTCACTGAACTTAGTCACAGTTGGGGGAATCGAGATTTAACGTAGCGTGGTTGCTTTGTTTTAATATTGATCTTAGCCCTCTAGATCGCACCTTTGAGTTTCCATCACATTTCGTAGGCCTCTCTGTCAATTCGCAAACATATTATTTCTGGTTTCTATATTTGATTTCTAGTTTTTGTTGTTTCTGTTGTTGGGCGTGTTCTGGTTGTTGCATATTCACACTAGTAACATTCTCAGTGTCTACTAAGCTTGTAACTTATCCTTCCTTAAGCGTTTGGACGTATTATAGGTTACTTTACCTTCCCGTATTGTGCCAATTTAACCAGCAATATAAGATGTTGCTGCTGGAAAATAGTTGAAGAATTAGCTATCCTCTTGGTTTTCTTTAGCATATTGTTTTATCTCTGTCTATATCTTGTCCAAGATACTGATTACTTTTCAAATCTGCAGGTCATCTGATGGAAAATATTGAAGCTAAAAATTTGCTTCACAGGGCTTTTAGTGTATTTTTATTCAACTCGAACTATGAGTTGCTTCTCCAGGTATCTACATATGAGTGCTTTGAAGTCTATATAAGTCAAGTTCTACATATGAGTGCTTTGAAGTCTACTAGTCTATATAAGTCGAGTGCTGTATAAAAATGGCTCACATGCTTGTGACTAGGCATGGTTGTGTCTTTATCTAGACTCACCTTTTTGTAGAGAAAACTAAGCTCAAAAATATGGGAGGTTAGAACATAAGCTTGATTCTAGAGATTTTGTTCCACATGTTGGATGTTGCTATGATGATGGGATGCTCTAGGGATCTTCGCTGGTTGGTGGGTCTTAATAAGCTAGCTCATATGCCATCTTTTACTGAAACCTTTCCTCTTTTCAACAGCAAAGGTCAAACACAAAGGTTACATTCCCTCTCGTATGGACAAACACTTGTTGCAGCCATCCTCTTTACCGTGAATCGGAGCTTATCCAGGAAAATGCACTAGGTTGATATCTACTGGCAAAACAATTCAGTACTTATTAGTATCTATGTAGCAAACTGTAGCTTCCCTTAAACAATGAGCTAACTGTTTGTATCATACCCATCAGGTGTGAGGAATGCTGCACAGAGAAAGCTTCTCGATGAGCTTGGTATTGTAGCTGAAGATGTACCAGTTGAGGAGTTCACTACCTTGGGACGTATGCTTTACAAGGCTCCTTCGGATGGCAAATGGGGAGAGCATGAACGTATATATATATATATATATATTCTTTCTCAAGACTCTTGCTTCTCATTTACTTGAATACAATTACAAAACATTAAGCTTCTTCTGTGTTGGCCTGCCTTTTGCAGTTGATTACTTGCTCTTCATCGTGCGGGATGTGAAGGTTCAACCAAATCCAGACGAAGTAGCTGAAATCAAGTATGTGAGCCGGGAAGAGCTGAAGGAGCTGGTGAAAAAAGCAGATGCAGGTGAGGAAGGTTTGAAACTGTCTCCATGGTTCAGATTGGTGGTGGACAATTTCTTGATGAAGTGGTGGGATCATGTTGAGAAAGGAACTTTGGATGAAGCAATAGACATGAAGACCATCCACAAACTCTGAAAATTTTCTTAAGATTTTGGATAACTTTATCTTTGTCATTTTTATCTTTGTGATGATAATAATTGGGAGATGTGTTAAAGACTTTTAAAGATTCCAAGCACATCAGGCAATAAAGTCTTCATTTTTATTTGAATTCATGAATTTCTGTGAATGTTCTAACTTCTAAGCCTTGTAAACTTGAACTTTACATGGCTTTTGCGATGTACAAAAAGCATAAACAGAGGAGAAAAAGGTAACAAGGAAACAGAGTCGAAACCAGAGAAAAGGCAAACGCGAAGATTCCTTTTTTTCGAAGCCTAACCAACCCACCTTCGATTTGATCTGGTTTACATAACGTTAAAAGTCCATATTTTAATATTAGTGAATGACCAAAGCAAAGTATGTTGATGACTTTTTGTTCTCCTTTAAATAAAGGATCATCATCTTCGTTTCTCTGAGACTTGTGCACACAGAGTCTTCGTTTCTTCATCCCAGTTTCTTCTGTTTCAGGTAAATGAAATGAGATTCGATCTATTCCGATCCCTTCTATTTGTCCAGATGGATTTTGGATAAAAGTTTGTAACTTTCCTTGTGGGTCTAATCGATTGGCCTGAATATATCATCATTTTATCCAGATTAATCACTATTTTATCTTAACTTGAGTGATTTGTATACATATTACTTTTTCTGATCATAATCCTTTGTCCAGGTGAGAACAAAAATGGCGTTTGTGACCACTGCGGAAGTTTGTGACGCGAATCAAGAGATGATTCGTAGTGGCCAGCTCCGAGCTCTGCAACCCGTCTTCCAGATTTACGGTCGTCGTCAAATATTCTCAGGTCCAGTAGTTACTGTCAAAGTTTTTGAAGACAATGGCTTAATTCGTCACTTCCTCGAAGAGAAAGGTATTTTAATAATTCTTTCTAAATAAGATTTCATAAATACTGATTTTTTTTACCTTTAGAGATTATGAGCTGCCAGAGTATCATAGACATCGTTTAGATTCAATTCTGGTTTGTTACTTAGTTGTTAAATAGCTGCAATCGTTTTTTTGCTTGAAACTATGTTTGAAGAGGTTTAAGAACTACTGCGCTGCGCAGTGTTTATTCGTGTTCAATCAATTTGCAAATGGAAAATTTGTGATGAGAAAAAGGGGTGCTTCGATTCATTGTATTTAGTACAAACCAATGTGTCTCTATATTATTACATCAAAAATCAAGAACTCGTTATAGATGATGGTAGTGGTGTGATGATGAGGATACAGGATGTTAGAAATATCATATGAGTTTCACCTTTTGGCTTACCAATTTGTTGAATAGCCTAAATCAATTTAGTGACTATAGATGAAATGGGTCTTTTGAAAAACCTGTGTCTCTTTACAATAAATCAATCTGCTCTCTGTATTTTTCACATGTATAGCTCAGTAAATGTTACAAATGTTAAAAAAAAAAACAGGCAATGGAAGAGTTCTTGTGGTGGATGGTGGAGGGAGTTTACGATGTGCGATACTTGGAGGAAACCCAGTTGTACAAGCTCAGAACAACGGATGGGCTGGGATCATTGTGAACGGTTGCATCAGAGACGTTGATGAGATCAATGGCTGTGACATTGGAGTGAGAGCTTTAGCTTCTCATCCAATAAAGGCGAGTAAGAAAGGACTTGGTGAACAAAGAGTCCCTTTGAACATAGCAGGAACTCGGATTTGTGATGGTGAATGGCTTTATGCAGATACTGATGGTATCCTGGTTTCTCAGATCGAATTATCTGTTTAAAAGTTACAAGTGTTGTTGATTTTTGTTGAATCTCGAAGCTGCGGTTGAGTTTTGAGCTTTGTGTTTCTACTTTAATATCAGAGTAAAAGTTGAATCATTACCATTGAATCAGTTTGAGTTTGTGTGGAGTTAAAGAGGTTGATGTTGTTAGTACTTGGAATCACTGTTTTTCATTTTTTTTTTATTAACTGTGAGGTTGTTGATAGTTGTGGACGTAAACCATATTTGTGAACCTCTGTTTGTAGCACTAGAGCTAAAAAAAGAAGAAGAATTGGTCTAAAGAACAGAAACCAAAGATTTATAACCATTGCTTCACTTTATAATGTGTCTTTTCTAGAAGAAAGATTTCCATCTATTGGCAAAAGAAGATGGTTCAGATGCAATTTGAACCACCTAGCAGTTAATATTGTTAAGACAGCTCCAGGAGCTTCTATAACATATATGTAGAACTATAAGTACAGATCCTTGAATCATGACCAGAAGATAAACAAGCTTCACTGTTTTCCTTCACAAGTTAACGGAAATGGTGATAAATGATAATGACAAAGGACAATACGAGTTGTTGTTATACATTTTTCTGAGTTTCTGATTTAATGACTTCAAATCTGTTATCTAGAAGTTGTAACAGTGAGAAAATATTAAGCTTGAAAATGAACAAAAATGTGTGCTGGTCTTAGACTTTCCTGGTGATGGAATCTTATCAACAAGGTAGAAGAGAAAGGGAAGCTCACACAGGAGAGCCGGTGAGAACCGCTTAGCTAACAATCCGGTTTTGATGTCCGGTTTCATTTATGGCAAATCGGTTGGCAAATCATGTATGGCCTAAAGTTGGGCTTCTTCTTTTGCATGGGCCTTAAGTGAGCCGTGATAGTGGGCTTTAGACTTGATTAAAGAAGTTCAGTCTTCCGGGTCCGAGATAAATATTTTAGGGCTAACTGATATTATATTTTCCCCATTTTGGTGTTTTCTGATATTCGACGGAACCGAAACGAAACCGGCGAGACTCGAGAGAGAGTGAGAGGAGACCTTGGTTGGCGTCGAGCAAGCAGGTGATATACGGATCCCATCAATCTCTGCGGCGGCTTCAGCTCTGTAAGTGTGTAATAATGGCAGCGGAGAGATCTACCATCACTCTCGGAGGGAAAGGATCGTCTTTCACTTGTTCCTCCGTTTACAAGATTGCTTCTGGCCTCGCTAGTGTACGAATCGACTCTTCTGCGATCGAGAGATTCTCCACTAGAAACACTCCATCGGTTAAACGGCTCTCCTTTGGTATCCCTGAAGGCTTAACGGACCGAGAAACCCGAGCTTCTTTGGCTGTAATCTTAAACAAGCTCATTTTGTCGACTTCTGCTCCTCCTTCTTCCTCCACCCCTCGTTCTTTTCTCCCACTTAAGATTTTGGACATTTTGAATTCCAATGCTGAGAGTTTCGATTCCGGTGAGATTGATTTGACAGAAGGGGAAAACACTGTGTTGGAGAAGTCTTTTGCTTCGTTGATTGGACTCTGTTCTATTATAGATCACAAATCAACTTCTCTTTCCCAGATTGTGGATTCTGTTGCTGCGTTGAGTTGTGAGGTTACAAAGGCTGATATAGCTTCGTTTAGCTCGTTGGATTCTGGGGATGGGAATGGTGATAAAGATGTGATTGGTGTTGCTGGTGATCTCAAGGTTTTGCTTAACGGGTACAAAGGTACAGGCAAATTAGAAATCGAAGAGATTTCGAAAATTCCTTGGATTCACGGGAAATTCAGGTATGCGGTGAAAAGCTTGCACTCTGATGCTCGGAGAGAATTGAATTCCGGTGTTAAAGGAGGCAAAACTGGATCTGGAAACACTGGAATTGGTGAGGCTTTAGGAACAACATTGGCACCTTTGTTGACAGCCATTAAAAACTTAGGAGTATGTTCGTTCCTTCGTTCTAAGCTCTGTTTTGAGTCTATTGGGAATGAGAATCTGAAGAATGCTTTGTCTCAAGTCTTCGAGAACTGCTGTGTTGAGAATGAAAATCTAAAGAGTAGCTATAAGTTAGCTTATACTGCTCATGTGGAAGAGGATTACAGCAGGTTTGCTCATGAACTGAATGCGTCTCTGGGAATCGTATGGAGAATTGTTGGTTTGGAAGCAGTTGCTGCCTTCTTTGCTCTTGCAGGTGGAGAATTGTTTGTTCAGAAGAGGGGAGATGCGGAAAAGGAAGAGTCGAAGACCGATAAGAAAAAGAAGAAGAATGAGAAAAAAACAGTTGTGGGGAAGGGGACGAGTCTAGTTATCCAGTTTATCAAAGATAGATTGGTGAGTAACGAGGGAGCAAGTGATGTTGACCTGATGAATTATTTGAAGCAGTGGGTGGAACAAATCTTAAATCTTTTCAACCCTGAGGGTCACGGTTTTGATAGCTTCTTGGAGAAAGTGAAAGAGATTGTAGAAAGTAATGAAAACAGGAGACTTCCCAAGCTTCCAAAGGTAAATTACAATCTCAAAGATGAAGAATGTTTAGGAGGCCTCAAGTTAATTTCTGATTTGTTTGATTCTGTGACAGGGAACTCGAGATTTCGCTAAAGAACAAATGGCAGTCCGAGAAAAAGCATTTTCAATTATACAAAACGTTTTCAAGAGGCATGGTGCTACTGCACTTGATACTCCGGTTTTTGAATTGAGAGAGACCCTTATGGGGAAGTATGGAGAAGACTCGAAATTGGTTTATGATATTGCTGATCAGGTGAAACTCATCTCGGCTGCTGCAATTCCATCAGTTCCTTTGAAAATAATTTGTCAAAATTTTATGCTCAACTGAATATATTTAATTGCAGGGTGGAGAGCTCTGCTCTTTACGGTATGATTTAACTGTTCCATTTGCACGGTATGTCGCTATGAATGGAATCACATCATTCAAAAGATACCAGATAGCAAAGGTATACAGAAGGGATAATCCATCGAAAGGGAGATACAGAGAGTTTTATCAGTGTGATTTTGATATCGCTGGTTTGTTTGAACCAATGGGACCTGATTTTGAAATTGTCAAGATATTAACTGAACTTCTCGATGAATTGGAGATTGGAGATTATGAGGTAATAACTTAGTTGAAAGTCCTAATCATTCCTGGTCAGTTATGTCTTTGGCTATGTTCTTGATTCTGGTTTGTTTAAATAGGTGAAACTGAATCACCGCAAGTTGCTTGATGGAATGCTGGAGATATGTGGAGTACCTCCTGAGAAATTCAGAACCATCTGTTCAAGTATCGACAAGTTAGACAAGCAATCATTTGAGCAAGTGAAGAAAGAAATGGTGGAGGAGAAGGGCTTGTCTTCAGAGATTGCAGACAGAATTGGCAACTTTGTTAAGGAGAAGGGAGCTCCTTTGGAGCTATTGTCTAAACTGAGACAAGAAGGGAGTGAGTTCTTAGGGAACCAGTCATCAAGAGAAGCTCTTGATGAGTTGAGTATCATGTTTGAAGCTCTTGAAAGATCAAAGTGCAGTCGCAGAATAGTGTTTGATCTAAGTCTAGCAAGAGGTCTTGATTACTACACTGGCGTCATCTTTGAAGCCGTTTGTATAGGAGCAGAGGTAAAACCCGGCTTGGCTTCTTGCAATTCAGTTAGAGAAAGTTTATGGTGATTGATTTATTCCTTCTGCAGGTTGGATCAATTGGTGCTGGTGGGCGATACGATAACCTAATAGGAATGTTTGGAACAAAGCAAGTCCCAGCGGTTGGGATGAGCCTTGGAATCGAGCGAGTGTTTAACATAATGGAAGAACTAAACGAGAAAAAGAATCAAGTAACTTCCCAAACTCTTATGCTGTTTGTTTGTTGACCGGCCTTATTTTAAAAGAATGGTTTTTGAACTTTGTTTTGGTATGAATATAGGTGATACGACCTACGGAGACACAGGTATTGGTTAGTATAATGAAGGATAATAAACTAGCGGAAGCAGCGGAGTTGGTAAGTCAGTTATGGGAGGCTAAGATCAACGCAGAGTATCTTGTGAGCAAGAGGAAGTCGAAGCATTTTGATCGCGCCAAAGAATCTGGAATTCCTTGGATGGTGATGGTAGACGAAGCGGAACTCAGTAAAGGTGTTGTGACATTGAAGAAGTTAGTGAAGGGAAGTGAAAAGGAAATTAAGGACGTTTCTAAAGATAGTTTCGTTGGGGAATTGTTGAAAGAACTCAGTTGATCATACTGTGTTGCATTCGCGTTTTTGCATTTTTTTTGGTTGTTGCTGTTTTGAATCTAATGGGAAAACCATGACTTGACTGGTGGTTGGTTATTAGAGATGAGAACTTAAAGAGATTTTGATAATGTTGATGAGAGGGGTTTCCCGTATTTTAACTGTCTAGAGGATTGATATTATTAGTTGATAACCGACCTGATTGATCTTAATTAATGATTGATTGGTTCTTCGACAGATCGGTTGGTTTGTCGATTTTATGATTTGGCTAGCGATTAGTTTTGTCCTACGAAAATTTCATCCACAGTTATTTGCTACTTCATGAATAAAAAAGAGGTACAGCTACGATGAAATTTCACCAAATAAACGTTAACTAGGCTGACTAATTTTGTAAGTTTGTTTGGTATTTCCGGCTGTATAAGTTTTTTTTTGTTTGTTCTTAAAAAATATCTGATAGAAAGATGAACATCTTCAATTTGAAATTGTGAATGTTTATCATTATGTAAATGTAAACGCCAAAAAATTACGTTTCTATCTAAAAAAAACCTTATCCTGATTATGATAAAGGGACCCCCCTCAACATAAGTACTCGTGTTCTTGTTTCAACCTAATCTGCGATCTTATCAAACAAACAGAAAGAAAGAAAGAGAGAAGGTACGATTCTTTGATTGAGAAGAAGATAAGTAAGTGTCATCATAATAAGAACGAAAGAGAAAATGCTTTTTGGTTCATCATGACTCACGAGAGAGCCTAAAAATTGAAAGGACAAAAGAAAAACTCGAACAGGTAAGGGTTGTCTCTCTCCCCAACCTCAAAAACAAAAATGTGATCTGCATATCTGATTTTTTTTTGCATGAGAAGAGAAAATGGATACGTGTTGGTTTCTGTGCCTCCCTGCCGACATGTGGCTTTAAGTAACCAAGATCACTAAACTCACTCACTCGTGTTCTGTAATGTATGTATCATTCACACATCTCATGTTTCTTTCCATTGACTATATTGTCTCTACTCGTTTTCGCTTCCTACTCAAATATGAAATATCCCTCCTCTGTCTTGCATTTAGAGTTACATTAACAATGTACGCCATTCATTTTTTTTTAATCTATTCAAGTCCAAATTAAATTTGTATATTCTTTTTCATACCAATCATTTTTTTTTTTACGTTTGATTTAAAACTAATCGAACCGGATCAATAGAACAAAAATAATTAGATCATATATATTCTTATATAGAAAAGATCAGCGTTTTCTTCCCCCTACAATTAGTAGAATTCACCGTGGTTGGTTGGTTATTATTTTCTGATCTTCTGTATAGTTAGTTATAACACACACAAAAATACCAATATGTAAATCATGGATTAAATTCTGATTAAGACCCTCATGGGTATGATTGACTGATTGAGAGACCTCCTTATATAATAATTTTGATCTATAATATAAATGATCTGTATTGGATTTTTTTTTCTTTTTAATTTTCAAAAATATAAATAATTTGGTCTTATTATATAATATATTCTAGTGGATGTCGGGAAATTATGTGTAAGAAACGTCTTATCCAACCCCATGTTAATTGTGCCAGCCTGAAACCAAAAATAAAAATATCCATAAAATCACACAAATATATTAACACAAAGAAAAATAAAAAGAAGTCTCATTACATATATATTTTTTCATTTTTGTTTGTAATAGTATAAGTTCATAGAGAGAGAGAGAGAGAGAGTGACCCATCTCCATTACTGTTTCTATCTCTCTCTTCTCTCTTCTCTCTTCTCTCTACACACAAAAGTAGAAAGACGAAGAAGAAGAAAGAAAGAACGGGTTTGTAGTTGGTGGTTGCGTTTCTTTCTCGTTTTTAAAAAACAATTCATCTTTTCTTTTTCAGTTACCTTCTTCTCTTTAATAATCTCTCTCTATCTACGCACGCACGAACAGAATCTCAAGCTCTTCTCCTTCTCCTATTTGTTTTCCCCCGATTGAATCTGATTCTGAGATCTTTTTGATTGATCTGTATCCTTGTGAGTCTCCTTTCAGCTCGAATTGCGAATTTTCGCTGTTTGATATATAAAGTTTGATTCTTTTTCTCTAGTTCAATTATTGATTTTTCTTCTTCTTTTGATTGGTTGCAGACGAAGAAGAAACAGAGAAAGGAAGGGTTTTCATGATTCTCGTGTTTTGAGTCTCTTTCCCAAGCACTGTTTTTTTTTTAATATTGATTCTCATGTATAAATAAAACATACACTTCTCTCTTTGTTTTCCCCTCTTCTTCTTCTTCTTCTTCCTGTGTGTGTGTGTGTGGTGGCAATAGAAACAATCTACGTAGATCTGTTCCTTTTTCTCTCCATGGAAACTTTTGGGTTTAAATTAGTTTACAATTAAAATATTTTGAAAGACTCAAAAGGGTCAGACCCAGAAGTCTCACCTTTGCCTTTTTCTTGGTCAGCTTTGAAAGGCTTGATTTTTTTTTCTTTTTAATTCTGTTTTATCTGTTCATTCAATTTTGGCGATTTGGGTTTAAGAATCACTAGGGTCTATGTATGTCCTGGCACTTGTGATCATTCGTCAGTCTTCTTGCAGAAAGTAACTGGAACTAAAACTGAGGTTTGTTCTTGCAGACTGAATCATCTTTTGCTCTTTGTGCTGATCATTGGGGATCTAACAAAAAGGGTTTTTGTCTTCTTACAGAGATCTCTTTGCATAGTTTGAATCATCATCATTGCTCTTTGCGGGGAGAACCGTGATCTAAAGCTTCAATCTTTCTCACTGGAGGACCGTAGGGGTGATTGTACCATTGTTGGTCTGGATTGCCTTCTTAATATAATCAGGGCCCTTAGAATGGGGTCCTGTTTATCTGCAGAGAGCAGGAGCCCTGGACCGGGTTCTCCTTGCTCTCCTGGGTTTAGTGTGAGGAAAAGGAAGAACTCCAAGAAGCGACCTGGTTCTAGGAACTCTTCCTTTGATTACAGGAGAGAAGAACCCTTGCATCAAGTTCCAGGACGAATGTTCTTGAATGGATCAAGTGAGGTTGCTTGTATCTTCACTCAACAAGGCAAGAAAGGGCCTAACCAAGATGCCATGGTTGTTTGGGAGGTTTGTTAGATCCAAAGTTCCTCCCTTCCTTTTGTTTTTTCTATTTATGTTTTTCATAGTTTTTCTCTAACCAGTAATTGCTTTAGAATCTTTACTTCTCCCTCAAAGAGTTCACCAGATTGAAGTCTATGTACAATCACCAGATTTTCTTGGCTCTAATACCCATCTATGCAAATGATTCTGATTGTTTCCTCTTTTTTGCGCCCAGAATTTTGGTTCGAGGACAGATACAATCTTCTGTGGAGTGTTTGATGGACATGGCCCATATGGTCATATGGTTGCAAAGAGAGTCAGAGACAATCTCCCTCTCAAATTAAGTGCCTATTGGGAAGCAAAAGTACCAGTTGAAGGTGTTCAAAAGGCCATCACTACCGACACCGTTAATAATGCAACCAACATTAACAATCCTGAAGATGCTGCTGCTGCTGCTGCTGCTTTTGTATCTGCTGAAGAAGAACCTAGGACATCTGCTGACATGGAGAAGGAGGAGAACAAGGACTCCCATCCGGAATTGTTTCAAACTCTGAAAGAGTCGTTTCTTAAGGCTTTTAAAGTTATGGATAGAGAACTGAAATTCCATGGAAGTGTTGACTGTTTCTGCAGTGGGACAACAGCTGTAACTTTGATCAAGCAGGTATTGTCTCGGTTTGGTATGCTTTAAGTTTAATCTTATTCACTGTTTCATGATCTTTATTATGTATTCTCTGCAATATTGCAGGGTCAGTATCTCGTTGTTGGAAATATTGGAGACTCTAGAGCCGTAATGGGTACAAGAGACAGTGACAATGCTCTTGTTGCTGTTCAACTAACTGTGGATCTTAAGCCAAATCTCCCAGGTTGGATGATCGTTCCTTATCTGAATGTATGCTGTTGTCCTGTGGATGTTTGATGGATCCGATAGTTACTTCTATTGGTTTCTTTTGCCCTCGTTTAATTTTGCAGCTGAGGCAGAGAGAATAAGAAAATGTCGTGGACGTGTGTTTGCTCTTAGAGATGAACCTGAAGTTTGTAGAGTTTGGCTGCCAAACTGTGACTCTCCTGGCCTTGCAATGGCACGTGCTTTTGGAGACTTTTGCCTTAAAGATTTTGGCCTAATCTCTGTGCCTGATGTATCTTTCCGTCGATTAACTGACAAAGATGAGTTTATAGTGCTGGCTACAGATGGGGTAATTTCACTCTCTCTTAGATGCATTTCTTTTCTGTTTGCAATTTTGCTTCTAATGTTATGTTTGTGTGATAGATTTGGGATGTTCTCACAAATGAAGATGTAGTGGCGATTGTAGCTTCAGCTCCATCGCGCTCCGCTGCAGCAAGAGCTTTAGTCGAGTCTGCGGTTAGAGCTTGGAGATACAAATACCCGACTTCCAAAGTCGATGACTGTGCCGCTGTTTGCTTGTATCTAGACGCCAACAACACAAACACCATATCTACATCGTCTTCCATCTCCAAACTGGAAGATGAAGAAGAAGACGAAGAACTAAATGCCACAATTGAGAATGATGATGCATCAGGACCAAGTGGTCTAGGCCGTTCGGGTACTGTCAGGACAGGGAAAGAGATTGCTCTTGACGAAAGTGAAGCTGAAAAGCTGATAAAAGAAGAGGATAACTTGGATACAGAACCTGGAACAGAGTACTCTGCACTAGAAGGTGTTGCAAGAGTTAATACTCTTTTAAACTTACCAAGATTTGTGCCTGGAAAGTGAAAAGAGAAGGAAGAGCTGAAGTGAAGAAGTTGAGAGGTGATATATCATATGAAATAAATCACCCAAGAGAAGGTACTGTGTCTTTTTGTTCTTTTCTTTTTTTTTTCCTTTTCAACTTTCTACATTGATCTCTATTCTTTCTTTTTGAGTCATAATTCATTGGTTTTGGAACATAAATTTTTGTCAATTTTGTCTTTGTTTTTGTCTTTCGATGTTTATGCTGTTTTTTGGTCTTTGTCAGTAAAGAAGAGTGAAAAACATCACATGTAATAATGGCTTTGTGTCTGTGATTCTGTGAAACAAACCCCTCAGGCTTAATTTTGTCAGTCTGTTGGGAATTTTCCTGTTCTTTGTCTTTTCAAAAAGCTCCAATTCCAACTACAGATTTGTGTCAACCTCTTCCTCTTTCTCTCTCTCAAAAACAAAAAAACAAATGATGGCAATTTTTTCAACAAATGGGATTTCAGATCCTTTAATGATAACAAACTTTGTTCCAAGAGGGGTTTAATCTACTATAAAGCCATGTTACAGAAGAAAGCGATTAAGAGAGAAACAAGTGTAAGAAGTTTTGTAATAGCTAAAGAAGACGACCATGAGAGGTTGTGTGCACCAACTGTGTAGATTGCTCCACTTGCTTCATCCTTTACTTGTATTCCTCCTGAGCCTGTGTGATTCAGTATTCATTACAGTCAAAACATGTACAGCTTCAAATCACGTAGCATTTGTGGCACAAAGACAAAGACACAAAGACAAAGATAGGATTTTTAATGCTTACAGTTGTGATTGGTCCATCCAATGACTTGGTTTTCAATATCGTAGACAACTAACTTGTTAGATAGGGCCATGTCTGCGCAGCAATACAAATCAAGAATCAAATGTTTTTTTCTTTTTCTTTTTTCTTCAGTAATTCAAGGATGAATGTCATTTCAGAAAGAGATATGTACCTCCAAGAATTGTTAATGATTCTCCTCCTTTAGTCTGCAATCCACCGTTTTGCCAGCCAAAGCACCATGTGTCTTCCTATAGTCAGTTTTTATGTCAGAACAAGAAAACAAGAACATGAACAAGGTAAAGAGTCGGAAAAGGAACAAAACTTACTCGAATTTGGAATAGATATTCCTGAGGATGAACGGCCAATGAAGCAGACTTGTCGAACTGGAAAGTGACAGTTGGGAACTTATCTAATCTGTGAATTTGACAGTTAAATTTCGAGGGTCAAAACATCAAACATCATATACCTGATGTATATAAATCAGTCATTCCATCAAATCCAGCTAAGCCCAACTACATTTCCATTCCAAGGGAAAAAAACAAATACATTTCCAGCAAATGACAGACAGTACCATTTCAAACAATAGTGAACTCTAAACACCGAGAATAACTAAGCGATGAGTCAGATTCTTACTTGTCTATATAATGGAAACAAGTAAACGACTCTTGAAATGTATGCAAAGTAAGCTCCGGATGTGAAGCCAAAATCTGACGAAAGCCAAGGGGAAAAAAAACAAAGTGTCAAGAATTTTACAGAAAAAGACAGAAAGAAATTCACAAGTAACATACATAGTCTTGACCTCTTTCATGAACGGATTAAAAACAGCATCAGGAAGATACACCAGAGTTGTACCACTATCAATAATAACTCCTTTGTCATCGCCGGAATCAAACGCATCCGAAGAAAGTTCTAAAACTGAATTACCAACTTCTATTGCATTGAGGTTGACACTATAGTGAGCTCTGTAAAAGAGTTACAAACAATGTAATAAATTCAAAACCTATTGAAAGGAGCAGCTTAAAGAAAAGGCATTCACTTACGATTTTGAGAGCATAGGTGTAGTTTTAACTTTCGGTGACACGACTTCTCCAATGGCGAATATACCGCCTCCATTGTTATTATCCAAACAATGTGCAAAAGACCTTTTGACCTTCCTTTGTGAAGCTAGCTGAGAAATAAACGACGAATTTGACTGTCCAAATCCCATTATCCCATCAACTGCAGCTTGGGATTCACCAAGTTGACCAGACTGTTTAGACCCACATCTGTACAAGACCAACATATATCGTTTAAAACTTGGCACAGTGCTTTAAGAGATTTGCAAGACTCGTAGAAGAAGAAAGCTGTTTGTCCTTAAACTAACCCGAAGATAATAGTTCCGTTGGTGGAACCGGTTTGACGATTTCCAGTAACTAGATCCAAATGTACAACATCTCTCACCAAGTATCCATTAGTAGAGCTCCCATCTCCATACATAATAACATATTGACAAGCAGAACCTGACTGACACTCAGATCTTTGGTTAACGTAAGAGCAAAAGGTGTCATCGCAGGAAATAGATTTTGCGGTGGACGAAGCATCCTCATCATAAGGTGTCAGCTCAACCTGAAAGATAATGAAAATATGAAATTGAAAACATTGTGTTTTTTTTGTTTGTTTGTTTGGAGGGATAAAACAGAGATGGTATACCAAATCACTTTTCCTAGGACATCTGATGCAACCAGCACAATTCACCCATAAGATATCACTTCCTGTATCAACTTGGACATGATAGTCTCTTGATGGAGTTCCGAGTCCGATTTTAGCGAAGTATAAACTGAGATTAAAAAACACCAAACAGCAAGAACAAGAATCAACATTTTACCATATCAGACACAAGAAGAAGATCATTTCATAGTCGAAAAACATTTGTGAGTCAGGAACCAATCAAGGAGTTGAGAATCTCAATAGATTCAAAATCAATTAAAAAGCTAAAAAAGTGTGTTTTTTTTTTTGCTTCTTCTTGAGATTCCACATTTATACAAGACAATAAAAAAGAATCCGACTTTTCTGTAAATCCCAAATTATAGGTTTGTCTCTTTTACAAAGAGGAAAACAAAATTGCCAAAAGTAGAGGTTGTGGTAAATGGCGATTCGAACCCAATAGACTCAGGCTGGCTATCGCCGCCGAGAGGAAGATCGATGGCGGAGAGGAGTCTAGAGTGACGGTGGACGTCGTGAGCTTTGAGAGCTCCAAGATCTTTTTCTCTTTTGCCGGCGAACTTGCTTCTAACTTCAAATACCAAATTCTCGGGAATCGTCGACGCCGCCGATAACTGCGGCTCAATCAGCAATGCTACAACCGCTACCGACAGCAAAACAGCCGACAAGAAGCACTGTGTCCGCCTGCTGAGATCCATTACCGGAGATATATCCCTAACTTATTAGTTGAGAAACTAAAAAAAAAAAAACCGAAAAAAGTGAAAGAGAAAAAATGTATCTTTGGCGGTGGAGTAAGGTTTAGGACAACGAGAAGAAGAAGAAGAAGAAAGAAAAATTGGTTGGTACTTTCCAAATAGTATTAAAAACGAGTAATTAAATATTTAATCAACGTATTGAAAATTAACTTTAAGACCGAACTAAATAAACTAAGTACAATTATTATTGTAAGAGATTCCTAAAATTAGTAGTAAATAAGATTCGAGATTGTGATTAACTACTTAAAGAAGGAAACTGAAATAACTGCTAGCTTTACCACTTTGGCGGCAATTTGTTTCTGCAAGTTATTTATTTTCTTCACTTGTCTATAAATTTAAAAAAATTCACATTTTACTATATGTTCCGTAATTATGATTTTTCCTTATTTTTAACATTGTGAATAGGCTCTTTTTGTTTGTTTTGTAACTTTATGAGAGTTTTGCTTTTAAAATCAAAACTATTAATTTGGTCAATGAACAATCATGCAATGCTGTTGGGTATTTTCTTCTAAAACAGTTAATGTATATATATATATATATATGGAAAATAAAAAGAAATCCCATATGTGTTGTCTCATAAGGGACCGAAACGTAATTTCAAAAGGAAAAACATAAATATCAAACGTAATTCCTCAAAGAATTCTACACCGCCCGTTCATCTATCACGAAACTAAGTAATTCCCGTAAGTACCCCCCAGTATCCTTTTTCATCCGAAGGAATTCGGAGGATAGTACCGTCTTTTATGTTATTGTATCCTCACACACACACACACACTCTCTGAGATCATTCAACTATTCGAAAATTTTAGCTTCATCTCTCTGTTTGAATTGCTGCCCCAAAAAATGCCTCTATCGCTCCGTCTCGCTCCCTCTCCGACGGCTTTAGCTCCGGGGACCGGCGGATTCGGTCCATCGAGGAAACAGTGCCGGATCCCTTACTCCGGCGTGGCGGCGACGAGGATTGGTCTGTGCTCATTGGATAATGGGAAACGAGGAGATTCCTCTGTTGTGGTGAGGTGTAGCTTAGAAACGGTGAATGTTAGTGTTGGGCAAGTTACGGAGGTCGATAAGGACACCTTCTGGCCCATCGTTAATGCCGCCGGTGAAAAGATTGTCGTACTCGACATGTACACTCAATGGTATGTACGAACTCAATTGATTTTTTGCGATGTTGAATCATTGAAAGAGCCCCTTTGTCTTATCTTTATTTATCTTCAATTGGATGAAAACTTCAAACATCTATTGTTTTCCCTCGGATTTTCATTGCAAAATGATGTGGTTTATTTAGATGCCTTAGTGAATATATTGGTTTTTGAAGAGTTACGAGTTTGAAGTCCATTCTACATTATGCTGCAGGTGTGGTCCATGTAAAGTGATTGCTCCTAAATACAAAGCTCTATCAGAGAAGTACGATGACGTTGTGTTTCTAAAGCTTGACTGCAATCCTGATAACCGGGTTTGTCTTCTCCTCTTTTACCTCTCCCTTTTGTTTTTTATGCTATACTAGTATCTTCAGATCATTCCCAACTAGGGTAATGGATTTTTTTGTTGTTGTTGTTGCTTAATTAGCCATTCAAACTCTTTATTGGTGCAGCCGTTGGCAAAGGAGCTAGGTATAAGAGTGGTTCCAACTTTCAAGATATTGAAGGACAACAAGGTCGTCAAGGAAGTGACCGGTGCCAAATATGATGATCTGGTTGCAGCCATTGAAACAGCCAGGTCGTCTGCTGCTTCCGGATGAACTCATCTCTATCATCATCTATTTTTACCATAATTGGTTGGTTGTACGTAATGTAAAATCTTGTGTTATCCCTATAGGTCAGCAAATGATTATGTGTAAATGTTTCAAGAAATATGATCAAGCAAAAGGTTATGTTTATCTATCATATATATATATTTAGATTTCAGTTGATTTCGGTCTGAAGGATTTCTAGGCAATTCGGAAACTTTGGATATGCTTTGGAAGAGTCGGTGCGTGCATCGTGTTATTGACACACACTCAAAAACAAAGTTCACGACGTAGCTTTAGTGATATTTTGACAGTAAAGCTATTGAAAAGACGAGAGAAAAAAAATGGTAACATGGGAATGGGAGACAGCATATAACATACCCAATAAGTTTGTTTTTACACACAGTACATAGTAAACAAGTCGGCTGAACGGAAAGGGGATGTTTCTACATAAAATGGAACTTAGAACGAAACCTGTATTCCCAACAAAGCCATTAGCTGTGACACAAACTCTGGGTGTCCAGGCCACGCTGCGCCAGTTACCAGATTCCCGTCAGTGAAGCACCTGTGGATTGGATCTGGTTCTAGCCAAGTTCCTCCTCCAAGTACCACGTTCAGTTTCACCGCTGGATAAGCAGTGCATTTCCTTCCCTGCACCAGCCAGTAATCAGGTCACATTAAGCAAAATTCCTCAAAGAACTGGTAGAGGGAATAAAAAAGGTGGGCATACTTAAATTAATCGGAGCCATACTGACCTTGAGGACACCAGCAGCAGCTAAGATCTGTTGTCCGTGGCAAATAGATGCAACTGGTTTCTCAGAATTCATGAACTCTTTAACTATATTAAGGACATGTTCGTTCAAGGCCAGATATTCTGGTGCTCTGCCTCCAGGAATGACGAGAGCATCATAACTCGAGGAAACTAGGCCATCAAAGTTAGTAGTTAAAGCAAACGTGTGGCCTGGTTTCTCACTGTAAGTTTGGTCACCCTCAAAGTCATGGATTGCAGTTGGGCAACGATCACCAGCCTTCTTCTCTGGACAAACCGCATCAACTTGACATCCTAAAGCTTGAAGGGACTGAAAAGGGACTTTGACTTCGTAGTCTTCCATATAATCCTGCAAAGTTCGAAAATAACCAGCACTATGATGTGTAAGAGACCCACGTGCGTAGTTTCATTTACCAACAAAACGTTTTCTGGATCAGGGAAATCAACGATCTTGATATGAAGTACCATCTAAGCAAAACTAACAAAAAACATGGCTATTAATAGATTGATGCAAAAAGATATGTTAAGGTTGCTTACCCCACAAAGAAACAAGATTCTTTTATTTGCTCCAGTTATTTGACCGCCCAGAGCCTTGACAAAAAGCTGGATAAATTCAGGATGGCCCTCATATGTAGCTGCTGTAATCAAACTACCATCAACAACACAAACATCTGGCGTTCCTGGTTCGACCCACTTGGCGCCTGCAGCAATAAGAGCAGGTCCAACAGTAGCATAAGCTGTGCACTTTCGACCATTAACCGTGTCTGCAGCTGCCAATATCAACTGCCCATGACAAATTGAAGCAACGGGCTTGCCAGATTTTGAGAACTCTTTAACCAACTCAACAACAGATGGAGTCAAGGCCAGGTATTCTGGAGCACGTCCTCCTGGTATAACCAAGCCATCATACTTGCTAAGGTCAACTTCATCAAAGTTTGCATTGAGCGTGAAATTGTGACCTCTTGACTCAGAATAGGTCTGAAGATGTTGTAAGAAATACATCAGAGAAGTTTTTGAAAGCGCACAGCTTAAAGAGACTTGTCTACAAGTAAACTAGAGTTCCTTCTCCTTTGAATTGAAATCATCCAATTTCGAAGCTCAAATGAAATGAAGCATTCAATCATATAAATTTAGCTTCAGTGAATTGTATATCAATAGATCACGCGGCTACACATGGAGATCGAGAGAGAGAAAGGGAGAAAGAAACCTGGTGGCCACAGAAATCGTGAACGGCGGTGGGGCAAGAGTCACCAGCTTTCTTTCCGGGGCAGACGGTGTGGACAGAGACTCCGAAAGCTTGTAAAGCTTGGAATGGTACCATCACCTGAGAGAAGAAGCCACATACATAAGTAACCAGCTGAAGCTGATTTATAAGAACAACGAAGTATTAGGATGAATAAGAAGATGACCTCGTAGTCTTCCATGTAGTCACCGCACAAGATCAAGACAGTTCTCGAGTTCGCCATTTCTCAGCAACGGCGATGGAGAGAGAGAGAGAGAGAGAGAGAGAGAGATTTTGTTTGAATTTGGAGAGATAATGATTCTGACCAGAGCGATCCGGTAACGGCGACATTTGGGGAGCACATGACATGTGGTCTCATTTACGCACGTATGCGACGAAATTTAAATAAAAAATATGTAAAAGAATTAAAAAAACCGTGAACGGCAGGATTCGAACCTGCGCGGGCAAAGCCCACATGATTTCTAGTCATGCCCGATAACCACTCCGGCACGTCCACTTGTCTGTACATCCTTTTCACTTTAACCCATATATATCACCTTTAGAAAAGACTTTCAACAAGCATACGAGAACTAAGACAAGTATGAAAGAACGCTGCCAGCTAAGTGATCTAAGAAGAAGTAACCCAGATCAATCGAAAAGTCACAATACTACAAACACTGATTAACTTAATGAGTGATTGATTACTGAGATATAAGAAAAAGAGTATCTCTAGTCCAATACTTGAATCTTATACAAAGCCATTGCCGATCTTTCTAAGTTCTTTAACTGTTCTCTAAATCACATTGCCGATATGAACAACTGAATTCTCGCCTGTCCTCGTTCCTTCTCTTCTGGTCCATCAAGATCTCCAATGTTGTCGTGATATTCCTGTCAAGGGTTTATGTTAGCAATTGCAGCAACCACAAAAGATAACATATGGGTCAAGGAGAGTTTACATTACAAATTTATGTCTCACAATCCTTAACACTTAAGTCTTATGGTTTCAGTGAATCAAATTGTTCAAATGTTTAATCCATATCAAGTCAAGTCAAGTCACTAATTAATTGGTGCCTAGACTACTTTTTAGGCGAGGGAAGAGAAAGAAAACCTGCAGGATCTGCTTGACATCGGTTTTACTAAGCTTCTGTTGCTTCAGTAGCAGTTCGATCCGCGCTCTCATTCCAGAATGCCTACATCAAGTATTGATAACAAATTAGTACATTGGAAGCGAAAGCTCAGAAACGTATCTTTCTGGTGGGGTGCTCTTAAGAGTGGGACTTACTCAGAACACCAAATATGTCCCAGAATAACAGCAACAAGCTGCAATTTCAGAGAAAACGATTACTCAAGATTAATAATCACTAAAAACAGAAGATAAAAGCAAGTATAAAGGCCTGTATATGTAATGTAGCATATGTACACATATGATGCACTTTTGCCATTTCCCAAACGGACATGAAGCTATATAAATTATACTTAGTCGAACCTGAAGACTGTAGAGGCCTGATTCTAGCTTCCGATTATATTTCTCATCCTCATCCAACTGAAAGGTAAAACAGTGAAATCAGTTCATAAAAAGATTCAAGCTCCGAATGAAAACATCAAAATGATGTAGTGAAAATTACCTCAAGGTCATCAAGCTCAAGCTGGTCTAACCTCTCGGCCTCTGATCTAACCCTATCAGAGTATCTGCCAAGTACAAATAATTAATGAGAGTGGAAACACAACTCTGAGGTTACTGCGTTTCACCACAGCTTTCACCACTACACTCATAAAGAAACCTTGGCTTTAAAATAAAATGCTTTAAAAGGTATATTATTACAGAGGAAACAGAACAGTTCTTTTACCTCATATACAGTTCCATGAGCCGGTCAATCTTCTCAAATTCATTCTCCACAAATTTACTTAACAAACGATCCCTCCTATTACCCCTTAGAATCCCAGCTGAAAGATACAGTCAACAGCCAAGAAAACCAAGAATTAACATCACGAACATGCAAGGAAAATACTTTACTTTTTCACATAAACATGTGACTTCCCTTCTTACCAAATAATGACGCAATCAGTGAAATAACTCGCTCCTCAAGCTCCTCTTTATACCGCTCCCTTTTGATCCTCTTGTTTAGTGGAATCTAAACATTCAAAGAACTAAAAAAAAATCAATATGCAAGTATGCCTCAGAATCGTCTCTCTCTCACGTTACTTTGATCTACGCAAGCATTTTCTAACAAAAGATACAGAATTCAATACCCAATAAGCCACTAGAGAGTCTATGAAAGGGATTGAAAAACTTGCCTTACCCATGAAAGCAGCAAATGCTGTTTTCAGTCCCATAACATCCACAAATCTCTCACATGCTGGTGGATAATTGGTCATGGCGAAGTCTAAAGCTCGAATTGCAGACCCGTAAGCATATTTCTTCTGCTTCATGATAATAATCATCAGCTCAACACCTTCCGCATTCACAAACCTCTCCTTGTTCTCCAATGGCATCAAGAGGCAACACAAACAATCGAATAGATTCTCTAACATCTCTTCCTCGTCAGGAGTTTTGGGATCCTTGGACTTATACATCGCCACACCTTCAAGCACAGCGTCTACACCATTCATCTGCCCTAGCCGTTTCTGATTCGCCGTGCTGTTTTGCAGCAGAATTGCAAGAATCTCAGACGCGTACTGCTTGATTCCTTCGAATTCCCTCACCTTAATCTTCGTCAGAAGCCACCGCAATAGTTTCGTCCGTTCACACACCAATTCAGCTACAGCCGGCTTTACTTCCACCAAATTCTCAATCACCGTCAATGTTGCGTATATAGCCGTCGCTTCGTCTGGGTCTGCCTCAGACAAACGACTCATATTCTGAACCAAGAGCTCGAGCACATTGTTTTCAACTAGCGCATCGATTAAGACACGCGCCGGCTCATCGTTATCCTCCAAGGCATCTTCGTCCGTCAGATCTTGCAGAAGCTGAACAACATCGTTGGCGATATCGGAGTTATCATGCGAGAGGAGATTCACAATCGAAGGAACCGTATTAGAAGCAACAAGGTCCGGGTAAAGCTCCGGAGCTCCAGCGAGAACCTTGAGCTTCTGAAGATCGTCGTGTAGGTCAACCTCCGAGTCAGCGAACTTTTCTGGATTCTCAGCATACTTGAGACGAGCAGCTATGTTGTCCCTAAGACGCCGCTCGAAGGAGAGGACAAGCTTTTTTAGGGTTTTAATATCAAGAGCTTCTACTGCATTGTGCGAAGACTTCTCAAGTGCTTCAAGGAGAGAAAGATCTACGCTGCTAGCTTCGTAACCATCAGAGCCTCGATACGCCGGCGGCGGCGAACCATGACCGGCGTCGATTGCTTTCCGTTTTCTGGTCTGATTCGAGACTTCCATGGCTATACTCTTTCCGTCTCAGACTAAGAATTTGATTTAGTAGAGGTGACGAGTTTGGACTTTAACTTGGGCTTTTATTTTGATGAAGACTATTCATTAGAGGCCCATTTACTAAAGGTGTTCCGAAAGAAGAGAGATATTGTATTTAATATTTATTTTTATTTTTAAAAACTTTTTTTATTTTTGTTGGGTCAAAAACAAATTCTCTCGTTCAATTCATGGCTTTTTGGAACTTGAAAAAAAAAGGAAAAGTTAAAGAACTTTATCCAAGGAGAAGATGGAAAACCCTACACACTAAGCAAAATCAGATCTTTTTTCTCTTCTCTTAATCTCTCTGACGGAGGGGGTAATCTCTAATTTGTGGTTCTCCGTTCGTCGGCGGGAGATTTTGATAAGAGGGAGAAGGGAAGATGGGATTTCTCTCCAATAAAATCTCCAGAGACGAAGTGAAACCAGGCGATCACATCTATTCATGGCGTCAGGCCTATGTTTACGCTCATCACGGTTCGATCTCACTTTATCTCTCTTTTACAGAGAGATACATATACATTCTACATTCATGGTTGATGCTAGATGATTCAGTCTCCAATTGTAATTGTCCCAATTCGATTATTTTTTGCAACTGTTGAGATTTTGCGGAAATTTCGAATTTGGGGAAGAGATTATTTATGATTCTTTTGTTTTGATCCAAATAAGTAGAAAACTTGTATGATATGATTTTAATAGCTATACAAGGCTAGATTGTGATCCTTGGTCGTTGTAAGAGAATGTGGTTGAATATTTGACTGCAACCTCGATGCTAGCTATTCAAGTTTTGTTTTAGACTCCATGAGGCTCTCTATTCTCATTGCTCTTTCTTGATCTTCACCATGTCTATATCAAATACTCATTCCACGTTGTAGGTTCTAATGGCCTGAATTTGACAATGGGATTACTGATATCTTTCTGGCATTGTTTTCTTTGTTATGTAATCTATCATGCTAACTTATATATGTGTATGGTTTGCAGGAATCTATGTAGGTGATGGACAAGTCAACCATTTCACTCGTGGGGATGGTCAAGAGACTGGAACTGGGACTTTCTTGGACAAGATCATTGTTAGTTCATCCCATAATCATGGAGACAGCCCATGTCCTAATTGTGGAGATCGATCCAATCTTGGTGGTGTCATCTCTTCTTGCCTTGAATGTTTCCTTGCCGGAGGTGATCTCTATGTCTTTGAATACAGTGTCTCCCCTGCTATTTTTCTTGCCAAACCTCGAGGCGGCATTTGCACTATAGCATCTTCAGATCCTCCAGAAGAAGCCATTTACCGTGCAAATTTTCTCCTGCGAAATGGTTTTGGTGTGTACAATGTTTTCAAGAACAACTGTGAAGACTTTGCAATCTATTGCAAAACTGGTTTGCTAGTGGCAAACACCGACGTGGGAAGGAGCGGTCAAGCCGCTTCGATTGTTGCAGCTGCCAGTGTTCTTCTTTCTTCGCCACTCAGGTTTGTAGCAGGTTTTGGTGGTCTGGCTGTGGCTGGCTATGGCATGTACTGTGCCAGTCGCCTGGTTTCAGATATAGGCATGCGATGGGATGTGAGCAAGGTGCCTGTGGAGAGACTAGTTGCTGATAAGTCAGAGATGGAAGCTAAACCGGAAGATATGAAGACCACTTAATTCTAAACTGCTCACACCTGTATAACCATACTGGCTCCGTTTGGGGAAGTATGATTTATCTCTGATTGTAAATGTTGTGGAGGAAGTAAGAGAATCTGCTTCTGCTGTATCGAATTGTGCAACTTTCTCTATCATGTGATTGTGAAACACTGAAACTTGATATCTGGTCAACTCTGAACTATGATGATTCACTTTATTATATACAACGTAATATTGAACATAATGATGCTTCGATACTTCTTTCACCTTCATAACAAGTTTTAAAAAGCAGTACAAACAGAGAGTGTCTCAGTCGTTCCCTTCCGGAAAGTTCACCAAGTATATGGCAACCAAGGTGACTGCTGCTCCGACTAGTTGCAATGAGGAGAAAGTCTCATCGAGGTACAGATACCTGGACATATCAGAAAACAAACAAAATTACTACAGAAACTTGTGATCAGAATCATAGATTTATCGTTTGCTGATTTTGGTCTTACCCAAAGATTGAGGCAAACATTGGTGTCAAGAAGGTGAGTGAGCTGAGTTTAGTTAGGCTTCCTGCAAAAAAAAAAGACATCATATAAGCATCAGAGATCTCAAACCCAAAGCAGCGAAAGACTTTCGAAAAGGCAGTGAAATAGAACCTTTAGTAGCACTGTAGAAATAAACACCGTAGCTAACTGCGCTGCCAAAAATGGATGTGTAAAGAAGTGCTATGACATCATTTGTGGATAGATCTTGCAGACTGCCGTTAAAAACTGGATCATGGTTTATAACGGAAACTGCCAAAAGAGGAAGGCCACCAATAACCATATGCTGCAGATAAATTTGAAACATGTTAGTTTGGTTAAGTTCTTGTAAGGACTCTACTAGACAAGCCATTGATCAGAAATGAGGAAAATTAAGGTTTGAATGGCCGAGGATGAGTATCATTACCCAACCGGTAGCCATAATTGGATCCGAGTACTTTGAGACCCATCGAACCATCACAGTACCAATAGCCATGCTTTGAGCTGCAAGAAGCATCCACCACTCTCCACTTCCCCACAAGGAAAAGTTATTACCATCTGAAGTAACTGATGGAACCTGTAGCGAATCAAACATATCCTCAAGTTGTAAAAACACTAGTAAAAATGTGAAATAGTAGCTCCGACTTTTCATATAAATACCTCAAGAAGCAAAAGTCCAGCAACGCCGAGAAGCAAACCTCCAGCTCTCACTATTCCAATGGACTCGCCAAATAGGAAAGATGCTAATACAGCTACAGTCAGTGGCTGAGAATCAATTATAACCTGCAGCGTGACAGATTAGCAACCCAAAAGCATTTCCCTATAACCTTCTCAGGCCTTGCAAAATACTAGAGACTAGAGAAAACAAAGGTCTCCAACTTTGGACAAGAGTTGGTCAGAGAGATCGAAAACAACTTACACTTCCTAAGCCAGCAGAAGTTCTCTGTAACCCTTGAGCAAGAAATCCCTGAAGCATTATCATCAACAACATCGTTCAGACAAGAACCTATCGACTTAAATAACTCAAAGAGTTCAGGTCAAGTAAGCAGACCTGGAAACAAGTGGCGTCCACAAGAGCAAAGAGAGCAATAGAGAGCCAAGCATTGATTCCTTTAGGCAAAGGTCTGCCTTTGTAAACTGCAAACGCGACAAGCAACAAACCGGCCGGAATTAACCGAAACGCGGCCACGAAGAACGGACCAGTAATGGGCAACACTTCCTTCATCGCCACCATCGCCGTTCCCCAGAAAAAGAAGGGTGAAATCAGAACCGTCCATTCAAGCAACGATCCTTCCCCGCCGCTCAAGATTCCCGAGCTCCGATTCTCCTCATCTTCTCCGTTATAGACGCATTCCACGTCTGATCCCATTCCGACGCAATCTACAGACGAAGACGACGTTGGTTCAGTCTCCTCCGTGCTTTTATTGCTTGTGGTGCTTCTCCGAACAACGGAGTCTCCATAATTCCGACGTTGAGCGATCGAAACGAGATTATGCTTCGAGTCAAATCTGCTGTGTCGCAAGGATTTAACCCAAGTGTTCGATGGATATTTGTAAGGCCAGCTCGAATTCGTTCGTCCAGTAACAGACAAAGTAGGATTAGGAGAAGCAAAGAAGTAATTAGACGAAGAAGAAGCAGCAGCGATGGCCGACCATGGCCACTCCATTGTTGCTTGTGCTTAGAACAAAAAGAAAGGGATAAAATTTGTATCTTTCCGAGTTAACAGAGAAGTAATGGCCACATGTTTACAGTTTTTAAATTTCTGTCAACAAATATTAAATTTTTGTTTTCATCAGAGATACCAAAGATGGTTATATATATATTTGCATGTATGTATCTACACTTCCCAGTGTGCAGACTACATATATTGATGAAGTCGTTAAGAACAAAAAGAAACGGCAAGATTGTGTTTAGTTCCTACTAGTGATCCAGAAACATGCCACCACCACTCTCAAACGTTCTTCCAAAGGCTTTTTCTTCTGACTCACTTCTGAAATAGTCCTGTGATCATCAAACACACAAAGAAAACTGAAAGCTTAGATCTTTTAGAGAGGACTACCAAGCTTGAGAAATTTACAGAGTAAGATCCCAAAGCAACCATTTTACCTCGAAACCTCAACCTCGAGTGAGAAACCCGTGAATGGAACCAGCCGTTCCACGCTTTCTAGCCTGCACATGACGGTATTCGTGTAAAGAGAATCACAGAATGATCATCTTTGTATTTGATGTTAGATGATAATAATAATAAAGTTGACACCTTTTCAGTATTAAACAAGTCCTCTGCAATGGCTTCCATCTGCTTTCTTTTCTTCTCTTCTTTCATAAAATCTGTCACGTCCCCGCTGTCGTATTCTCTGGCATCACCGAAGCAAACAGTCAAGAAAACATAGGGGAGAAATCATTATGAACTAGCTAACAAGCAAGAGAAAAGACCCGGGATTACTTGTATGGATCCTTCGCAAAAGGTATTAGGCTAGTGAAGCTGTTTCCGCATGTAACATTTCCCTAACAAACAGAAAAGAACAAAACACTCATCATCTCGCAAACACAACATCTGTCCAGAATCCAAAGATTCTATTCTTACCTTTCTGAATCGCTTGAAGTCCACAATTCCTTCCTCTCCTGTAGAATGAATTTTTCTAGTTGATCGCAAGTCCCTAACAATAAGATCTTGAGTGTATATAATCTCCGAGTTCCCAGATTCAGGCTCATCGTTCCGATCCCTTGGGATTGTCACACTACCACCTGAGTTCTTTTCGTCGATGTGGGCTCTATTTTCAGTATCTGCTAATATGTTTACGCTTCTACACTCATCCAAATTCATTGTGTCTTCCAATATCCTAACCGGACTATCCTCTATTACAATAGCAGCAGGCTTCTCTGGTGTTTCTGGCTTTCCGGTAGTATCAATCATATGAACAGACGATGTCGTTTCTTCCTCTTCGGCATCAGAATCCGCTACCACTGTCTCATCCGTAGAGCACGAGGATGAAATTACAACTACAAACAGAATATGTTTCCAAGATCAGTGTTTTGTGATTCATAGTCCCCAGAAAAGCAATTATATCTGGCTCTTTGTACTCACCGGAAGGTGGTATCAGTGAAGTCGAAGATAGATTTCCGGAAAAGACTGCGCATACTAAATCCATCTCGTTCACTCTAGATAACAAACTGAGATTCTTCAAACGGCCAAATTTGTCTCCTGAACTTTTCGGGATGACACATATCATGCGATTAAGTTCTCCAAACTGAGAATCCTGCAGAGTTGATTACGGTTAGGGCTACTACAGAAAGAGCAAGCAAGCAAAATAATATAAAAGCACAAACCTGACTCATGGAGCTTATGTCTGCTAAAGTAACGGTCTCTGCACCACATAATTCAAGTAAAGATGGGAAGCTGCAACCAAATCTATACTGCATACAGAAAAAGGCATGGATAGGTAAATGTATAGTTCATCAATAATTAGCAAGACTAAGATCTACTGAGACCTGTAAATTGAATCTGATTTTTTTTTTTTTGTGACAAGAGATTATACCGTTTCTGTTGGTTCCAAGACAAAGGTATATCCTTCTAGACATTTTTCACGAACGTTTAATTCTAGTACATCCACCAAAGTTTCTTCAACTATCACTGATGGTCTGTACCTGAAATAATATTGATTATTTAGATGTCAGTAGCTCAATTTATTCTAATTTTATTCTATAACCGGAAAACAGTAAACACTACTCACTGACTGTATCCAGGAATTTCGCTGCAGATACTTTTCTCTGCGAGAAGCTAAACAAACCAGTGAAGTTAAAAAACCAATAAACAAATAAGTGGTCACAATGGAATTACCACACATACCTTCACCCAATTGGTCAAAATGATTGGTTTTTTGGCTAAAACAGCATTGACCAGAGCTTCATTCACTTGCATACGTGGCTCAAGAAGCACATGAGTGCACTCCTCACTCAAGGTAGAAGAAATACGAGCACCTGAATATCGACATAGTTTCAGGCAATGTGGGTAATATAAAACTAGATTGACCAATTTTACTCCATGAGGCAGGGGATAACGTTTTTCACTAACCAATTGATGAAACTGCATCTTGTACCGACTGATCCACCTTAAAGGTCTCAGAGGAAGGGCAGAAGTAAAATACAAGCGGAATCAAGGACAACCTGCAATGATTTAATTTCAATAAGGGACGAGTATAAGGCATATTAAAAGAAGTTAGAACCAAAATAAACATCACACTGAAAATCCAGGAATACCTGTAAGTTGCTGAACCTGTACCAAACGTTAAAACATCTCCATCTCTGAGAATTTTCTCCTTATTAGGTAGCTCATGAACTTTCTCTCTTTTTCCCATGTCAGTTTTGATAAAAGTCCCATACTTTGAGCAATCTTTGACACGGATAACAAACGAGGAGGTATCAGAAGATTTGTTCCTCAGAGAGGTTGAAACAGCTGTTGCATCAAAGGTTAACTCTGCGTGGATCCTAGATACCCCCTTATCCTTATTGATAATTATATCACATCCTACAGAGAAAGAAAAACCCATGAGAGCACAGAATACGAGCAAAAAAACCATGAAAGTGTTAGAACATTGAAGAATCTGTAACAGTACCTTTTCGACCAATCTTGTAATTACCCTTTGAAAAGATATAGTACTTATCTTCACCTGAGACACAGAATCAAACCATTTTACAACTACTTAAAGGTTACAAGACTATAAATTTCTTAATAGCAAGATCAAAGCTAACAACAACTCACTTCTCTAGCATAAACCAAGAACAAATTTGGGGTTTTTCTAAACACATTCATCAGAGAAAAGTTGCTATAAAGTAGATAACAACTAAAAACTTTTAAGGGTCACACGAATTTCACTGAAGGAGTAGATTTTAAGAGCATATCATAGTTGAGAACTGCAATTACTGGAGGGAAAAGATTTCTCGTAATGATGAAAAACAAGAATAAAATGAACAGGAAACAAACAAACTCGTGCACAACACCTGAAAGAGGATCGACGGGAAAGAGACCCCAAACCATTGATTCGCTCCTAGAAACTTTTGGTTCCAAAAGGGTTTTGTATTTTCTTCAGAAAGACATGGATGCTCCCACTTAGTGAGAGTTTTGAGGAGACCGGTTTTGTAAACCGAATTTATACCGGTTTTTTCAAAACAAGCGTGAGATTCTTTGGTTTATCTTGTCTTCTCAAATAAGAAAGGCCCAATAATAAAACGTTAGCCCAACAAGAAGTGCGAGTGACAACAAACCTAATATCGGTGAATGTAAGACATTAGCATTGCTTGCTCAAGATGATTACAGGAACTAAAAAGAACAAGGTGGTGGTGTTTCTATTTTCTAAAACAAAAACCAAAATATTGTTTGCTTTTAGTAGATTCATGATTTCTAAAAGACCTAGCTGACAGTTTATTTATACAGAAAGGCTCCCAACAAAATAGGAAAAAAAAAAAAAAAGCTTTATGTTATTTAAACAAAAAGGAAATTACTCCTATCAACAAAAGAAAAAAAAGGAAATTACTATTGAAAAAGGAAATCACTCCAAACAAAATATATATATTAAAAAAAAGTAAGGAAATTTGACTACAGCAGTAATAAAAAAGTTACCGTTACAACAATCATATTATTATATTTGTTTTTCTTACTGCTTAATTTGATGTGAATTGCGTTTGCTGGATTAATTTAATTGGGTTTTATTGATCCCGGTTTTTCTGTATTAACCGATACGAATCGAACCGATACCGGTTGTCAATAGAAACCGGAGACTTTTAGGTTCTATCTTGGTTTCGAATAATCCGAAGCCATTGATACTGTGGAATAAGCGAAGGTCGAAAACAAATTCCATTCCCGGAGCTGCAAACCAGTAAGTAAGCTCTTTCACTTCATCTTCTTCTCGAAGTTTGATTGGTATAAAAGTTTAAGTGTGTTGTAATTTCTCTGAAGTTGGGATTGTTATCTCCAAGTAGTTAGTTAGTTTCTCTGATTCTGTTTCGATGCAATGCTTGGGAATCCTTTATCGATTGGTGTGAAATTTCGGGAATTTTGTTTGAAGTTCCCCGGTTTTGATGATTCACTCGTTACTCGGTTTATGGGGACAATCACATGATACAATGCTCATAAGGTGTTTGTCATATTGCCTCCCCTCTGCATTTTGGGTTTGGAATCAGTTTTGTACGAGGCTTAATCGAAGCGTTTCATTCCAAATCACTGGGAATGTTCAATAATGCAATTAGCCAGGCTAGTTCAGTGGTCTATCGGGTCAACTTGTGCATTTTACTTGCATATGTTTGTTTACAGTTTTAGAGGATAAAGCTCGTCTTTTTCCCCAGCTAATTGGTGTTTCTTTTTAGTTTTGCAGTTTTATTTACCAGATTCGCTATTCAAGAAAGGTTCAAGCATATAAATTTATGGCATATACAACAGGAATGACGCTTGCTTCAAGGAGTATCTTGCCTATTTGTTCCAGGACCTTCTTATCTCCCTTACGTCTGACTTCTTTACTTGTTTTTAATGAGATTTCCTCCTCCACTTTCTTCAGAAGGGTCCAAGTTCCTCACCTTTTCTCCACTTCTACTACTCCTCTCTTCTCCTATGTTAAGTGCTCAGTTCAATCTACTTCGACTCCCCAGACAGAAAACCAAGCTGTTTCTCGCCCTAATGTAGTCGATATACTTGAAGAAAGAGGACTCCTCGAGTCAATCACTAGCGAGAATCTCAGGTCTGCTTGTTCTGACCCTAAAGTAGCTCCTCTGAGGGTCTACTGTGGGTTTGATCCAACGGCTGAGAGTTTACACTTAGGTAATCTACTTGGTATCATTGTGCTTTCTTGGTTCCAAAGATGTGGTCATCAGGCCGTTGGTTTAATTGGTGGTGCCACTGGACGGGTTGGTGACCCATCTGGTAAAAGCCTAGAAAGACCTGAGCTTGACGCCGATACACTGGACAAAAATATTGCGGGGATTAAAAAAATCATTATCAAGATTCTGGGTAGTAATCCGAGCCCCGGTAGCTCTTATATGATTTTGAATAACTATGATTGGTGGAAAGATATGACAATGCTCGACTTTCTGAAGAAAGTCGGTAGGTTTGCTAGGGTTGGTACTATGATGGCAAAGGAGAGTGTGAAGAAGAGATTAGAATCAGAACAAGGTATGAGCTACACCGAGTTCACTTATCAGTTATTGCAAGCCTATGATTTTCTTCACCTGTTCAAGAACGAAGGGATCAATGTTCAGATAGGTGGCAGTGATCAATGGGGGAATATAACAGCTGGAACTGATTTGATCCGGAAGATTCTCCAAACTGAAGAAGGGGCTTACGGGCTAACATTTCCTCTCCTATTGAAAAACGATGGGACGAAATTTGGGAAATCAGAAGATGGAGCAATCTGGCTCTCTCCTTCGATGCTATCACCTTACAAGTTCTATCAGTACTTCTTCTCAGTTCCAGACGTTGATGTGATACGCTTCTTAAAGACTCTAACTTTTCTTAGTTTGGATGAGATAAAGATCTTGGGAGATCAAATGAGCAAACCAGGGTATGTTCCTAATACTGCGCAAATCAAACTCGCTGAAGAAGTAACCCGATTCGTACATGGTGAAGAGGGTTTGAAAGAAGCAATAAAAGCAACAGAAGCTTTAAGACCAGGAGCTGAGACAAAGCTTGATTGGAACTTGATTGAGAGAATATCAGAGGATATACCTTCTTGCTCATTGCCTATTGATCGAGTGTTGGGTTTATCGATTGTGGATCTATCGGTTTCTGCGGGTTTGTTTGAGAGCAAATCTGCTGCGAGGAGAATGTTGAAGCAAGGGGGTTTTTATATGAACAATGAGAGAGTGGATGATGAGAATAGGAGAGTTGAAGAAGAAGATATTGTTGAAGGGAAAGGTCTTGTGCTCTCTGCAGGCAAGAAGAATAAGGTGGTCGTTAGGATTTCCTGATTTTTTTTTTTATAACAAATCTGTATTTTTTTATTATTGTTTTTGTTATAACGAGCATTGGTTGTTATGATGATACTCCAAGGTATTAACAATGATGATATACTTTAGTACGTTTTTGTAGCTTAGCTAGCTGGTCTTAAAAAGTGTGAAAGAAAGCAAGTATTAGTTGTTAAAATAGTGTCCCAATTCAAATAGCACTTTTAGAACAGCTAACAAAAGTTACAGACCAAGGATTAAGCCTTGCAAGTGTAAAGTTCAAAACTTTGAACATGAAGATCGATTTTCTCAACTGAAAATTTGAAACCGAAACCCTGAGCTAAAATAAAAAGATGCTATCTTACTAGAAAACCAAATGCAAACAGAACAACGACCAAGGTAAACTGAATCACTTCTTAAATCAAAAGCTAAAAGAAAAATGTACCGAATCTTGATTGAACACTGTGAAGGCTTATTGGTGAATACTGGAATACAAAAGATAATTCCAGCAACAAAAGAACAAACCAGGTATCTTCTGGGATTTCAAACCAAGAAAAACATTTTCTGGGATAAAAATTCTATGCTTCAGCAAGTAAGTTGCCATTTTCCGTTACCTTGGCTTCAGATTCCATCACTTTAACTGCCCTTATAAGCCCCTGAGTAATCGCATTCAAGTGTAAGCCTTTCTGCTTCATCTCCTCAAACAGCATCTCTGCTTTCTCCCAATCTAAAGCTTTGAGGCAAAATGATTGTATCAGCTTATTGTACTCATCAGCATTAGGCTGCACCCCAAAACGATCCATTTCTTTCAAAAGTTTCAGTGCTTCGTCATATTCTTCAATCTTGCAATAACCTCGGATAAGTGCGTGATATGTCACAGGACTAAGCTTCTTATGCTTCTTTTTCGCCTCGGCAAGAATCTCTTGAGCTTCGTTCATCAACCCTCCTTTAGCATAACCGCTAATGATGACAGTGTATGTGTACACATCTGGTTTCAAACCTCTACTCTCCATCAACTTCAAAACCTCTTTTGCTTCATCCAGATCTCCATTTCTCGAACAAGCATGGACAATCAAATTGAAAACCGCATTCCCAGGAGCAGGCCCTTTAGAAATCATATCTAAAAGCAAAGATTTAGCGTCTTTAACATTTCTCATCCTGCATAAACTATGGATAACATCAGAAAATGGTTTTATCCCATGTCGCCTAGCTTCTCCAGATAAATCACCCAACATTTCCTGAGCAAACGTAATAGTCCCATCACTTTTGCAAAGAGCACTTATCAGAGTAGCCACAGATCTAGGAGGCACAGATTTCTCTTTCGTCTTTGCCAATTCGTAAACCGCATACGCCTCTTCGGCCTTCCCTTCCTTACAAAACCAAGTTATGATGTTTCCCATCTGATCTCCCTCTGGTAACACACCACTCTTAAGCATTTTCTCACATACAGAGCATGCCCAATCCATAAACGACCGCTTACAAAGCGCCTCCAATGTCAAATAATATGTTTTCGCATTCGGAGTAAACCCAAACTCTTCGGTTTTACTAAACACGTCAAAAGCAGCTTTGGATTTACCAATTTTCCCAAACAAGGCAATCAATTCATTCAATATCTCCAAATTCAAAACACTAGTATTCTCCTTCTCACCAATCTCCTTAACCAAATCCCACAAACCATAAGCATCCATTCTACGTGTATCACTAGTAATGGCTACAAGAAGAGACTCCACAAGTGAGGTGTTAATAGTAATCTCTTCTTTCGCAGTTGCCCACTTCAAAAACCTCATCAAATTCTTAGCTGGAATTCCTGGGGATTCAAACACTCTTGCCACAAAATCTAAGTGTAAGTCGACATTAAGCGCCTTAAGACCAAACTCCAAGGACTCTTCATCACTCCGTAACAAAGACAGTACAGATTCTAACTTTTCGTCATCAAATTGGTACACCTCGCTAACCTCGTTTTCTACTGCGGATCCATCGTCAGAAGGTTCAGTTGCAACAATCTCCGAATCTCCATCTTCACCAACAACACCAATGGCGTCCACGGAAGTACCACCATTCACATCAAAATCGCCAGTTTCTGCAATACTCAAATCGGAAAGATTCGATTTTTCAAGAGTAAGCTCTGCGGCTGACGAGATTGGGATCTCATCCGCAGGTAACGAGACTGGGTTCTCTTCCATAGGAGGGCCCGAGGAGAAGAACCTGATGTTTCGGGAAGAAGCATTTCCAGACGACTCGAGGTATGAGAATCTGGAAAGGGAGGTTAACAATGGAGTCTGGGTCTCCTTCTTCGAGAATCGAGTAACGGCGAGGTTCCGAGACGCATTTTGCGACCTCCAGAAAACGGATCTCCACATTTCTGATTTCTCCCTCAAATTATCTTCAGCAACACTTTCTGATTCTAAACCCAAAACCCTACTCTCTCTCTCTCTCTCTCTCTCTAGCTTGGATCTTATTGCAATTAAAAAAAAAAACTTTTTGTTACAAATTTGTTTCACAAACACATACCAAATCAATTTTAATATGGTTTAACATAAACCAAAACAAACCAAATTAAATGAAATAGAAATCTCGAACCAAAACCAAAACTAACCGGTTCTTAACCGGAGCAAGGTGCCAAACACCAAAGAGAACAGTTGCAACGAAACCAACATCAACAACAAAACCGCCGCCAAAAAGGCAAGAATCTGCCAAGAACCAAAAACATAAACCTCAACCAATCTTCCAATCTTCACTTTCCAACGTCCGGTATAATAACGGTTTACTTCCTCAATAGTCTTATCCAAAAACCCAACTTTGGTCAACCTCACAGATTTGCTCATACCATTCCACATCTCTGCAGCTTCTTGATCACTCTTGAGCCGGCTCACAAGAACGCCTTGTTCTCTAAGCAACCTAATGTCCTCTTCCGAATCGATTATTCCGTTAATGAGCTCTGTGTAGCGAGTGAACACCAATGGTCCTGAAGTGTTTGAAGCTTCGTAAGCGACTAGGTTTCTAAGAACCGTTTCTGTGTTGATGTCTAGGTTTATTACAGGGAGGTGAAACTGACCCGAGTTTGAATCGAATGCTACTGTTGAAATGTGACCGTTTGTTGTTGCTTTGAATCGAACTCCGGCTTTGTGGAGATCTGAGACTGATGGGATTGCAAGTTCTTCCACAAGAGGAGGCTTCTCCATATCCGGATCTGAAACCGATGATGATGCTTCTCGTCGTGTTGTTGTTGCTTCGTTTTCTTGTCTTGTGAAGAGATAATCAGCTGAAACTTTCAGAGCCATGAATCCAGGAAGATTTGATATGATTCTCCACGGGAATCTCAAGATTAAATCCGCAGTTTGAGAAGCGAAAACCCTTCTGAATTGATGTTTAATCTCTTTCAGAAACCTAATTACTCTGTTTCCGCCATTGTCTTCTGCTCTGTTTTCTTCGTCTTCTTCCTCGAGCTCTTCTTCTTCTTCTTCTTCGATTTTTGGGACGATCATCTGATACAAGAAATCTAGGATATGATTACACTCATGCAACTGAGCCTTCAAAATATTATCTTCGTTAAAATTGATAACGAGAGGGGAAAGATCTCTGCATAATCCCGTAAGAACAGAGACCAAGAGGTCATCAGCTAATTCGATCGATTCCAGCTGAAACTCGAGTGTTTTCCTCAAAACAAAAAGAGGGATTTGGTTCTCGATCATCATGATATCTCTGAGAATCTCGTTATGCCCAACTCGGTTAATCAAAGTCTCCACCTTTCTAAAACTGTAAATCTTAAGAAACTCGATCAAGAACGATGAATCTACCGCCATTATCCACAACAGAGTCTCTCCGTTAAACCCGATATACTTATGATAACAAGCTCGAATCTTAATCTCGATAGATTGCAATTTCTCTACAAGGTCATGAAACCTGAAAGAGCTTGATTGGTTTCTAAATTTTCTTGCGATCATTAGTTTGTACCTTTCCATTTCGTGTAGCTCTGGCTTTAGACAGTGATAAGGTCCGATCGAAACTCGGTGAGGTGTGTATGAATCTGGATGGCTACACATTAATGCTTTAGGAACATTGAAAATGCTGACTGTGACTTCTTCGAGATTGTGTTCTTCCAGCTCTGCATCAAGAGATTTCCGGACATCTATGACCCATCGAGTTTCGTCAAAGCTGTGTTGCTCTGTAGATGAAATAATTGGTTTTTTAGGTAACATGATCTTTAATTTCTGAAGCAGCACCAGAGATCTTGACTCAAATCCTTCTTCTTCTTTCAATCTCAGTGTAAACAGGAGAAGAAGAAAACTTTCTTTCTGCAGTTATGGTTTCATCTAGACTTTACTCTGTTTCAATTGTACTGAAACGGTCATTAAGTTTCATCTTGAACAGAGAAAACATATCAAAATATTTGAACTGAATTAGGATTCAATTCGTTTTTTTTTATAGAGTATTTGGTTCGGTTTGATTGAGTCGGTTCAGTTAGCGGACCAATCGGACCAAACAAAAACTTATGTTTTCTTCCTAATGATAACACACCCAGTTCAGGATAAAAATATCCTTGTCTCGGGCAAACAAGAACCCAACATGGCCCATTGGGCCTGCCAGTCTTGTCCTGAACAAAAGAAAAAGCAAAACACTAGCCGTTACGAACTACCGACTCTCTCACTTACTCTGTCCGTGAGCTGTCCTTCACTTCTGTAAACCTCAACGGTCATATTTGGAAAATCCGACCGTTCAAATCTCTCTCTATATATTATCCCATTCCGATCTTCCCGATTACTCACTACAATCACAATTCGCAAGCTATCTTCTTCTTCTTCTTCTCGATCACAAAATCCAAACTTTTCTAAAACCCGAATCAGATAAATCCAACATCATGGGCTTAATTCCTCAGCCACAAGAATCGGTTCAAGAATCTCACTTCTACACCCATAAGATATTCCTCTTCTCAAACTACGTCCTCCTCGGTGCATCCTCGAGCTGCATCTTCCTCACTCTCTCTCTCCGTCTTATCCCTTCACTCTGCGGTTTCTTCCTCATTCTCCTTCACGCCACCACAATTGCAGCTGCCGTCTCTGGCTGTGCAGCCGCATCTTATGGCAAGAACCGGTGGTACGCAGCTCACATGATCGCCACTGTCCTTACTGCCATTTTCCAAGGCTCAGTCTCTGTTCTCATCTTTACCAACACTTCGAATTTCCTCGAGAGCCTTAACTCTTATGTCCGTGAGAAAGAAGCGTCTATGATCTTGAAACTAGCTGGTGGGCTCTGTGTTGCGATCTTTTGCCTTGAGTGGATCGTTCTTGTTCTCGCCTTCTTCTTGAAGTACTATGCTTATGTAGATGGTAATGGCAACATTAACGGAGTTGCTATGAAGAGGACTGGTAAGGTTCAGAGTGACTTCCAAGTTTGAAGAAATTTGACTCCTTGTAGTTATTTTGTTTGAGAGAAGAGAGTTTGTATCAAATGTTAGTTTGATCTGTTTTTCAGGGTTTGGTTTATATGTATTGGAGAATTGAATTTATTGATTACTTTGTTGATGATTCTATATATATATATATATGTCTTGCATAATGATATTTATGGAATGTCTACCCAAGTTCCCTATAACTATAAAAAAATCGGACTTTTTTTGGATAACCAAAAGGAGAAATAAGTGTCTGAACTTTGAGCAAGCAAGCACGTCAGAACAACAATCGAGGCTTTTTGATTTTGTGTCATTCCATAAATTTAGATGTTTTTATAGTTTTCACACACGAGTTCGAGGAGTGTTTTACAATCAAGCAAGGGAGAAAATACAAACCATTCTTTACTTCAGAGAGAACATTATTTAGACTAATACAACAAAAAGAGATCAGAAAGGAAAAAGCAAACTCTTAAGTCTTTGTTCTTGGTAAACCATACATTATCTCACTAAGAACACTCAAACACTTTTCTTGACTGATTCAAACAAGAAACAATACCTAACCACATTACTATATCTACAAATGTTCCGTATAAAACAAAACATATTGAAATGAACTTTCGTGGTCTTAAAACTTGTCCTTCATTGGTGAGATGGTTGGTGAAGACCTTTATGGCTTACTTGGGATAATTCAAAAGAGAACTGTGTACTAAACTTCTTAAGCCCTGATATTTCGACCAAAGATCCAGCTGAATGGTATGTTTTTGGCTGCTTCTTTAGCTCTTCCTTGAGATCTCTCTTCAATTTTGCGGATTCTTGCAGGTAGTCCGCAGACAAAGTCCTGTCAAAGGCAATGATCAAGTCAGGATCCCAACTAGCCAGATCTTCAAATACACAAAACATATTAAACAGTACATATGATATAGTATTCATGACCAAAAACTATTACGAGATTATGATAAGTTTTCATAAACTTGGAGGTTCATCACAAGAAGTTTGACTGAGGTAATTTACCTGGGCCCTGTGTCCTTCACTAGAAAGGCCTGACAAAGTTTCCACGTTCCACCGTTCAACAAGGAACTCCAGAATATCAGCATAGTCCTTAGCGGTGTAGACACCCAGCCTCTGGGCAACAGTTGAAAAGTGCTCAAACAGGTTATCATCTTGGCCATCATACATTAAATGTGCAGGCATTGAGATCTTTTTCTTCATCATATCAGCCAAGCCCAAGATCGTGCCATCAGGGTCAATTTCAAAGAGCTTCTCTACAATCTTGGTGTAAGCAGTCTCGTGACGCCTCTCATCAGCAGCAATGGTCCCACATATTTGCGCAAGTTTCAAATCTCCACGATCTTTCGCCAGTCTGGCAGTGTTTCCATGGGAGATGAAGGTCGCTCTTTCTTGAAAGGATGTGTAGATGAAACCCAAGTAAGGGTTGTTTTCAGTTTTGGGATCCTGAGAACATAAGACAAAATAGATCGATCATATATTGGATATTACTTCAATTATATCTTCAGAGTTTGAAGAATAAACTATGTGTACTTACCATGCCAGAACCAATCAGGTACTGAATTGTCTTTTCAATCTGCCTCATGTCTACTCGACCAGAGAGATAAAGATACTTGTTAAGAAGATCCCCATGCCTATTCTCCTCAGCAGTCCAAGCCCTGGTCCAAATAGCCCAAGGAGTAGGACTTGCTCCGGTCTCATCCCTAACTCCATCCAATGTGTTCAACATCGTCTGGTAAGTAGGAAGTGCTTCTTCAGTGATCATATCCCCAACGAGCACCACAAAATAGTCATCGGGAAGCTCCTTGCACCTCTCTCTTAACTCCTTGACTTGGTCATAGAATCCTTCAGACTCAGGCTCAGGAAGGAAATCGGAAGGCTGCCAGGATTTCTCAACAGGTTTTAAATAAGTCAAAAGGGTTTCATCAGCCCATCCTTCTAAAGACTTAAAGATCTCCAACTTTTGTGGCGGCATTGAATGTTGAACTTGGACATGCACCTCTCTAGGAGGAATGTACAGTTTCCTTCCATTTGTAACCTCTCTGTGATAAAAAAATAATAATTAAAAACCAAATAAAGTCTCACATAGAGACTAGGCAACAATCCTGAACAACACCCAATAGGCTTTTCTTAATACGTAATTAGCATAAGCATTAAGCAAGCAAGAGAATTAGTGAATAAGAAATTGATTAGCATAGTAGTCTTATGGGCCAACAACCAAGTAATAAACACAAAACAATTCATGCATGCGTTGGGAGAGAAGAAGAGATTAACCAAATTTAATTAATGCTACTAGACACAGGGAGACAAATGTTTTCCTTTGCATGTAAGGGATATATTTACCAAAATCAAGCATAAATGAGTTTCTTTGATCTAAACCAAACTCGCACATAAATCTTTAAACCAGTTAAAAACTGAGAGATTTCAACATACAAATGAAGTAAATACATCATTTCACGAATACATGAGAGCGCATTGGGAATAAAATTGATGAAAATAGGAAGCTGGATCAACCAAAACCAGAGATTTATCATTGATACTCAAAGCAAATACCAGATCAGGACAAATTAAAAGCATTAGAGGAATAAATAAACCCACGAATGCAAATTAAAACTCACGTAGCGGCAGAGCGAATCGTAGAAGCCATGAAAACTCTGGAAGATCTGGATCCCCTAGCTTGACAAGGACGATAGACGTTAGACGAAGGGGAGACGACGATCCGATCCATTGCCATCGCCATTTTTTTTCTTCTTTTCTTCTCAAACAAACTCTCAATCAATGAACAGAAACAAAACGAATCACAGATTAACAAGACAAAGCTTTCGATTATTTCTATGCTCTGAGACTGTGACAAAAAAAGAGACAAATGTGAAATAGAAGAAGACTCAACTTTGGGCGTGACGATCGAGCCACGGGCATTAATATTAATGTTATTTTTTTATTCTCTAGAATATCCCTCAGGTTTACTTTCTAATTACGTCTATGCCACTCCTTACAGATATTTTCTTTGCTTTTCTTCACAAGCCCATGGGCCGTATGGTATATAAACCCAATCTTTTAGCGTTGTTTTTTAATTACTTTACTCTGTTTAGAACACCCCTCATATACTGCTTTTATTACACATCTGCCACTCTTATTCGCTCATTTAGTAAAGCCCATGAGCTCGCCCATTAACGCCATTGCAAGCCTTTGTCGTTTTTATAGTTCAACTTCTCTCCCGTAAATCCAGCTGAATGAAACAGAAGGTTTTGACGCGAGTTTGACCCTATCGTTAGCTCTTTCCTCTAACCTCCTGATCCTCTGCGGCAAGGTACACAGATAGTCCTGTGCTCTCCTTCCTTCACCGGACAAACCCGACCCTAACCTCTCCACCTCCCACCGCCGCAACAAAAACTCCAAAATCCCGGCGTAATCCGTCGCTGTATAGACTCCGATTCTCTGCGCTACGGCGGCGTAATGATCGAACAGATCTTCATCGCGTCCGTCGTGCATCAGATGAGCCGGCATCGTGATTCGTTTCCTCATCATGCTCGCAAGAGCCTGTACGATCCGGTCGGGATCGATCTCGAATAGCTTCTCGACGATCCGTGTGTACGCCGTCTCGTGCCGCTTCTCGTCCGCCGCGATCGTTCCACAGATTTTGGCGAGAGTTGTGTCGCCGTAGGTCATGGCTAGCTTCGCCGTGTTGCCGTGGGAGATGAACGTTGCTCTCTCTTGAAAAGAAGTATAGATGAAGCCGTTATAGGGATTGTTCTCAAATTTGGAGTCCTGAAAACAATTATAAAATTATTAATTTGATCCTCAAAAACGTATAATTCACAGTTTGCGCCCAAATATATTTATGTGAGTGCAACAAAATTTGGCTATATTATAAAGTGAGAACGTAGGCACGTACCATGCCGGATCCAATAAGATACTGGATAGTTCTTTCAACATGTAGCATGTCAACACGACCTGATAAGTAGAGATACTTATTCAACAAATCATCGTGGCGATTCTCCTCCGCCGTCCATGCTCTAACCCAAACAGCCCACGCTGTTAGACTCCCGCCGGTCTCGTCCTTGACCCCGTCGAGAGTGTTCAAGGTCGTTTGATAAGTTGGTAATGCTTCCTCGGTGATCATGTCTCCGACAAGGACTACAAAATAGTCGTCAGGGATCTCTTTTGTTCGCTCTCTTAGCTCTTTCACTTGTTTGTAGAATCGGTCTTCGTCGTTGGGATCGGGCAAAAAGTCTTGTGGTTGCCAGGAAGCTTCCACGGGTTTGAGGTAAGATAATAAGTTATCTTGTGCCCAGTTCTCCATAGATTTGAAGATCTCGAGCTTCTCTTGTGTTATTGTGTGTGTCATTTGGTTTGGTACTTCTTTGATGGGTCGAAACGTCTTCTTGTGTGTTTCTTCTTCACTAGTTTCTCTTTAACATTTTTAATTGTTAATTAATAAGAAAATTGTAAAATTACCAAAATCATGCGAATATATATATATATATATATATATATATATATATATATATATATATATATATATATTTACTTTTTAGAATGCTAAGTGATTTTATATATGAGTTTCATCAGAACATGCAATCAGTATTTATTGATTTGAAGTATTTTCAAGTTCAATATTGTTAATTGTCCGATGTAGAAAAAGACAGTCAATAACTTTTTGATCAGTTTTGTACCGTTTCGATTCGGTAGCTAGGCGATATTTAAATATAATACGATCAATCGATCATCTCTAGCTAACAATTTCATCCCATTGAGTTAAACGTCTACCACGGAATAAATCTACCATTATAAAAGCAAAAGCCAAAACTTATTATTTTATCAACGAAAAGGATTAATAAAGATCTGAAAACATTTAAAAAAAAAAAAACAAAAAACTCACCTAGGGTTTGTGGCAACACACGAAACTCGAAGAGGACGACGACGTGAAAAACTAGAAGATCCCAAGCAAGTAGGCGGCCAAGAAGACAAGGCTACCGCCGGATTCTGCTTCATAGCCACTGCAGTCATCGTCGAGTTCAAGAGCAAAGCCATCGTCATAATCTCTCTCTCCCTCTCTTCTCTTCTTTTCCTTTATGCCTTTGGTTTAGAAGGAGACAGGAGTATATATATAAAATACTGAGTTATTGACAAAATAATATATGGAGTGTTGAACATGTCACCCCCTAGCTGTAATTATTATTCTTATATGTTTAATTATGCATTAATAATATGCAACTATGCACTTGTGTGACATATGACGAGTCGTTTAATAAGGATTAATAAAGATCTACAAAAACGTAAATGCGAAGACAAAGAAATTGTCAAACATAAAACAATATAATTTCTTTCCGTTTGCATTCACGTTTAGATATTTCTTCTTATGTTAATACACAATCCATAAATAAATTTGTTGAGATTATAAATTCACAAGCATATGATAACAAATATATTAAAAGGTTCAAATGCAAACACACGTACATATTTTGGTTCAACGATAAACAAAACATCAGACGGAGGGTATGTTTATGTTCTTATTTTTAGTATAAAGCGGATATGTAATAAAGTTTGGTAACGCATTTACAAATGGGAGTGATCGAGAAAGTTGGGGTACTCGTGTCGTGTCTATTTGCCTCCAAGTTTTGAACATGTACATACATACATGCTAATTTATCTATGAAAAAAATCAGACGTTACAACACTTCACTTGCAATATTTAATCAGATAATTGGAATTTGGAAGTATTCAACACCCATACAGAAACAAATAACAAAAGAAAGAAAAAAATGTTATCAAGAAGAAACAATTCCAGATGTATAGATGTAGTTTTTGTTTTACACTATTTGAAGATGAATTCGGTTTTAGTTGTAAAGATGTCATTTTTGTTTTACACTATTTTGAAGATAATTTTTTTCTTGTGTTTTACGTTTACTACGAGTTTCGATGATTAGGTTCAAATCTAATTGTTTATGCGGGTATATATACCAAAATCAAAACTCGCTCTAATTTGCTATTCGCTTATCAAGAGTTAAAATCACAAACATTAACCAATACTAATACCGGGCCCTTTAATACTGGTCCATCAATTGAAAACCAAAACCAAACCGACTGTGTAGTTTTACTACTGTAGTTATCTTACACCAAATCTACCAAAGTAGTCAAACAAAGAATCAAAAGAACAAGAGAAAGTGTCCTAAGAAATTAACCAGACCAGCCTTTAGCGTTTTCTTCTTCTCAGCCTCTACCAGTTTCTACATCTTCTTCTCTCCTCATACTCGGATTATCCACCAAATGTAAACCCATAAACCCACCGTCTTCTTCTTCACCTTGAGCCGGTTGCTGCACCGCTCCATTCTCCGTCCCTTGCACTCTCGCTGCTTCTAACACTTGGAAGTAAGCATATGGTCCCCAACCTAGAACAACATCAGACTTTAGATGATCACTTCACAAATATAAGCAAAACTGTAAATGGTATCTTCAATTCGTTTGTACCTTCGGTGTGATATGGTGGCGGGAAAAATTGAAGATAACAGAATGTAGAGACCACAAGACCTGCGAGTTCAGACAGTTGGTATGAGGTTAGAATGTTGTTTAAGGCGAACAAGTTTTGACCCTTTTGAGCAGAGAGTGAAAACAAACCTAGCAAGCCTCCTGCAAAGACGTCTTGCCAATGATGCCAATAGTCATCAACACGGGAAATACCGACCAGAGCTGCAAATAGCAAAGGGAGTATGACTATGCATAGCTTTGCAACATGGCCTTTACCGTCAAATGCTTGAATCTTTCCGGATAAGTATAGCGACAGAAATCCCAGACCCGCAAAAGACCCTGCAAAAACAAATCATAGCCGCATTTTTATTTAAACCAAAACTTTACTTTCGCCTAACATGCTCAAGAAACAAAGAAAGTAAAATAGTCTTACATGACGTGTGCCCGCTTGGGAAGCTTTTGTGCCCTTCCCTTATGACGCTTTTATCACCATGGCATACAACATCTCCGAGGCTATCATAAAGCTGAGAAGCAAAATAGAGATTCAAGAGGCAGAACAAGATTTAAAACGCGATAGTTAAACACATGAAGTCACTTACCGCTTTGCCATCAGGAAAACAACGCCAGAAAAAGTCAGGACGTGGTCGACCAACTGCATTCTTTATTGCATCGGTAAGTACTGCTGTCACCAGAACAGAGTACAAGAGACCTGCACATGGAGTAAGGCCAACATTAATGTTGATTATATATGTAAAAGAATACATTTTGAAGCAAACAGTACTCTCCTTCAGAAATTCTGACCTAGCACCGCGTGATGAAGATCATAAACATCTCTTCGACGGAAATAGATAAAGATGAAGATTACCAAAGGCAACAGCATCGCATATACCTGTTATTCCGAAGAAAATAAATGTTTTTTATATCGTGTAAAACGTCTGAGGCGAATGTTAGAAGTTGACATAATGGAGGCTTACCGGAACAGACCAAATTGGTACGGTGTTACTCTTTAACGGGTAACTGAGATCAGTCATCATATCTTTCCCAACAAAGCGATAAAACGGGTGGATTATAAGGAGTACGCACTCGAGAATAACAAGTAACACGAGAATGATCCAATCATGCATGTGAGTCCTTGCAACAGTCATTCCATGGGACCTCACAGTGTGAGCGCCTAGCTGTGCCTCTCTCATCCTGTGCTGCTTAGAGACATAAAATACACCATGATTAAATAATTTCCTTTCTCGCTTCAGACACAATGATGGAAAAGCCGACAATCTAAGCAAGAAAGGTACTTTTAGTATGTGAAAAGCAAAGAATCTGCATGAGATCACTGTTGTGGGTCAAAATAGTTGCATGGACTCATTAGAAAAGCTATCCGTAGCATAACATTGAGTTCTCTAACAAAATTGACCTGCTGTATCACAGTGATATCCTAAATTCAGCTAAACATTCCGACCAAAATGATGTGAAAACAAAAATATATGGAAACTCGATGTCTAAGTTATGGTATTCGTTGCAACACAAGATTAAGTTTTGATATACACTAGACTCACCAAGAAATAGTTGGCGAAAAGACAAAAAAACAATTAGGGTACCTCTTTACTATTAGGTTCTATGAGTGGAATGTCAGATGGTGAGACCCAATTATCAGCAGTTTCTGAAATTTCAGTCCCCCGGTTTGTCACAGCCTATGATCATCCCAAGAAATCACACACTTTTACAGGTAAAAAGCTTTACAGGGAAATACAATTGGATCCGGGAAACAAATCATTCGAAGAATCATTCTGAGGATATTCAATTCTGGTGGACATCAAGATCAAACAATCAGGGTGCGGATTTACTCGCAAAATCTTTTGGCAAAGTGAAAAGTAATTTCTTATTTCATCATTATGTTTTTTCATTTTCTTATTAATGCTTTACATTGTAACCACGTTCAAACTCTTAAGTTACAAAAGAAAAACCCCCCAATAATACTCAAGAAACAAGATTATGGAAGAAGCAGTCCTAAAATGTCCTGAGCACATGCACGTTAAGTCGATTGAACATAATGTGCTTATGCTTATGGAAGAAGACTTGATTGAAGAGGCAGTTTAGCAGATGGTTGTTATTGGTTAGGTATATAACTGCTAGTCTGTGACTACGTATAAAGCTAAAGACATGATTATTGTCTTAAATCAAGCCTATCTAATAACGTATAGATGCAACCAAACCTATCTGCATAAATAAATTGAAAAAAAGGAACAAAAGATTCTTACTAAGCTAACTAGACTCCATCAAGTAACAAATCTACATACTGTACAATGTTTCTAACATTGATGGTTCAGTTCACAGCTAATTCTTCCTGTAAATCTGGTGAAATGCTGTTAAGTCAAACATTGGTAAGCTAAATCCCTTGTAGTTTATAAGATACTCCTGTTCAAACAATCAAGCAGGAAACAAGAATTTCTAAGATTCACACCATAAGGTAGTCAAACCACAGAACCACAAGAGAGAAGAACAGAGAAGATTCAACCAAACCATGACTAAGAAGACTATGACCACCAAAACGAATCTGGAACCAGAGTCACTGAACTGATAATATGCAAATTAGAGGGTTAAATTGAGTCTATTGCATACCTAACAATCTACAATGAGATCCGTAAAAAGACAACTTCACCTAAATATTTTGGAACTGGAAGAAACACGACCTTGAAGGAGTAGAGATTCAAGTAGAGAACTAAATCAAATCTAAAGTAGAGATTCAAGCAAAACCCACCAATTTAAAAACTTGTCCAAAAAAATCATTGACAAGAATCGACAAACCTGATTAGAACCCCCAAAATTCTGAAAACAAGGAAAACAGAAGCGAGCCATCGTGTAAGACTTTAAAGTCTCAAAATTAGCTGAAGAGGAGCAATAAAGAGTCTACCATCCGAAAAGTAGAGAGGGACAGACAGAGACAAGAAACTTCATCTAAGGATAGAGTAGGATGAAACCCAATTCAACATTACAGTAATTGAAAGAGCGATAAGTAGAAACGAACAGTGACTCTCGAGGGACAATGTAATCAACACAAGTGGGAGTGGGCAATATAAATGTTTTGTTATATCTACAAAAATCCCATGTGAAAGGAACGACCTTTATGCCACCATCGATATGCAAAAGATGATTTTTAAATATGAAATTACACAGGAAAAATTTACCAGACAAAGAAGCAAAAAGGAGGATTTTTAAAGCGAGAAAGAAAAGAAATATACCTTGACTCTGATTGACTCGCCTTATAAATTGTTTGATGTTTGATGCTTAAGCTGAAACAATTTAAACAAAACCAACAAAAAAAAAAAAAAAAAAGTGGGTTAGCGAAAAGGTGTATTATACTTTCATGGCGGATGAAAGAGAGAGAAAACATACACAAACACGGTTTTGCAATTTCGATGCTTGGGGTGAAATTGAAAATTATGTAAATTTTTAGGTCTTTCATTGGGTTATTGTCTTTCCAAACTTTTGTTTGCTTTTCAAAGTCTTCAACCTTAGCCGACAAAGAAAAAAAGGAAACTTGGACTCGTACATGTTATCATATCTTAAGCAACCTCACCTACCATTTACGAATTTATATTTACGGTTTTTGGAAACTTCAAAGATGACTGTTGTAAAAACTTTAGCTAGATTTTTGGTAAAAGAAAAAAAAATGATGTTATAAGTGTTGAATCCCGCCAAGTTATACATAATCTTTCAGATTTTAAATCTAAAATATCCCACACATATACAAGATTAATAATAAAAAGATTTTTAAAAGAGAATGTCAGAAACTTTGCATCAAATTATGCGGTCATGTTTCTGTTTCCAACAAAGTGATTTGAAAGTTTTAAGAGTCACGAGAAGAAGAACATATGAAGAAGAAGAAAAATGTGAACTTTTGGACATTCTCAGTTTGTTTTCTTCTTGTAACTGCAATCTTCCGTTAAAGGAACTCTAAGAGAGCCAAACATCCAATCCATCCATATGGTATAGTGACCATAGTTATGCTTGTATGTCGTATGGTGTATGGTATGGTATCCTGCTCCCATTATAGGCCAGATGTTACCATGGATGCAATCATGGATGCTTGTTGTCCATATCCCTTCCAAAAACAAAAGAATCAGATGTGATATAACATGAATCGGCACTATAAAGAGCGCTATCACGTGCGGTACAGCCTGAAGTATCCCGTCAACCGGATGGAATGCGAACCCTTGAAAAAACCAAACAAAAAACGTCAAGTATATATATAGAAGTCACTAATTAAATGAAACAAGATACATAACTTGACATACCAGCAAATGGAGAGATTGTGTTTTTCTCGTTGTAGATGTGATGGGTCGCATGGATATGCTTATAGAGAAATTTAATGTCATGCAGCGTTTTGTGAACCCAATAAACCCCAATCTCAACTAGAACAAGATAGAGAATTATGTAGAGGAAACAGAGGAAATCGTCAAGTGTAGAGTAACATTTGGTCCAACCATGCTCGATCATATACTCAGTGAATGCTGGAAGAAGACTGTGCCAAAGCATAGCCTTCATTGCCACAGATATGTGGAGAATCATTGCCTTTCTTGTAGGGATGGAATCTGTAGCAAGACTACAGAACCGGACTGTAGATGAGAAATTCAGCATTCGAAATTTATAGAGTTGGTGCTGAGATATTGGACAATTGGTGGCGAAAGATCACCGTACAAGTCAAAATCTTGGTCTCAAGGTTTACCGTTAAAAAAATGGGGTCTTACAAAGATCAAACATTTACCTGTTTTTTAACTAGACAGCAAATGTTCAGTCACTGTTTCTAACAAAAAATATTGGAAACATTGAGAGAGACACACTCATGAAGAACAAGAAGGGTTGAACTTTGAACAACAACGAGCAAAGCAAAGACACAAAAGGAAAAACCAAGTGGGCATTCTCACTTTGCTTTCTTGGAGCCGTCTTTGTTGTCATCTTCTTCTAAAAGAGGATCTCTAAGGGAGCCAAACATCCAATCCATCCATATGGTATAATGACCATAGTTATGCTTGTATGTCGTGTGGTGTATCGTATGGTATCCTGCACCCATCACTGGCCAGATGTTGCCGTGGATGCAGTCATGGATGTTCGCTGTCCATATCGCTTCCAAAAACAAAAGACCTATATGGGTTGTGAAATGAATTGGCACCACAAACAGCGCTATAACATGCGGTATAGCTTGAAGTATCCCATCTACTGGGTGAAATGCAAGCCCTGAAAACCAAATTGTAAGGAGTTTAGATCTCACATTCTTGGATGAACCAAGAAACAATATGGCGATCGTATATAAAGAACTTCTCAATGCATAAGTCTTTTTCTGATGTTCACAAAGTCTACTCTGGTAAGAAATTGAATGCTACCAATCATTTAGATGGATAATGCAAAAGAAATTGAAATACATACCAGCAAAAGGAGAGAGTGTATTTTGCTTGTTGTAGATATGATGCGTCGCATGGAGATACTTATAGAGAGGCTTAATGTCATGAAGCTCTCTGTGCATCCAATAAATACCAAACTCAACGAAAACAAGATAGATGGCGAGGTAAACAAAATAGAGGATCCAGCCGAGTTCGCCTAGTCTAGAGTAACATTTGGTCCAGCCATGCTCGATCATATACTCAGAGACAGTCGGAAGAAGAGTGTACCAAGGCATAGCCTTCATTGCCACAAACATTTGCAAACGCATAGCCTTTATTGTAGGAATGGCATCTGAAGCAAAGCAGATCAAGTAAATAAAAAGTTTTCAAACTAAGACAAATAAGCTTAGAGAGGTTCTGGAAGATTCAACTAGGATAGTATCACACACACTGTGATATATATTCTTCCAGTGCTAAGTTCACAGAGAATCACTTCAACTACCAATTTAAGTGGAGTTAAAAGCAAAGTAGTGCTGTAGAAAAGATGTATTACTTTTTATTGATTGCACAAGAACTTATATCTCCCACATGAACCATCCACATCAAGAAATGATGCTAGATCAAATCATCATCAATTTCAGAACAGTACACGAAGAAGCCCTTTTCCATATACTAATCCTCGGAAGCATAAAGGGAAAAGAAAATAGAAAGACGATAGAGTCGAGACCTTTGGGAAGGTAAACGTTGATTTTAAGGTAATAGATGTAGAAGCACCATAGAAAGCCTGAGATGAAGTAGAGTAGGGTTCCGGCGAGGAAATTTCGGAGCCACGTCTGGAGAAAATGAGGCAAAGGTTCCCACAGATTCGCCGGCAAAAGATGGCTCAAAACGATCCAGTTGTAAAACGAAGTTTCGTCCACGAACTGCATCAGATACGCATGATCCGCCGCCATGTGAATCGGAGATCCACCGAGATCGGTGCCGTAAAACGAGAGAAGATTTCGTCGGTTTGATAGCAGCACTTTACCTTACCCTTTCCTGAATGGGAACGAGGACGCAACACTAGTTAATGCATGTCTAAGATACAGATAGAGTTTGATTGCCGACAAAAAAAAAAAAAAGAGTTTGATCTTTGATGTTGAGTGATCTCTCTCATATGTTCCTGGTAATTTTTGGTGATCTGGTTTAATCGAAAACAGCTGTAATTCGTTTCCGTCCCAATATTTTGTCATATTTACAAATTACACCTTCTACTTGTATGTGGAAAAAGTAAACCCACCAGTCCACCAAGGTAGGGAATATTCAACATCTAGTACTAGTAGGTACAAAACACATTTTGAAACTGACTCTTCTCTGGCATGTTTCTAGATTTTAAATAGGGGTATTAGTATTTCATAAAAAAAATATATAGGGGTGAAATTTATAATAATTTAAAAGTTATGGGGAGAAGTTGTAAGAGAGAGAGAAGTAGGACTTAATTTTAGATTTCGAGGGACGGGATCTATATCTAAAGATGCTTGTTGGTCATATGTACAGTTGTACTTGTAGAATATAAAGATGACGTGCCCGCACGTGGAAAGGCTACCAGCGTCACGCGCCGTCAGCCCGAACCAAACGGCGTTGGACCTCTGATATTTTAACGGGTTACTAACATAAGGCCCAATCTGTGAAACCCAAACCAAAAGTTTTTAAATATAAAGTTTAATATTATGAAACCTGATTAATAACATATTCAATATATCCATTAGCGATTTGAACATTAAAGTTTTCATTTTCTAGTTATTGTATATGGTATTGGATGCATGACGTTTACATCGATATGATTTTAAATACTCAACGCATCCGCCTGATTTTTTTTTGTTTTTAAATTAGATTTTATTCTGTTTTTTGTTTTTGTATTCTTTCTCAACATAGAGGAAAAAAAACGAGATATTTAACATTTATTGATGAAAAGAATGAATTTGGAATTATCGTACAACAAAAATGATAACGTTTTGAACATTTTTGATTTGGTTACATTTTGTCGGTTTTAGTCTTAAGCAATACTATAAACTACAAAAGTAACTGAGACGTAAGAGTGAGTCATCATTAGAGTCCACGTGGACAGCTAGCAAACGGCCCACTAACCACGGACGGACGTTAATTCCGTCGGCAAAACACGTGATTTCTTTTAACATCTGTCACTTTTCCACTTTGTTAAGTTAAACATCTCAGCCCCCACATTTCTATTTTATTCCCATTTTTCACCCCCACACTTTTGAATTTGCAATCATGCCTTCCTCTGTTTATAAAACATAAAAGTTTCCACGATTCGGGTAAAGAGAAAAAGCTTCGAGTCTTCCATTAACATGGGCGCTTAGCTTATAAGACTATAGATATTTGTTTACCTCCGAGACACGGATTTAGATTCGTAATCGTGAGTTTTGGTGTCAATGGAGATCGCTACTGTCGTTAAGGCTAATGGCGGTTGTGAAGCGGATCGACGACGGCTTCGCCGGTTGAGATGCTCCGTTAAGGATTACGATTGGGGCAAAATTGGATCGGATTCACTCGTTTACAGGGTTTATGCGGCCAACTCAGATGACCAGATCGATTCCACACGACCGTACGCTGAGCTTTGGATGGGGACTCACGAGTCTGGTCCTAGCTACTTGGAGGATGCTGATGGATCCAATGGCGTGACCCTCAGATCGTGGATTGCCGAAAACCCTAAATCACTCGGTAATAGGGTTTTGGAGAAATGGGGTTGCGATCTCCCCTTTCTGTTCAAGGTACAGACTTTATATACATTGCCACATTGTTCAATTTCCCTCAAAGTCTCTGCATTTTATGATTTCTGACTTGATTTTGCTCATTTCGTCCGATGTGGATTTGAATCTGTAATGTAAGTTCTTTTATCTTGTGAGTTGCAGAATTGTGATTCAAATTTTGTAAATTCGTTAGGTGTTGTCGGTGGCAAGGGCTTTGTCGATTCAAGCACATCCTGATAAGAAATTAGCAAAGAAAATGCACAAAGCTCATCCTAATCTTTATAGAGACGACAATCACAAACCAGAAATGGCTTTGGCCTATACCCAATTCGAGGCTCTGTGTGGGTTTATACCTCTTCAGGTATCATTTTTCATTATTTCCTAAAGTTTTTGATTTTTTTTTTTTACATCAGAGATTGACCTATGCATTGACCCACTTAGTTTCCCAATTTCGACAATCATAAAACATATTGCTTGGTCAGTTCATCAACTGAGACTGGATTCGCTGAAGTAGTATTTCTGGTTATTCATGGTGTTGCACATGAGTCGTTTGTTTCCCTTTTTCTCTATGGTTATATCTCAGAGATGGACACATTGCCTAAACTTTGGAAACAAATTTGATTTTGTAGAGCATCTCTACTAACACTAGAATTGTTATCTTATTTCTTTTCTTAGAATTGAATGATTTAGTTTCTTCTTGTACCAATGTTGCAGGAGCTTAAGAGTGTCATTCGGGCTATTCCAGAGATTGAAGAACTTGTTGGGAGTGAAGAAGCAAATCAAGTGTTCTGCATCAGTGAACATGATGAGGAAAAATTGAAATCTGTTGTCCGAACAATCTTCACCCTGTTAATGTCTGCAGATCCCGATACAACAAAGAAAATCGTATTCAAACTAAAACGCCGTCTGCATATGGAGAGTCAGGTCAGCCTTCTAACTGCCCTGTTACTGTCTACTTTGCTTGATTGCTACTGTTTCTGTAATTGTTTTTTCGCTTAATATCCCTGTGAATTCCACTGCCTGAAACCTTCTCAATTTACACAGGAACGTCAACTGACAGACAAGGAGCGACTTGTTCTGAAGCTAGAGAAGCAATATCCAAATGATATTGGAGTCATATCTACATTCTTCTTCAACTATGTGAAGCTCAATCCCGGCGAAGCCTTGTATCTCGGTGCAAACGAACCCCACGCTTACTTATTTGGTGAGTGCATTGAGGTCATGGCGACTTCAGACAACGTAGTAAGAGCTGGCCTCACTTCCAAGCCTCTGGATATTCAATCACTTTGTTCCATGCTCACATATAAACTGGTAAACCATACAACTTAAAACTAAACTTAATATCACAAAGTTAGTTTATAGATTGGTTACTGATGGGTCGTTTCTGAGTTTCAGGGATATCCTGAAATTTTAAAGGGATCAAGGATTCGACCATACATCACAAGATACCTCCCTCCTTTCGAAGAGTTTGAAGTTGATCTGTGTGATCTTCCCTCTGGAGCCTCCACAGTGTTTCCCTCTGTTCCAGGCCCTTCGCTTCTGCTTGTACTCCAAGGTGAAGGAAGGATGTCTACAGAAGCTTCAGCAGATGGGATTTCGATGGGGGATGTTTTATTTGTGCCTGCAGATACCGAGATTCACTTGAGGTCTTCAACTGACTTGAAGTTGTACAGAGCAGGAGTGAACAGTAGGTTTTTGTATTCTCTATAGCCAAACTACACACAAGTATCACTTTCTCAGTTATTGTATGATTTAATTCAAAAGTTGGTTCACATTTGTGCCCAAAAATTACAAATTTGATGTGGAAATTTTTTGATACTACGTTTCTAAAACAATAAATGCTAGAACACAAGTACTGTATATTGTTAAATAGAACGTTGAAAAAGTTGATGAAACAGAGTTTTTACTCCCAAAAAGCAAACAGAAGGAAAAGCTATCCGACAAAAATGAACAAAACAAACATTCATCTCTTCAAGCTTCAGTGACTGGGTACTCGAAAACTACATCTCTGCCTGTAAGTTTCTTGTACACACCCATCATTGTCTCCAGCTTGTACTCAGTGTCATTCTTCTGCTTAATGTCTAAATAGACCTGCCCAATGAACAAAGGGGGTGAGACATGTTATAGACCAGTTCAAAGCACTGGAAGAAGATCAATGAGCTTTCAAACGTTTTACCTTAGTAACCTTGGTGCCATCAAGACGGTATCTGGTTCGCTTTCCTACAATCTCAGCAGGGTAAGCAACATCCTCAAGCATAGCTTCATGGACGGAAGTAAGAGTCCTGTTGCGTGGTCTCTGAACAGCTGAGCCCTTCTTTGGGGGGCGCATGATTCTTCTGGTAGCAACAAAGACAACATCTTTTCCACTGAACTTCTTCTCAAGCTCTCTGACAAGACGGAGGTGAATCTTACGGAAAGCTTTCCTCAATCTGAATGGAACATAGATCACAACAGCCTTGCGATTGCCAGAAATATCCATATGACTGCAGAAAGAAAGAAATGGAGATATTAAGTGGATAACACAAAACTAAGATCCTTCAAACCACAAAAACAAGTACATACACTGCTTGGTTGATGTACAGATCTTTCAACTCGCTTTTCAGTTCCTGGTTAGTATTCTCCAAGTCAAAGAAAGCCTGCAGAAAAAGAAATAAACATTCTAGTCGATTAGCAACCAAAAACATCTACTGGTCAAAGAAAATGAGACAGCGACAACGAAAATAACCTGAGCGACTTGCTCCTCAAACTCTGTTGGTGCCACACCCTTATCCTTGTGGATCTTGTTCTGAGCAGAATACATCTTCACAGATCTACAGCATAACAAGATACAGCAAAACAAATAAACAAGAGAGCCAATCAAATTTTGGTAACAAAGGTAACTTACATGATTGTAATGAGACTTCAAAGGACCAAATTTGATCAACTTTTCCGAAACTAGGACAGACATTAACTAGAGTTCCAAAATACTGATAAAACATTATAACCCTAGAGTAAGTTCTCTATTCCTCCATTGATAATAAACGAGGAAGCAGATCAACCTAATCCGTTATCCTAAATAAACCCCTGAATAATTCACCTCACTACAAGCTAATAAGTTTCTCCAAAAAAAATCACGTCGATTAGCCTCCAAAGAAGAACACCCATTTCGTGGATTACGATAATACACAGTGAATGGAAACGTTTTGAAGCGTACCAGTTAAAGAACGACGAAGAAGCTTCGACGGTGAGAAAAAGGTTTACGGCTTTCAGAGCTTCGTCTTCGAGAGGGGGCAGCACAAATCTGGTGAAGCAAAGCCTTAAATATCAAGGGTTTTTCTTAAGATCCCTATTTTGGACGGCCTGGATTTAATGATCAATCTCTTCACCCAAACTGGGCCTTTCTTTATAGGCTCTTAAAACCAATGGGCCTAATATATAATTTGTTTGACCCAAACTAAAAGAAAACACATGTACGCGACCGTTAGATTTCCTAGTCAATATAATATGATTTATACCACGGATTTATATTATTGGTTTGATGGTTTCTAAGTTACAGAATTAACGAGTTGCGGCCGACATAAGAAAAAAATATAACCGACTTAGGTTACGAGCATATCAAGTTGTCCCATAAATACATCTATAACTTGGGTATAAACGACGCGAATTAGCAAAAAATCAGTCAAACGACAACGCTTTAGAATTTAGATACACAAAACCTTATTCACATTTTTTTAGCTTATATCATCATTTATAAAGTGCGTTCATAGCCGCGTCTGTTTCCTCCTTTTCCTCTCTCACCCTTATCGCCGCTGTTGCTTCGTCTTGAATGAATTATCAGGTTTTACTTCTCTCCTTCTCTTCTCTATCTTCTTCTTCATCAATATCCCAAGTTTCTGATTTTCCATGTAAACGGTTTGTTGCAGATCTAAGGTTTATATGAGTTTTATCTTGTTCGTTTTCTTTGGTCTTTTGAAAATTTCCGTTTTTAGTATAGTCAATACTTTGATGTTTCTTTGAATTCTCTATTCTATGAAATTGGTTTCTTTTAGTCAAAACGTATTCGTTGGCATTTTCCTGTTTATAAAAAAAACACCCTTTTTATATCCCAATCTCTCTCTATTTCAAAATGATCCTTTTTTTTAACCGAAACGATTTCATTTTTCAATTCCCTCAAATTTATGGTGAAAAACTGGACGAATTCAGGGCTTATTTGTTCAGATTTTAGTTTTTCTACCAAGTAAATTCGATTTCTTATCCGTTGGACTTGTCTTTCAATTTCATTCTAAGTTCTTTGTTCTGAAAAATCTTAACTTTTGTTTCATGTTGATGCACAGATTAGGCGTTCTTCTGTGGATAGAAGTGGTTCGAAGATGAATCATTGTAACCTTCAGCAGAACGCCTTCATCATGTCTCGTGACGAGTCGAGAGGGTTTGTTTCTTCTATCTTTTGTGATCCAATGGACTCTGTTGTTTGTCCTAAGCCCCGTCGCCCCAACAACGTTATTCGTCCCCTTAGATTACATTATAGGTATAAAGTTTCTTCCTTTTCTTTTTATCCTTGTCCGCAAAACATCTTATTGATTGTGACATCAAATTGTTGATTTGCTTTGTGTTGTGTTGTGTTGGGATTGACAGTCAATCAGGAGCTGCTGATACATGTGATTCTAATAAAGCCGGGGAAGATCTTTTGGACATAATTCGTAGAAAGGTTTGTCTCTTTCTTTTTTCCAATATGTTTCATACTGGTGCATCGAAGCAATGTCTGTCTATTATTGCATTTCACTTGTCTTCCTTTGTTTGAACCATATTTCTCTGTTATTGGAGTTCTCTGCATAGGAATCAACGCTAGTTTGCCTTGAGTGGTTTTGGTTTATTTCTGAGTTATGATGTAGTGTTTCATATAACGTTTTTGTCAGATTTCACCTGACTGAACTATGATTCTTGTTCTTCCCACGATAGGATAGTTTCTAAGCTTCTCATTGTTTTAGTTTTCATATCAAAATCAGTTCTTAGTTTACGTAGAGAGATTGATCTTTAGTTGATTCTGTAAAGCATTGTCCTTATGTTGTGTTATTGAGATCTAAGGTATGAATCTTGTCTTCTTTTTTTCTATATAGGAGGAATCAGTATCATTTGTTGCTTCATCACCCCCATTTTTTCTTGGGTCTCCCCCTAGCAGAGCAGCGAACCCTTTAGTTCAAGATGCACGCTTTGGAGATGAGAAACTCAACCCTGTCTCACTCTCACTCTCCCCTCTTCCCTTATCTGCATCTCGTGTCAAAGGAGGAGGTTGTGGTAGAATGGATTATGGGGTGAAACCAGCAACTGTTAGAGTAGAAGGATTTGATTGCTTGAACAGGGACAGCCAAAACTCAAGCATCCCTGCCATGGCCTAGAAGAAGAAGAAGAAGGAACAGAGAGATTCGCAAGGTGTACATAAAATCCAGGATCAAGACTCCAGTGTTTGAAGCAGGTTTATATATTTTTGAAGACGATGAGGAAACAGAGGATTAAAAGATCATCAGTTACGGCTTTTACCGCAGTTTTTTTGTTACTATGATGAGGTCGATGTTGTGTATATGAGGCTATTTTGTATATATTATCCACTGTAATTAAGAGGTAAGATGGAAACTTGATGAGTTAAGTTTCTTCCTATTCCTAGAGTCTCGCTGTAACATATTAAAAGCAATTTGGAGTTTTGTTCTCTTTTGTATAGTACCGTTTCTTCTTTGTTTGGGGATTCACAAGCAATGTAAATTGTAATTTTAATTCATTAGAAAAGTTAATGCTTTGTAGTTTGTACCATTCGAACAAGCTTCCGTTTCTCTCTTTTAGACTTGAGAGATTCGAATTGTCTCGTCTCGTTGGGATGGACAAGACAAAAGAAATGAGACTGAACGGAACATAATGCGAGTGGAACGGAGTCAAGCGGTTGACTCCGTAACATAACATTTGTGAATTACGTACGGTCTTCTCTGTTCAACGAAGAAGATTCCTTTAATATTGTCCTGAAGACGTGAACAAAACCTTGTAATCACACGGAAGCATAATCGCTGGTTTGTTTTGTTGTCAAATGTTTTACACGTGGCTTTTTACAAATTACATGACAGAATCCATAAACTTAAATCAAATGTATTGTGATACACACACGAATGAAGGAGGTTACGTAGGAATATCAAAGCTGATTTTTTGGGTTATATGAACTATAAGCACTAAACTAGAAGTTGGGGAGAAAAAGAATTAAACTAAAAGGTGGTGACTAGAGATAATTTTCTTTTAAATTAATATAAAGATGATTAAGATTACGTTAATACGAAACCGTCGGCGATGAGAGAGAGAGTCAGAAAGATCCGCCCACAGTGAGAGAAGAAGAAAAGATCAAAAACCGGAAACCAGACAATAGTTTTGGACACAAGTTATAGAAAAAGCGGTTTTTTGATAAAAACGGATTCTTTTTCCAGAAAACCAGGAGCTAAATGTGGGCCCCAGTTCTCACAATGCTCCACAAATGACTCAAATCCTATCTGGATGAATTACGTGGCGACCCGACCGAAATATCCCACGCGCGATCGTGAAAGCCACGTGTTATTTTTGCTTCTACGTTAATGTCCAGCGTGCGTGTGTTTAGCACGTGTAATACACGCTCGTGGTGGTAGAGAGTAGGGACGAAAGCAACACATTGGGGAAGAAACACAAGAAGCAAAACCTTGAATCAGAGGGCCAAAATTTAAAAAAAAAAAAAAACAGCGGCGGTTCTGGGAAAGACAAATACAACCCTGTCTTCTTTATCTTAGTTTTCTCTCTTCTTCCTTCCCTCCCTCCCTTGGTTTTATAATCTCTCCGCTTCCCCCAAAAACCCAGGGGCTTCTTCTTATTACGCACACACGATCCCACCTTAAAAGCTAATCTTCTTTCTTTTATAATTAACGAATCTCCCACACCAACTCCCATAATATCTCCTAAATACCTTCAAGAAACACACAGACAAATATATCGGTTTTGGGTTTGTGTATTGCTCGATCAGTTCTTGTTATTGTTTACTGTTAGCAAATCTAAATCAAAGATGCGGATGAGCTGTAATGGATGCAGAGTTCTCCGGAAAGGGTGTAGTGAGGATTGTAGTATAAGACCCTGTTTGGCTTGGATCAAGTCTCCTGAAGCCCAAGCTAACGCAACCGTGTTTCTCGCCAAGTTCTATGGCCGTGCTGGACTCATGAACCTCATCAACGCCGGTCCCGATCACCTTCGTCCTGGTTAGTGGCTTTTCTATACTAAATGTCACCCTTCTTTAAACCTTTTCGACAAACCGACGCCGTTTTTTTTAATGGTAGTTGTGAACTCTTCTTTCAAACGACACCGTTTGATTAACCAAATTAGGGTAAATTTTATTTTGCAGGGATTTTCCGATCGTTGTTGCATGAAGCTTGTGGGAGGATCGTGAATCCGATCTATGGTTCAGTGGGTTTGTTATGGTCTGGAAATTGGCAGCTTTGTCAAGACGCCGTTGAGGCTGTGATGAAAGGAGAGCCGATCACAGAGATCGCCACAGACGCGGCGACGATCGGCCAAGGTCCGCCACTTAAGATCTACGACATCAGACATAACTCCAAAGATGACAACTCCGCTGCCGCTACTGGGTCAACCGATCTGAAACGGGCGAAAACTCGCCGGGCTAAGCGGGTCGCCGCCCTTGAGAAACAAGCGGAATCTGAGGGAAAGTCCGGCGGCGGTGAGGCTAGTCACGAGTCCTCGTTGAGTCACCAGTCTGAAATAGTGGCTGCTCATGAAGGAGAGAGCAAGGAATCGGAGAGCAATGCCTCTGAGGTTTTGGCGTTATCGCCGCCGACTGTTCAGGGCTCCGGCGAGATTAAGCTCGACTTAACTCTAGGGCTGGAGCCGGTGTCACATGCGTATGACGTGGTACCTGTGAAGAAGAGAAGGATCGGCGTGTTTGGCACGTGTCAGAAGGAGAGCACGTGTAAGACTGAGCTTATGCTCTAATCAGAAGCTTCGTTTTAGCTCACCATAGAAGTTTTGCCCGCAATCAGCTCAATTCGGTTCGGCTCTGATCATCGTCAAGCCGAGCCGGTAACTTTTTTTATATAATTTCACTTTCTTTATTTGTGACCAAAGAAAAAGAATAGCCGGTAACTTACCATGTACAAACTTATTTACAGAGAGTAATTCAAGAATTGGCTGAGATATTATTATTGTTCCCCTTTACTAATAAAAGTCAAAATAAACAGTGAACCAAAAAAAAGTATATACAAAAAATCAAAGTGGATCGATGTGAAAATGTAATTATGGGCCTATCTTCTAACATACCAGAGTCATTTTGGGCCTATCTTTTGACGTTGAAACGGTCAACACGAGGTGGCATATTTTGATTGGATGAATTACGGCTGACTTGGCAGAGTTGAAAGCAGAAGCCATGTGCTTGGGGACACAATCGAGTGGAGATATCGAGGGAACGCAAAGGTAGGGGACCCCCTGATTCTGTATCTTCTTCTTTCACTTACCTACCCTCGACCTTTATCTCTCCCTTTTAGCCGGCGGCGATCAATCAGAACGGAATTGTTGCCGGAATTGTTGCCGGGGTGAGAATATGAAGATATATGTGAAAACTCTCAAGGGGACTCACTTCGAGATCGAAGTTAAACCCGAGGATTCGGTATGCCAATTTCTACATATTGTTTCTCTATACTTGTTAGTGGAGACGGTTGAATTACGTATCTGAGGTTTAGTTTCTCGATCGGGTATTTGATTTTGTTGAGTTCTCTGTTTTGCAAATGGACTTTGGATGTTTCTATAGGAAATCTATACAATTCAGCAATCTCGTGTGTGTATGGGTTTGTTTTGCCATGTTATAGTTATTTCACTGTCTGTAGTGGAGAATTAGCTCAATTTCATTTGCATTTAAAGTGTGTTTATCACTCACTATGTTTGGATCCATGAACCTTCTTCTGCTTCTCCTAGTCGTTTTCCAATTGGGACCTTTACACTCTTTCACTGAACTGAGATTTTTAATTTTATGAGCTCACTATAGCTTGTTTAAATTTATGCTTCCATTCTCTTTTACTTGCCTTTAATTTTGTGTTATTGTTTTAGACATTGTAATCTTGATTGCCGCGGCCTTCATCTCTCTATTGTTATTTTGGACTTTTGATGGTAAAATATTCAAATTCAGATTTCTGATGTGAAGAAGAACATAGAGACTGCGCAGGGCGCAGATGTATATCCTGCTGCGAAACTCATGCTTATTCACCAAGGTAAAGTTCTTAAAGATGAGACAACAATTGAGGAGAACAAAGTTGCTGAGAACAGTTTTATTGTCATTATGATGACCAAGGTGCGTTTTCAATCTGGAAACATTAGTAATTTTGTTTAGCTTTTTGATTACGATTCTCATCTTTGCTCTCTGGTGCTTAACATGTAGAGTAAACCTGTTTCAGCAGGAGCATCTAGTGCATCTGCTGGTACTACCCTGGTAAGTTGGTTCTATTGCTATAACATGATTATAAAGGCTGAGATGCAACTTGGGATTTCAGAAAACTCTTGCTTGGACACAGCTAATGAAACGAGAGTATTCCTTTAGAAAATTTATCTTATTGTTTGTTGATTGATCTATCTTTCGTGTTAGTTTAGACCAAGGCGATACCTCCCTCAACATCACAGCCTTCAGTTCCCCCTCAGACTGCTGCTTCTGTAGCAACGTGCGTTTTTGAGACAAATACTTTCTGTTTGAAATTTCCTGGAATACTAATTTTCAATCTTCCGTCCCCAATTCTTTAATTGTGCAGACCAGTGGCACCTGCACCAACACGTGCACCACCTCCTGCACCGACACCTATGCCTACACCTGCACCTGTAGCTGCAACTGAAACTTTGACTGCACCTGTACCTGCAACTGAAATTGTGACTGCACCTGTACCCGCTACTATACCCACAAGCACCCCTGCACCAGACTCAGCTCCTGTTGGGTTAGCATCTTTGCTATCTAAATCTTCTGCCCAACTCAGATATTAACCTACTCATGTTATGTTCCCTATTTCTTTTGGTTGAGATAGAAGTCAAGGTGATGTTTACGGACAAGCAGCATCAAATCTAGCCGCTGGAAGTAATTTAGAGAGTACCATTCAGCAGATTCTTGACATGGGTGGAGGAACCTGGGATCGTGATACTGTTGTTCGTGCACTACGTGCTGCATTTAACAACCCTGAAAGAGCTGTGGAATATCTTTACTCTGTGAGTTCAATTATATCTCTGAATTTGCAATAATAGATTCTGTGACCTTTCATGCAACTTTGTGTAAGAGGGATTTCACGATGCATTACTAATCATTATGCCTAGAATCTACTTCCTTGCCATTATTGTTGGCTACTATTCTCCTTGTCACTAAAGGGAGAGAGTCTATAAATTTAACAATTTAGGGGATCCCTGAGCAAGCTGAAGTTCCACCAGTTTCCCGTGCTCCAGCTAGTGGTGGACAGCCAGCGAGTCCTCCAGCACAGACTCAACAACCTGCAGCAGCACCCGCAAGTGGTCCTAATGCAAATCCGTTAAATCTCTTCCCACAGGTAATACACCTTAAGATAGAAAGCGGAATTGGTTCATTTAAACTCTTAACTGTATATGGATGTATAACTAAAATCTACTCTTTATCTTTGACAGGGCTTGCCAAATGTTGGCGGAAATCCTGGTGCCGGTACACTTGATTTCCTGCGCAACAGCCAACAGGTTTAAACTGTTTATTTTTCTTCTTCTTTTCTTACACTTGCTTACAAAATGAGTATATCAGACATCAGTGTGTAATATAAATACTATTAATCTGGTGTATATTAGTTCCAAGCTCTGCGAGCAATGGTGCAAGCAAACCCTCAAGTTCTGCAGGTATGTTGATCCAAAAATGAAATCATTGTCAGTTTCCATTTCTTTCAAATGATTTTGTTCACTCGTTTTCTGCAGCCTATGCTTCAGGAACTGGGAAAGCAGAACCCAAACTTGATGAGGTTGATTCAAGATCACCAGGCTGACTTCTTACGCTTAATCAATGAACCCGTTGAAGGAGGGGGTGAGAGGTATGTATAATCCTGGTGTTGCTGTGATTATGACTCATATGTAATACACGTCAAAACCAAAAAAAAAACTGGGAGGCATTTAATTATTTGAACAGTGATTCATTTCTTTGATAATTTGTGCGTTGTATCATTCAGTGGCAACCTCCTTGGCCATATGGCGGCGGGAATACCACAGCCACAGGCGATTCAAGTCACGCCTGAGGAACGTGAAGCAATTGAACGGGTATGTTCCTCTATATTGATCTTCCCCCTTAAGAAATATGTCTGTATTGATCAACTCGGTTTCACATTGATAATAAAACAGCTTGAAGGAATGGGATTCGACAGAGCACTGGTATTGGAAGTGTTCTTTGCGTGCAACAAGAACGAAGAGTTGGCTGCAAATTATCTTCTAGATCACATGCATGAGTTCGAGGAATAAGCTTTTACACTAAAACTTACCTTTCTGTATCATTGTCATTGGTCCATATATGTTTGTCTATATGTATTTATGTGGTGGGATACCAAGTTTGAACCAGAGATATGACCTTGACGTCGTCACTTTGTCTATGCTCATGGCTGAGTTCTCAGTTTAAAAATGGAGTTTCTCTTCTCATCTGCTTCTTTCTTTGTATTGTCTTTGATAATCGTTAGTCCTTACAAAAATTTATGTATGTGCCTAAGTATTAAAAAATAAAGAAAACTTACTGATGAAATCTCCCCTATAACTTCCCTATTATGTCGTGTAACACTTCTTTATTAATATTTTTTATTTGAGTTATCCTCGTGAAATTAGTTTTAAGAAATTGACATTAGTAACTTTTGTATATTAGTCGGAGTCTCTAGCGCAGTTAGAGTTTCTGATGATGCGACAACGTTTGAGACTGATGATGCCTTTAAGAGGTTTCTTTTCCACTAGCATCTTCTTCTCTGGAGCCCTTATTACTCACGAAATTTAAAAGAAGAAATAAAAGAGAAATACTCTGAAGCTCCCAGAGAAGAAAAAGCCCTAGAAAGTCCCAGAACCCCTTCTCTCTCGTTCGTCGTTCCAGTTTCTTTTCGACCTCTCATCATCGAAAATGTCTGTGCGTGTTCTGAATCCGAATGCGGAGGTGCTCAACAAATCGGCCGCGCTTCATATGACCATCAACGCCGCTAAGGGTTTACAGGATGTACTCAAGTCCAATCTCGGTCCTAAGGGAACTATCAAGATGTAAGTCTTTTTGCTCTTGATGGATCTATGCATTTTTTCTTCGTCTCTTCACTCTCGCCTGTATTTTTCTTTAGATATTCTTTTTCATTTGCTTTGATCGATCACTCTGTGCAGGCTTGTTGGTGGTTCCGGGGATATCAAGCTTACCAAGGATGGCAACACGCTTTTAAAGGAAATGGTATGTCCGATTAAATACAATGCTAGATCTTGTTATTTGATTAGATTCTAGCTTAATGTCTTCTCTTACTTGTAAAGTGTGTTCAGTAGCTTGTAAAACGCTGGGATGCTACTTAGGTTAAGCTGTGTCATGAAATTTTCTACGTATTGGTCGAAGACATATTAAACTCTACTTAGGTTAGGCTGTTTGTCAAGAATTGTGATAGAAATCTTAGACACTAATCTTTAGATGGGGAATAGTAATGCGACTGTCCTGCTCTAATGGATGACACTTAACTGGTCTGATGATTCTTACAGTGCTCACTTGCTTAACTTTTCAGCAAATTCAAAATCCAACAGCCATCATGATTGCCAGAACAGCTGTTGCACAGGATGACATTAGTGGGGATGGTACTACTTCCACTGTCATCTTCATTGGTGAGCTTATGAAACAGTCTGACCGTTGTATCGATGAAGGTTAGCCAAACTAGCTTGTTTCTGCATTATATTTTGATTTGTTGATGAGTTGGCTAGTTTTATGCTTGTCTATTTCTGTTTTATATAATTAGACTGGATGTGGTTGTGGTGCCATTCATATTCTGAATCTGTATGTCATGGTTAACATATATCACTTTTCATTTCATTTGTCTAGTCATGTTTTGGTTAATCTCAGTAAGAAATGGTCCTAATTCAAGGTTTACATATGTGTCAGGAATGCATCCACGTGTCTTAGTTGATGGTTTTGAGATTGCAAAAAGAGCTACTCTCCAATTTCTCGACACTTTCAAGACACCTGTGGTTATGGGTGATGAGCCTGACAAAGAGATCCTGAAAATGGTTGCCAGGACTACGCTAAGAACAAAGGTTTTCTTTGTTTGCTGATATCTATATCTTTTTGTTATCACTGACTCTTCTCTATGCTTTCTGACTGGCTTTTTTTCCTTTCTGGCTACTTAGTTGTATGAAGGCTTAGCTGATCAACTGACTGATATTGTTGTTAATTCGGTATGTGTACTGTTATCTCTCATTGAATATAATCATGCTTTTTCACATATACGAAAACTAATCTATGGATCAATTTTGGTTTACAAGCTGTTTGTCTTCTAATTAGCTAATTTGCGTATTTAACAGGTTCTCTGCATTCGGAAGCCTGAGGAACCTATTGATTTGTTTATGGTTGAGATCATGCACATGCGCCATAAATTTGATGTTGACACACGATTGGTATGCCTTTGTTTTACAGTAAATTTCTTCAGTCGAAATTTACAGATTTCACACTAGTAAAATGAGTTCTGTATGGGATTAAATCTTTTTGGTGATCGTGAATCAGAAATATCATCTTACACCAGTTGTGAATAATAACATATATTGTTTCTCCTGTATCAGGTTGAGGGGCTTGTTCTTGATCATGGTTCAAGACACCCTGACATGAAGCGTCGTGCGGAAAATTGTCACATCCTGACTTGCAATGTGTCACTAGAATATGAGAAGAGGTACGGAATACAAATCTCTGGCTGAAGACAAAAAGTTAGAGGAACTATCCCGTGTATCAGTGATTTTGTAGCCTAACTTTGTAAATATCAGTGAAATTAATGCAGGATTTTTCTACTCGAATGCGGAACAGAGAGAAGCCATGGTTACTGCTGAGCGACGTTCTGTTGATGAAAGAGTTCAGAAAATTATTGAGCTGAAGAACAAGGTGAGTTTGAAATCACTACCTTCCAAGCCATATGCTATATTCTTTCAGATATTTACATGTTCTACATTTTATGCAGGTTTGTGCTGGTAATGATAACAGCTTTGTAATCATAAATCAAAAGGGTATTGATCCCCCGTCGTTGGATCTTCTTGCTAGAGAAGGGGTAAGCTATAATTAGCTTTGTATTGTTTTGAGCATCTGATTGCTAGACACGTATGAAAAAACTATATGAAGGTTGTGAAAACAAGTGAATTGAAGTAAAGGCAAAATGAATTTAACCAAATTAAAGGGATGATTATCCACTAAGACTATTTACCTAGAAGATGCCTTGATTTTCTACTAAGCTTCTTTCTTGTCTTGCACTTGGTTTCTTGTATCTGCAAGTTGGTACAAGCGAGTTATCTTTCTGTTTCCTTATATATATTCATATGTATCTCCAGATAATCGCCCTGAGAAGAGCAAAGAGGAGGAACATGGAACGTTTGGTCTTGGCATGTGGTGGAGAAGCTGTGAACTCCGTTGATGACTTGACCCCTGATTCTCTTGGTTGGGCTGGACTTGTATATGAGCACGTTCTTGGAGAGGAAAAGTACACATTTGTCGAGCAAGTAAAGAATCCTCATTCATGTACTATCCTCATAAAAGGTACAAAGGCTAAAACTTCTCTCTCTTGGCAGCTAAGGTCAATTTTGCTTATTTTTGCACGCTTGGTAATCGATCATCTACAATGTTAACTTCTCCTTCTTTTTCTAATAGGGCCTAACGACCACACTATTGCTCAAATTAAAGACGCTGTCCGTGATGGTTTAAGATCAGTTAAAAATACCATTGAAGATGAGTGTGTCGTATTAGTAAGTACCTTCTCGTCCACACAGATCAAATATGTTGCTATCTCAGTGTGATTGTTTTGGTGGGCGCTTGTGTTTTATTGACATCTTTGTCTTTCTGTAGGGAGCTGGAGCTTTTGAAGTTGCAGCAAGACAACACTTAATCAATAAAGTCAAGAAAACCGTTCAAGGGGTAAGTATGAAGTAACATTCCTCTGTTCCAATACCTGTTCTTGATTTTTTCTGGTTGCTAATGTTAATTGTGGGCAAATTGCAGCGCGCTCAACTCGGTGTTGAAGCTTTTGCTAACGCCCTTCTTGTGGTGCCTAAGACACTCGCTGAAAATGCTGGGCTTGACACTCAAGACGTTATCATTTCTCTAACGGTATAATACTTGTGTTTTCCTCTTCTGCCTCTATTGATGATTCTAAACTTTTGCTTAGGTTTATATACTGAAATTTGATGTTTATACAGAGTGAGCATGACAAAGGAAACATTGTGGGACTAAACCTACAGGATGGAGAACCCATCGACCCTCTGCTTGCTGGTATTTTCGACAATTACTCGGTGAAACGCCAACTTATCAATTCAGGGTATGTGCCAAATCAAATGGCAATTTGTAAACGCTAACATAGGCATTTAAAAATGCTGGAGTCTTGAAATCACTTGCGGTTGAGTTCAGGCAGTTAAAACGGTTTGTTTGGTAATGTGTTGCAGGCCGGTGATTGCTTCGCAGTTGCTATTAGTGGATGAAGTGATTCGTGCAGGAAGAAATATGAGGAAGCCTACTTAAAAAAACAGTTACTTTGTTTTCAATTTTTGTTTTGTTTCGTGTTTTGAGCATTAGCATATGAATATTATTTCTTTTATGTATTTCTCTTTTACTTGTTATCTTCTGTTGTCATAGAGTTTTGTTTTGATCTATCTTCTGTATCACAAAAACAATATGAATATTTTGACTGTGGTTGGTATAATGAAAAAAAGAAAAAAAAAAAAAAGAGTGATTTAATGGATACATATTATACTCTTGTTTGTAGGCACGCATAATTATTTTCAGTAAGAGCAAATTCGGAAGGAAATTATTGCCAAGACACTTTACAACGTACCCTAATTGTAAAGGGGAAGGGTGATCAAGACATAAAACTATGGTAAAAAGGTATTCAAGGCAATGTTCAGAAGGTCAAAGGCTATTTTAGATAGAGAATTGTGAACATCTGAAAAAATTTGTATCAAACATCAATGTGAAGCCGAGATTAAAGTAATTTGGAAGTATAATTTGTTTTTCCTATCAAATTCTACGATTTAGGAAATGACTTGGAAAGTTTCATGAAAATAGAAGCAGACTTGTTTGAAAACACACAACAAAGTCGAATTACCAAACAATGCACAGCATACAGCTTTTAATGATTTTTATCCTAGAAATGGAATCAGGGCCCAATCCAATCCTTGTGTAAAAGTAATAATAATTCACTTTTCACGTTTATTAAAGTCCTTGACGGGTCAACACCGTTTGACACTTGTCGGACTATTATTGGGCCTTTTCTCTTTACTTTCTCCTAAAAATCAAAGCCCATCTCTCTCTTCGTCCTTATTTTTTCCCCCTAATTTCTCACTTTCCCCCTCACAAGTCGCAAGCTTTCGAATTCGAGAATCCCTAATTTCCAAAATCCCCTCGGTAAGCTATGGATCTGGTCTCTCTTTGCTCTACGAATCATTCTTGTGTTGCTCGTTCACGTTTCTCGTTTTCTCGACTTCGAATCTTGTCTGTGTTCCTTGTTATTTCGAGATCTGGCGTAATCTACAATGTTTGGTTTAGGTTTCGTTCTTGGTCCTGTGTTTATCTGTCGTTCGTTCTAGTGTTCGTTTTATTATGTTTGACTTGTTAGTAATCGAGGATTGATCTGAACGATAATATGAATTTTTGAAAACAGGATCTAGAAGTGTGTGATTAACACAACAAGATGTCGTCTTCGCGGGAAGAGAATGTGTACTTAGCCAAGTTAGCTGAGCAAGCTGAACGTTATGAGGAAATGGTTGAGTTCATGGAGAAAGTTGCTAAGACTGTTGACACCGACGAGCTTACTGTGGAAGAGCGAAACCTCTTGTCCGTTGCTTACAAGAACGTGATTGGTGCTAGGAGAGCTTCCTGGAGGATCATATCTTCCATTGAACAGAAGGAAGAAAGCAGAGGCAAAGGGGATCACGTTTCGATTATCAAGGACTACAGAGGAAAGATTGAAACCGAACTCAACAGAATCTGTGATGGGATTTTGAATCTTCTGGATTCTCACCTTGTTCCAACTGCATCTTTGGCTGAGTCCAAAGTCTTTTACCTCAAAATGAAAGGAGATTACCACAGGTACCTTGCTGAGTTTAAGACTGGAGCTGAGAGGAAGGAAGCTGCAGAGAGCACCTTGGTTGCTTACAAGTCGGCTCAGGTAAACAAACTCTTTTTAAGTTTGAACATCTATCTACCAGTAAAAGGGCTTTCATGATTGGTAAATTTTTTTATGTGTGTTTTTCTTATAATGCAGGATATTGCACTTGCTGATTTAGCTCCTACTCATCCGATTAGATTGGGACTTGCTCTCAACTTCTCTGTCTTCTACTACGAGATTCTCAACTCACCTGATCGTGCTTGCGGTCTCGCAAAACAGGTTTGCGTTTTGCTCTACTGGATGTTATGATGCTTTCAGACTTTGTAGCACTTAAATTGATTATTAGCGATATTTCCGCAATTGTTTTTGCAGGCTTTCGATGAGGCTATTTCTGAGCTGGACACATTAGGAGAAGAATCATACAAAGACAGTACACTGATAATGCAACTTCTCCGTGACAATTTGACCCTTTGGACTTCTGACATCAATGTACTCTCTTGTCTCCTTCTTTGGATATTTTTCCCCACTAACACATATCTACAAGCAATCTAAGCTTCTGTACTGAGAGATTTCGATTCAAGCGCTGATGTGTTGCTCATTTTTCAGGATGAGGCGGGAGGTGATGAGATCAAGGAGGCCTCAAAACATGAGCCAGAAGAGGGGAAACCAGCAGAGACAGGGCAGTGACCAGAGAGAGAGAGAGATAAACATTTCTAAGTATGTATGGTACGGGTTGGTCTCTAGTTTCCAAAAACGTTTGATATGATGATGGGGTTTGTAGAAGCCAGAGAGAAAGATCATTATTTGACATTCTCCTAGAAAACTCAAAAACTCTCCTCTCTTTTCTTTTAGTTTGGTTTTTTTTCTTAAAGCTGTTGATGATCATTGGTTCTCGCTTCGTTGCTTGTTAGTATTTAGGGAGCGAAGAAAGAAGAAGAAACAAAACTAAGGATTATTTGCATTATCAATAGTTGTTGTCTTATCAGGATACTACTATATATTAGTCTTAGGATTTTTTTAAACTCGAACGATATTAAAACGAAGGAGAGAAGAGACAATTGGAATTTGGACATGTATATCTCTTTTGGCAAATAACAAAATTAAAAGTCTTCGAGTCATATTTTCCTTTTGTGCAGTAACACTCATGGGGTCTCTATTTCTTCTATTTCTTTATTTATTCTTTTTCTGTTGTTCCTTTTTTATTCATGTTTCCCATGTGTATTTATATTTTGTATAGAATTTTTTTAATTCAACTATCATCATTAATAGAAATTGAAAATTCTCTCCTCACTCATCTTTTATCCACTGTAAAATTACACGTAAGTTCTTCATACACATAAGCAAAACCAGTAATTTTATTGGGCATATTTATAGAAATACGAATATACGGAAATCAATGTCTTTAGCGTCTTAAGAAATTATCAATTAAATTAAATAATTAACACACATACTTAACATATAAACATATCGCTATTATTACCAGCCCCCTCCGAATCCCACTGCTTTGCTTTTCCGCTTGTCTCTGTGCATTCTTTCAGCTTCTCTCTCTTTCCTCTCTCTCTCTCTCTCTCTCTCTTTCTGAAATGGTTTCAGCTACTTCAATCATAACCTGGTCCAATACTCTACTCTGCACTTCTCTCTACTTATCAAAGTTTCGATTTTTCCACTCACTCTTGTTTATTGTACTTGGTCTCTCACTCTCCTTTGGTATCTTCTTTTCCTTGGTTTTCAGGGGCTCTGGAGAAGATGGGCAACTAGGAATTGGTACCAACGAAGATAAGGAATGGGCTTGCGTCGTTGAAGCTCTCGAGCCTTACTCTGTTCGCTCCGTCGTCTCTGGTAGCCGTAACTCCCTCGCCATTTGCGATGATGGCACGGTACTATCCGAATATCATCATAATGAGATTTGTCTTGTTTTAATTGGTCTCTATGCATTATTAGGGAGATTATATCTATCTGTTATAGCCAAAAAAATAAAAAGAACAGGGCTTTTAATGTTTGGTTTTACAACTTCTCTTAAGATTTGAAGGAACTAGAAACATGGTTTGTGTCTTGTGAATAAATAATAATAAGTAATGAAGCTTTGTGTCTTCCTCTCTTGTGTGAAAAGTCTCTAAGCTGTGAATCTTGATTAGAAGTCAGCCAATAGCTCAAAGTTGGTTTCTTGAACAGGTTTTGGCTGTGTTATCGTGTAATTGGTCTGATTCTGATCCTTATTTCAGTGCTTTGATGACTAATTCAAAGGTTTGAATTCTCAAAGTTGAGATTTTAAAAGCTCTATTGAACTGTACTCAGATGTTTACATGGGGTTGGAATCAAAGAGGTACATTAGGACACCCACCAGAAACAAAAACAGAAAACATCCCTAGTAGAGTTAAGGCTCTTGCCAATGTCAAGATCACTCAGGTTTGATCCTTCTTTCTACTAATCGATTGTGGTTTTCGTTAGATTATTATATAGGACTACCTTTGAATGTATTGTTTTTTAATGGATGATAGGCAGCAATTGGTGGTTGGCATTGTCTAGCTGTTGATGATCAGGGCCGAGCATATGCGTGGGGTAATACATATCATCTACAACGCCTGTGTTATTGGTCCATTCTCTCTATCTGTTTTGCTTGTTAAATCGTAGTGAAATTGAATATGGAATGCACCTAGGTGGGAATGAGTATGGACAATGTGGTGAAGAGCCTTTAAAAGACGAGATGGGTAGGCCCGTGCGTAGAGATATTGTGATCCCTAAGCGTTGTGCCCCAAAGCTTACAGTCCGACAGGTAAACTTGCTTGTATTCTCATTCCAAAAGCTCTCTGCATTGCCTCAAAATGAAATCTTTGTGTCCATCACTTTCTGTTCTACTCCTCAATGTTGATGTATGAATACATTATCTCAGGCCTTATCTTCTTAACAGGTAGCTGCAGGTGGTACTCACTCGGTGGTTCTGACACGTGAAGGTCATGTGTGGACTTGGGGTCAACCTTGGCCTCCTGGTGACATGTATAGAGAGCAATTAAACTCATAGTAATAGTATTCACTTTGTGTATTCTTAAGCTATTACTAAAATGTGGGTTTGGTTTCCCTTAAATTGCAGAAAACAAATATCTGTTCCTGTTAGAGTTCAAGGTCTTGAAAATGTCCGTCTTATAGCTGTTGGAGCATTTCATAATCTGGCTCTTAAAGAAGATGGAAGTTTATTGGCATGGGGTAATAACGAATACGGACAACTTGGAACCGGTGACACCCAGCCAACATCTCATCCTGTTCCAGTCCAAGGCCTTGATGATCTCGCATTGGTTAAGGCTTTTTCCCCTTTTCTTGATTCTTTTTTCCACCCATTGAACTTTTGAAAAGTGATGCTAAAATATACAAATAGCATAAGCTTTAACCATTTCTCTGTTGTGAAACACATCTGTAGGTTGATATTGCTGCGGGTGGATGGCATTCAACAGCTTTAACCGATAAAGGAGAGGTATTAGAACTCATTCTCAATATTTCTTAATTCCCTTCTCTTCTCATGCTATATCCTCTTTTTCGTTAAGATATGATTATATGGATTTGGTCTTCTGATTCTTAGCTGTTTGGTTGGGGAAGAGGAGAACACGGAAGACTCGGGTTGGGTGACAATGACAAGAGCAGCAAAATGGTTCCACAGAAAGTAAATCTTCTAGCTGAAGAAGATATCATTCAGGTAGTAAAGCTTCCAACTTCAGGGAGAGATCTCTCTTCTTTGCTGAAGAGAATATCATTCAGGTAAAGCATTTTCTAATAATCTTGAGATCTCTTCTTTCTGAAAAAAAAAATATAGGTTTCTTGTGGCGGAACACATTCAGTTGCTTTGACAAGAGATGGCAGAATCTTCTCGGTTAGTCCCTTCAAAACCAAGAAAACTGCTTTCGTGTTAAGTTTGAAACATCATAAAAACATTTGTCCTCTGATTATGTTTCTCTTTTGGATCAGTTTGGTAGAGGAGATCATGGTAGACTTGGGTACGGAAGGAAAGTAACAACAGGACAACCATTGGAATTACCTATAATGATCCCCTCGCCTGAAGGAATCTTTAATCACGCGGACGAAGAAGAAGAAGAAGGAAAATGGTCAGCTAAGTCGATCGCTTGTGGTGGCCGCCACACTCTTGCCATTGTAGAATGGAAGTCCGGTGATATTTGATCCTCAATCCCACAATGGACAAGGTTATGAAGAGAAGAAAACAATATGATTCATACCAAGGAAAGCAAAAGGAGAGTATGTATTTATAAAGAGCAGGAAAGGGGCAAAAACATGCTTATTTCCATATGCGCATAGTCTTTTGAGAATTTTACAAATAATTTTGATCGGGAAAGATCTTGGTAATGCTAGACTCCGTAGTTTGTTAGAAACCTTGAAAACAAGTTTGTCTTTTACAATCTTATAAATAAAAATTTCAATAGATAATAAATGTCTCTTATAATATATGCAGTTACATACATACTTCAAATACACCATAATCTAGCATTATAATGATATCTGAAAATATTACTTCCATTATTGTAGTGTATCCAATGATGCTCTTTTTTCTTCTTTGGTTTACTTACTATAATGGGATTGTAGCTGATGAACAAGCAGTAGTATTGATAAGATGAGGAAGACGAATGAGAAAGATGCATTTGGATTTTCTTGGTTGTCTATGATGCAATTTCCTCATCCATGAGAAACAACCACTTGCTCTTTTCTTTCTCGTCTCCTTCTCTTCTTTACTGTCTTCTTCATTCTCTCTTCTTATCATATTTTGCTCCTTTTCTTCTAACTTCACATCCTTCAAATAAACCCCTCAACATTAGCAGCCAATCAGGTCTTGTGTAATCACGACTAGTCGACTAGTAAATTTATATATATGTTGAATTGTTCAACCAGTAAAAGTATCTTTGGGTATATATATATACAAACGTGCACATAATATATAACAAGGTCCTTTTCAATATGGACTACACAAAATCATAACATGGGGTCCAATGGAAGATTTTTCATGAAATAATTCGAACATCGAAGTTGGAAGATACTGTTTTCTGTGATGGATATATATATACTAGTATCAACGAATTGTATCACCAAAAAATATCGTAAAGAAAAGTAACAAGGATACAAAACGTGGAGTCTCATCACTGTCTCTTCTATGATTAATATAAAACAGTATACACTTGCGTATTCATGTATTGGTGTTTTCTCTTATTCTGTGAAAGAATCTAAAGGAATTGCACTAACGAATTCAAAGTGCAATTATTACGTGTGTAACGTACCTTTACATATTATTTTTTGAATGGCCCAATGCAAATTTTCGTACAAAATAAATTGATCATAATCATTGTTATAAGTTAGTACTAATATTGTTCTCAAAGGGCCATAACTAAATGAGTAGTGTCCTTTCCAAATTTAATTCAAACATGTTTTACATTAATTATAGTAATATATGTTACCGTTGATTAGATCACGAGCTATATACTGTAAGAGGAATTTGATTTTCTACCCAATTTTTATAGAAAAATGTTAAAGAGTTAATATTGAATGTGTTGTGCTAAATCAATAATTAGATCATAGCAAAAAATTGGACATTATAAATTTACCTGTTGCTGAGCTTTCAACTTGAGTGCATACTGAACCGGCGAAGCAACATCTTCCACCTGTGTTTTCTTTGATCTCTCCATGATCGACGACCTCGTCGCTGGTGCACTCTGCACACCCACGTCTCGTTTCGACCCCGCAACTTTCCTTTCTGCTCAAAAACAACCCTCAAAACTCTTTTTTGGTTATAGATAAAACGCAATAAATAAATCATACACTTTTACTAAATCATTCACAAAATTTCACCATTACCTTGAACAAGAACAGGATATGGAGATCTAGGATCCTCGTGAATGATTCTAACGTTATGATTACAAGGTAAAATCGTGAGTGGAGCATTCGTGGTGAATAAGCTGCTTCTGTAAGATCTTGAATTTAGGGTTCTAGAAGACAAACACTCCATAGGAACTTCACCAGACAAAGGGTTGCAAATATACTTCTCTGCTTCGTTCCATTTCGAGTTTAACTCAACTCCTTCTGCTTTCAACCAATCCATATTCTTCTTGTACGTTTTAGTGTCTGCTTGCAATGCTGTGTAAGCAAATAAAACGACAGAGCAAACAAATGTTTTTTTTATCTTTTCTTTGTTTTTGTTCATAACCATTATTAACAGAACTTCTTAATTGGCAACAATATTTGAAACTTACCCTTGAGTGCACTAGTGAATGAATAATTTGATGGGTCAATCTCATCTGTCACAACAAAAAAAGAAGACATTGTTTCTTTTTAGAAATAAAGATAGCATAAGTAATGAAGAGAGATTGTACATTTATTACCTTTGAGGGAGTGGCAAGGAGAAGAAGGAGTACTAGAGATGGTGAAGACGTTTGTAGTACAAGACTTGTGATCCTCTCTGGAGCTTCGGACACATGAGGCAGAGAACCTTCTAGAAATTCGATTTTCGCAAGTTAGATGGCCTTTTCGAGTCCATTCTCTTAGGTTGAGGTTAAACTCAAGCTCTTGATCACCACGCAAAGCCATTAGAAAATGAATATTTGTTATGGAAGAGCAAAGGGGGATGGAGAGAGGGAGGATTTATTTACCTTTGGATTTTAGAGAGATTAATTTGTTGAGTTTATTATTACTTAAAATATTGACTTTGCTTTGTAGTTTTCTGACTCATCTTTAATTTTGTTTCGTTACATTGGGTATTTTAATATAATTTTATCTCGAAAAACTTTGCAAGATAATATATATGTTAAAAATTATAATTGGGTGACTTGGATCTATTAACATCTCAACTCTATTTTCTGTCTGTGTATTTTTTTTTTGGATGTGTAATCGATATACATGTATAGGAAACAAATTCACTTGGAATGTTCTGTTTTTTTTCTTTCGAAAGGTCTAGGGATCTATTTCTTCTGGTGACAGTTAAAAATTATAATAATGGAATTGATTAGTTTGAAAAGATTGATTGATTTAACATGTTTTGCCTATTTCTCACTGCATCAAATTGACTTTAAAAGGGAATAGAGCTTTGTGTTGCATATACAACACACGTAGCATGTTACATACACTCATCTCTGACTGTTATGGTCAAAGTAAAATAAACATTCGAATCTTATTCGTTTATATAAGTAAAATAAATCAAAAGAAAAATCTCTCCCTATTGCACTCTCGCAACAAGTTACATTTGGGGCACTGTAATGATGAGAGCTCGTCTCTTTCTCATATGTGGGCCGGTCGTCGTTTACTAGTCTTAAGATCCAATGTCGGTCCTTCTCTCTCCATATATTATAAACCATTCCCTACAGCTTTGATGATCGCCACTGTTGTCTTGTCTGTAACGAAACCTTTTTTTTTTACATTTTGAATAGGTCACGGGATGAATCGAAGTAAGGATCTCTGTGCTCTTCGTGTTCCTTCCACTTTTTTTTTTTTTAAATTCTAAGCGATTTTTAAGCCCAGTAAAAACTAAATCGGGTCCATAAAATTGTTTATCACAAGTTTTTTTTAGTTTACCCTGTTAAGGCCCGATTAATTCTGTATTTAATGGCCCATTAAGCCTATCTAAAAGAGAGGGAGTAATCAAAACTATACGATATTAAATTTCACTTAACATATATGACTTCTCCCAATACTTTTTATCTAATACAAAAAATAAAATAATACACACAATGATTAGGAGAATTTAGTTAAATAATTGCTCGAAATACACTAAGGAGAAAAATATGGGTCAACGTATATTAATATATATATGGATAATGCATTGGTATATGTTTGTATGTGTAAGCATCTCGATTAGGTTACTAGCTAGAATTCTAATTCCAAGATATTGGATGCTTCATTAGCAAGAATACAATCAACCTTTATTCAAATGATTAGTACGTACGTAAACCAAAATTACCAAGTCGAAACTGGTTCTTGGTGCGTTGCATCGGACACTATCTTTTGAATCATCCAAGACCAAGATACGGGTTGATGATTCTTTATTGTGTTTAAGCTCATTACTAATAAAGCCATATGCTAATGAATATATATGGTGAAAATTATCATGAATAGTTTATAATGAAGCGAAGTAGAGTAATAGTATTAGTAAGGTGGGGGGACAACTGGACAAGAGAACGAAAGCTGTCTAGCCAAACAGTAACCCTTAGCCATGCCGAGTTCACGTGCAGCATGCTACACTTGCTTCTTCTTATTTATTAATTATTTATTTCTATGTTAGGTTTTGTTTTCTTTCTCATTTTTAGGAATTTTAAATAATTGAACAAGAAGAACTAGGAAGACAACTTATGTTCAAGACTTCTTTTCTGTTCCGGAATCTCTTACTTTTCAAGATGAGAGTACCGTTGATAATATATGTGCTATCCAACAATATATATATATATATATTTACAAGTTCCAAATATTCTGTTTTTGAAGCATGGCATAGGGAAAATTGGGATATATTATATAGTAGGGGACACAAACACAATTTCCAAGTAATGATATAACTGTTAAAAATGGAGGGAGATTGAGTTAATACTGTATTATATGAATGGTTAAGTGGAAACTGTGTGAAGCAAGGACCAGGTTCAAGTTACGGCTGATTTGGTGATGGAACACGAGAAAAGACATGTGGGATTATGTTTCGGCCCATATTATCTTAAACTTTTATGTAAGCTCACAATCGAAAACTTCAAGTAATTTAAAAACTCAATCTTGTTCCACTTATGTTGGGTTTGATGAAGTCTCATATACATCATCTTTGGCAGCTTTTAGCAGTATAACTTTTTGGTATTCGAGCTTGACGAAGTTTCGTAGATTATTGCTTTCGCAAGGTACCTTTAAGAAAGAAAAAAGAAAAGGATTCTTCAGGTATATATACCCTACGATTTTTTTTTGCAAAATAAGAGGGTTTCAAAATGTTCGTTAGATATGCTCGTTACAAAATATTCATATAAGTAGTTCAATAATTTCGTCTTTTAACGGTGAGGAAATCAAATCTATGTGTGCATTAATGCACGTTTGGCCAGTATGATATTCATATGGAACACTATAGATCTCATATCAATATGACAATACAGTTTTATGTTTTAGATATAGATCGTTACTTGAGAAGATAACCGTCAAAAATATACACACTGCGTTTATCAGTTACTTAATTAGTTATTTGTATATACACCAACTTATATTACAATTTACAAGTTAATTAACTTATACTATATGATTTGCCAGCTATTTTAGTATAGACGTTTAACCAAAGGTTATAAAAATGGTCGTATTTTTCTTTGCGAGTAAAAATGACTCAAGGCATCCACATTTTATGGGATCTGTGCATTTCATTTGAAGCAAATTGGCTCTAACTGGTCAATGTATATCTATCTTACGTTCAAATTCCATAGTATTAATCCCACGAAGTTAGTATAGTCTTTGTAAAATTCTCAAGAGGTCGTAATAAAATTACAAATATAAGACTTGTCTGTTCGTTTATATAATACTATATTTACCCCTAATTAAAATATATATATTTTCTTTTCACTTATTTCTCTATTAGTATAGTATAGTGCATAGAAGAAGAATATGTTATGTAACCAAATGGCCGACCAATGTATCTTGGTTGGTGGATTTTCACATTGTTATGTAAAGTTTGGTGACGTTCACTAAACCATGAAAATGTTAATAATTTGTCGAACATTATTGTTTTTTATTATTATTCATATGGTTGATCCACTGAATATTATTATTATAATTATCTAGCTATTAAAATGTACAATCCAGACAAACTGCTTCTCCCTATAAAAAAAAGACTCATTCGAACAAGTATCTTCCCCATCAAACCACTTTTATCTTACAGAGCTCTCATCCCTCTTTGCAAAGTCACACTCTCCCTAAAACTGATCTCTGCTTGGAAAGGATTAGTCATACAAAATCTCACCATCTTTTTTTGGTATTTGCACGATCATTGTTATATCGACTGGTTTCTTAAGGACGCAGAGGGAAATGGAAAGCATCATGAACTTGAAGAGAAAGGAGAAGAGATCACAAAGTAGATCAAGACTTGGGAAATATCTCAAAGAACAAAAGGGGAGGATTTACATCATTAGAAGATGTGTCATGATGCTCCTTTGCTCACGTGATTGATTCAATTTTATTCATTATTACCATATCAATACACTTACATATACATGTCTATGCACGTGTGTATTTGTATATATGACAAGCCTAAAGAATTAGCTTGCTTTGTTTTGTGTCTTGTCCGATATATGTAAATACTCATAGCGAAGCTTATCAGCAGCCGTTAATGATCATTAGTTATGAAGAAGTTAATTATTTCTCTATGCAGTAATAAAGTTTACTGTTTAATTTTGTGCATCTGATGACGTCTTTTACATTCATTTTCGTAACATTGTACCTCGTCGCATTATTTAAGCACGCAATGACAAAATTGTTATCTCAATTAAATAACAAACCGTTAAACTCGATATTTTTCTGTATACAACATTGATTTCTTTACTTTATAAATCACAAGTATTTATGAACGATATGCATATGGGTCCGATCGAGTATAACAAGTAGATATTTAATATATTTACTTCGAACCCAATAAAACACAGGAAGAGGCCTCCTATCAAAAAAGCCCACAAGCCCAAATAGTTAATTCCGTTACCCCACATCGACGATAAACGATTAAACGTAGACGTAAGTTGAAGGTTTATATATCGCTCAGAGTCGTCAACTGATTTGTCACCTTCGAGTACATCTAACAAAATGGAACGATACAGAGAAAATTAGCATGGTCCCTGTGCTAGGATGACACGCATAAATTGAGAAATGGTCCAAAGAAACTGATATGAAGTTATGTTATAGAGTAATGATATGCAGAAGAAGGCAAGCAAAATTGGAGCCAGATGTTGTGTAATAGCCGAAATTTTTCTGGCCAAGCTTTTTGAATCACCATGTCCATAAACAAACAAACAAAAACCTATAATGAATTCAAGCTTCTATTTGAGCAGGAGCAGGCAAAGGTTTTTCTAAAGAACATTTATCAGGTTTCATGGAATTGAAAAGCTCTAGAACTTCTGCATTGCGACGGATATAACTGGGGCACATAGACAGCAAGTCCTGAGCTTCACTATGCCTTGCAGACTTCAACATAGCTTCGAGTACACGCAGAGCCATTGAATTAGACGGAAACTTCTTCGACGTCACAGCCTTCAGAAAAGCGAAAGCCTCCTTGCTTGTTCCACTATTTGATAAGTAATCCAAGAACGGATCCACAAAAGGAGGGAATCCCTGATTTTTCATCATAGGTAGAAGACTCAAAGCTTCTTCAAACCCACCATCTCTTGCTACCTTCTTCATCAATAGATTCCTCACCATAATTTTGTATGTACTGTGCCAAGGTTTCAACTGATTTTGTTTCACTAGCTCGGTGAAAAGCTTGTATGCATCTCTTGCCTTAAAACTGTTGCAATAAGCAAGTACCAACTTCTCAAATGCATAACCTGCGTAAGAGACTCCCTCTTTGCCAATCATCTTCTTGAAACACTCTGAAGCTTCTTCGAGATCTTTAGCATCACAATGCCATTCAACTAAAGACGCCATTGCTTTGTCATCTAGATGATTTCCAGAGGTTTCCATAAAGTTCACAAGTTCGTTAGCTTCATCTTTCTTTCCCTTACGACTAAGTCCTGATGCAATCACACTCTGAAGATCACCGATAGGAAGATATCCGCCTTCGTTCATCGCTTTCAAAACCTCATTACTTTGTCTGAACCTATCAACGCTTCTCAAAGACTTGAGGACATGCTGCAGCATAGAATCAGGCACAATGTTGCCATTTCCTGTATAAGCTTTCACAGTTCTTAGGAACAAATCCATGTCTAATTTCTTTGCAGTGACAATTTTCTTGAGCAGTAAACTGCAGCAGTGCGGGGTGGGTGTATTGCTACCCGCCATTGCAAACTCGAACAACTCGACAGCTTCTCTAATCATCTTAGTCTGACAGAACCTTGCCGAAACCCTAACATAAGTTTCCATTTCCATCTCGTAACCAGCACCCCTGATTTCTTCTATAATGTGTTGAAACCTATCAAGAAACTTCTCTTTCCCTAAAACCCTGGCCATAGCATTATACGTCTTCTCATCATGCTTAAAATTACCAGACTCATCAACCCACCTAAAGAACAACAAAGATTTCCTCGGATCCACGTCAAGTTTTTCCAAAATCATCTTCACCAGATCACTTCGAAACTCAAGTTTCAAATCCCTTAGCTGTTTCTCCACATCTGCACTCCACACTTCCTTCATCACAATCTTACATACTCTATTGCAAACCTTGTCCACCGAATTATCCATAGAACCTGAAGCAAAAAGCTCTTTAAGCCTCTCTAAATCACCTTCCATACCATCTTTCTGAAATTTCTCACCCACTCTGTCCCTAACACTAGCGGATACACCATGCCCTATCTTCTTCATAGCATCAGCCAGTTTCCAGAATTCATCAACAAGTCCATTAACACCAAGGATACGCAGCATCGCGTTATAACTTTTGGAGGAAAGTTTTCGAGGATAAGCATCCGAGACCCACTGAAAAAACCTTCCCGCAACATCAGGCCTCGATTCAAGTTCCCTCAGAACTCTCAAGGCTAAATCATGGCTAATCACAATATCATTCGAATCCAGTTCTTTCCTAATCTCATACTTACCATTCAATCTGCTAAAAACATCAATCACAAAAGCTTCAGCAGGAGGTTTTGCTTTAATCGCAGGCTCAGATGAAAAGCTTCGGCTAACAGAGCTCGCCAGTGGCGATTGAAAGTTAAAAAGACACTGTCTTTGTTGCAAGGCTCCAACTACAGAACGTTCATGGAGGAGAGAAGAGAAAGATCGGGTGGAACTGGAGATTACCTGGAACTGGGTCTGATGAGAAAGAAATGGACGATTAGAAGAACGGCAGCTCCGAAAAAGTAGAAACCGCCATTGGTACCTCATTCTTTCTTTCAATCAAAGGTACAAAAAGACTAGTGTTTGGCTCTGATTTGAACAACAAAAGTTTGGATTTTGAGGATGGAGCAGCAATGGCGAAAGAGATGAAATGTTAGGGCTTTAAACTAAAACCTCTGGTAGAGAGAAAAGGTTCGACTAGACTTATTTTTAAACTGTGGTCCTCCAACTTTCTAAAGTTTTTATTTTTGGCCTCAACATTCTCGATTTGAATCGATGATCTACGATCCTTGCTGTTCACTGATTCTTAGCATGTCTTGTATACTCTTGAATCTTGATAACATTCAAGTATGTAATGATCCAAATCCAATCACTTATTTTCTTAATTAAAATTTCCGATTATCTTATTGTAATATTCCTTTTTAAAGGTTCCAAAGTTCATTTGAGGAACAAACCTTCACCTAATAACGTTCCAAATTATCTGCATTGTGGGTAAAATTTCCAAAGTTATTTTGTGCAAGCAATTGTTCATAAAGCTTAACTAATGATTTTTTTTGCTCTCATCTTACTTGATTTCTGAAGTTGTTACTTTCTATTTTCTTTTGCTTTCATAATTTTGACAGATTTAACTTTTATTAACTATATTGATAAGATTACATAAACATCCAAAAGGAAAGAACATCAGAAAGAAGCAGGAATGAGAATTAAAACCCCCCAGTTTATTAAACACAAGTAGTCAGAGGGGAATTAATAAGGAAAAAAAAAAAGTTGGAAAGGGATTAGTTGTTTTTGTTCATGCCGGTCTTGTCCTTGACGACATCAGCAGCTCCTTGTGCCTTCTCCTTCATTTGTTGTCCAGTCTACAATTCACATGTGCAGAGAGTTATATATAAGACCGTACGTATATATAATTTGATTTGAAACTCTAGTGTTATGCTTCTACCTGTTGCAAGGAGTCTTGAGCAGAAGCAGCAGCATCCTTGGCTTTGTCCATCATACCACCTGCCTTCTCCTATATTTCAAAGTAACATAATACATTATACATTAATAGATCAACCTTGTCTAAACAGAAAGAGATTATATATAATCTGTTAGCATTTTCAACAAAAAAATTTGAATTTAGAAGTGTGGAGATCTATTAAAGTGTATCGACAAAATTGATACCGAATGTGTAACAACTAACAAAAGATCAAAAGATCAAAAGAAAAAAATATTTTAGCGTAAGGGTAAATCCTATAAGGAAAGAGAGAGAGACCTTAGTCTGACCGGTGGCTTGACCGGCTTGGTAGCTCATGTTTTGCTTGTTGTCCATATTCTTCAAGTTATGGTTTTAGCTATAAACCTTGGATTGCTTTATTGACTGTGTTGTTGTGTTTGTATGTTTGATGATGAATGAATGAATATAGTGGAGTTGTGGGTTGCTATTTATAAAGCCAGAGAGGTGCTTGGGAGTCCTCCACGTGTCAAGGACACGTGCATCGGTTCGAGAACCTTGCCTCCGTCGGTGGCTAGTTTCAGCATCCACGTGTTGGTTAACCGTTTGACCAGGACATAATGGCTTCTACACGTACGTGCTACTCTCGACTTCTGATCCAAAACAACACGGTTTATTTTAGTTAGGCTTGTATATTGTATATTAGTAGATTTTTTAGAGGAATGGGCTACTCTGTTGCGCGATAATAGGATGTTGAGCGAAAACGATAATGTTTTCTTTTTCTTATACATTTATTAAAGATTTATAATTAATTATGTTTTCTAACGCAAGTTTTGTTTCTTCATATTTCACATAATATGCATAGAACTACATAAGTAATATTTGTCTATTCACTGACATTATTAGTTTCTAAAAGGACGAAACAAGAAGTTATTTTTGCTAGGAGTCATCATCTCTTCTGTTTTTTTTTTGTTTTTTTGTTTTTGTCAACTGGTGTTGTTAGTGTACTGTAACCTTACAGACAAACGACGATTATAGTTTAGTTTTAGTTTTTACGATATAAATAAATAATCACCTCCGAAACAAAATAAGTCATGCAAGTTGTTATGTTCTTTTCATCACAAGTCTGAGATGAAAAACACAAAAAAAAAAAAAAAAAAAGTCTGAGATGAATTTCCCTACGTAACCACAAGTGTACTTCGGAACAAAAATAAAATATATCTAAAACTACGTGACCAATAAGCACTCTATAATAACTTACATTAATGGCAAATACGTTTTTAAAACAAATATATAATAAAAAAAAGTAGATAATAATATCAATCATAGCAGTAACATTTTAAAAAAATAACAGAACACAGGTAATATAAACCCAAATTTATAAAGCAGAAAAGTACCAACACACATGGCTTTGTCAAGGAGATAGACTCAACTTAACAAGCCATTTATTCAACAGATATTGTTTTTTTTGAAAAAAAAAAAGAGTGCAAGAAAAAAAAAAAACAGAAAGCTCGAAAATAGTTTATTAGATAGAATTCTGCTAGATTCCCTCGTCCTTCTCGTCCTCGCTGCTGCAGCTATTGTTGCTGCTCCATTCACACTTCAAGGTAGATCTAGGCGATCCACAGTACTTGCCAAGCTTCTCGAACGTCTGATACATCACTGTTCCACTCTCTTCTCCTAGAGACTCAAATGTCCTCTCTCTGCACCCATAGTCTTCCAAGTCTACACTGATCTCTGGCTTGTACGCGTTACATCCAACGCTCGAGTGCACAGCTACAGAGAATTGCTTGGGCTCGAAGCAAGACAGAACCCTTGTCACCAGCTGGCTCAGGTCCATGGTGCTGAAGTCGTAACCCACTGCTTCGAAGCTAGCGTAGCTAAACCCATCCTCAGGGGTAACATGGATCGTGGAGATTGCATCTCCTTCAATTGAGTTCATAGAGTAGCCACATGGCTCGAATTCAAAGTCGCAGATCTGGGACTTGGGAAGGATCTTCCTTATTCCGGAGTTGTCGGTCATAGATCCGGTCTTGTCAGTCTCATCCTTGTAGAAGACAGAAGCTTTCTCTCTGTCTAGACCCGTCATGCACATCTCAAGCGTGAAGACATTGTTGTTGCAGTTGCTAGAGTCCTGGGCGGAGGCAGCATAGACGTGCCATTTCTTAGTCTCATCATCATTGCCCATCAAGTAGGCTACGCTGTTCAAGCCCAGCTGAGAAAAATGCCCATCAAGAACAGAGACTTCTTCAGAGAAGCTGCGGTGAGGGAAAGGCTGGCCTCCAGGGCAGAGGAAGGAGCCACGAGTGTACTTGACAGACTTGACACTCAGAGAGAGCTCACCAGCCAGCTTAAGAAGTGGTGGGATAGAGAGGAGGAGCTTAGTGGTACCGCAAGTCTTGATGATGACTTTGTAGGGGTAGACAAAGAAGCTGGACTCAGAGAGTACGTAAGAGTCCAATTGATCGTTGGAGAGAGATGAAACGATCGTGCATGCAGCAGGAGTAAGAATTTCATCAAGTTGGGACTTGGTAAGAGCACGGAGCCCAAGTCCCTTGGAGTCTTGAAAGATGCTTGGCTCAAAGAAAGTCACCTCGAGCCGTTTCTCGTAACCTTCAAAACCGATTGCAGATAAGGCCATCTCGCCTTGTTGTGTGAGCGACGGGATTAGTTGTTGTAGGAGGAGAGAACGATTGGATCCGGGAACCAGCAGAAACGGAGCTTTGACAGAAGAAAATTATAAACTGGAAAGTAGAGAAAGCTATAACTATATTAAGAATTTCGGTGCACGCTACTACTCAGGATGGCCTCTTGGAGCACTGCAAGAGATAAAAACAAAGCATTGTCAAGAGAATGAAAAATGGGAATCTAGAACGAATGAACAAAATCTGAATAAAGCAACGTAGAGGAGACTCACGTTGGAGTAGACAGAAGATTTGAATTTCTTGATTCCACCGTTTGGACGAACGTCTTCAATGCTGTAACCGAGGGGAGCTTCGTAAAATAAGGAACTACTACTGCTAGACTTTTTATTACCACCTTTCGACTCCATCATAATCTCATTCACGCTTTGCTGTATTAAACAAACAAACAGGAAAAACAAAGTTAGATGATGAAAAAAGGAACCATGACTTAAACAAAAAAAAAAAAGGAAACAATGACTACAACCAAAGAACATGACAAATTCATAGCCAAAAGAACAGTTCAATGTTATTTAGAAGAACACGATTATGAAGCATATCGGTAAACAGACATCAAACTCTTTCATTAGATCTAGTATGACTATTAAAAGAAGATTACAACTAACCCTTAAAACCTAAACCTATGACGATTTGAGATCTATATTCGTACGTAACAACCAAGGATCAAAATTGTTCGTTTCAGATAATAAACATCAATGAAAAACATGCATACGAATACCGATGTCGATCAGAATTACGAATCTAGCTAATGAGATATTGGATCTGTGAAAATAAGATGACGAACAAAATCAAAGAGAGAAGTCAATCGTGAGAGGTGGAAACTTACATAAAAATAAAAGATAGATCCAGGTCGCCAATAACGAAATTCCTTATTTCCAGAAACCCCTTTTTCCAGATATCAAACGAAACCCTCAAACCTGAAAATCGAACCCAGAATTCAACGGGGTTAGACGGAAGAGATCTACGAATGAGAGAAGAAATAAAACAAAAGGCAGATCTACAAATTGAAAAGAAACTAACCAGATAGAGAGATGATTCAGGAAGCGAAGAACAATTTCGTAAGAAAAAGAGAGAAAACCCTAAAATTTGAGAGATGATTTGATGATTTGGTAATGATGAGGCAATGAGAGATGTGTTCGTGAGGAGAGAAGAAAGCTGGAATGAGAGTCCCTTTATATAAGTAAGTACTAGGGTTATTATTGTATGCTCTTTTCGCAAATTACGTTTGTACCCTTTTGCGTTTTATTTAGCGTGAAGCTATCTGAACCATTGATTTTTTTCCAATTTGCCGTTCCGTGGTGTTTTACCAGATATACCCTTACTGAACCTCTTTTTTTACGTTGGCATCGGTAGGTGCGTGAGGCATCACGATTCCTGACCGCAGATAAATAGCAACAAAATTAATAAAACAAATTCATTGGTTTTCCTTTTGCCGCATGTAGTCTTTATTTTAATTTTGGACATTATCTTCGGCGGAACAAAAATATATTAAAGACAAGATACGGAAAAACACGCTATAACATAGGTTTAACCAATAAAAGAGCGACACGTGTTGAGATACGTGTGCCGTTGAAGCGGATAACTCGAGGCGCGCTGTCACGTAGCAGCGTGGGCCTAGAAGAATCAAATTCTCTATTTCTCAAAGGCTCTCTTCTTAACTGCTCCCACCCCCACTAAATGACAAATTTGGGCCTCTCCGTGACTCATTCATGACTCATGTCCCTCCACCCCCCCCCCCCCATTTGTCAAAGTAAAACCAATCACTACCATTTTTGACCACTTTTTTGTAATTAATTATTCCAAATCCTTGTTGTTCAACCATAACATTTCTTATTTAAAAAGTCTGCTAGTTGGGTACCATGAACCTTAAAAATACAGTACTAATTTATTTTAAAAGTAAAACAACCATGATTTACTTTTCACTTTGATGAGATTTTTTCTTCTTCTAGGAATACAAGTCTCTATCTATACATCAGCTGGAGCATACCTTCTTTACCCGGAAATTGCTATAAAGAATCAGAGTCTCTCATAAGAAATTCCCCCCCCAACTTGGCATATATGATGAAAAAAGAATATATTCCAGCCAAAAATATAAAAGATAGGGATGAGAAAAGAATCCGAATCCAATCGTCTGGTTCAGTTCATTACAACCACCAGTCCTTCTATGGTTGAACCGGTTTGGCGTTAGTCTTCTCATAGTCCAGTTTCAGTTCTTCCAAGCGCTTTGATACCTGGGATGAACAAAGTATTAATGCCACTAATGTTTATCAGCTCAAGAAACCTCAGAGTTTTCACTAACAGATTTAACAGCATCAATGCCCCTCAACAATTGTTCACTACAAGTAAGTATGATTAAATTATCCATCAAGTTAATCATGTCTATATCGCTAATTTGATTCTTTCATATCTCTCCAGTGTTATTATAAGAACTTAACCACAACATTAAGGAGACAGCTTCACTTTTTGGAAAAGAAAGAGAACCTTTATAGAATAAGCCAATGGAAGCAAGGTATCCGGATTCATTGCATCATCCGGGAAATTTTTCAGAGCATGTATTAATTTTTCAAATGGTAATTTTACCTGCAGAGTTAATAAGATACGAGTTTTAAAAAGCTTGGTTTCTCCAAGTTTAACTTACAGCTCATTAAAACACCTCACTCACCAACTCATCTTGGCAATACTTCAACAATGCTAAGCCGACTTTGAACACGATTTTAACACCCTTAAGCAAGAATGACCAACGATTATAACAAAATGAGGCTTTGATTACAACAAATATCAAAACAGATTTTTAAAGATGCGAATTAGTTACCTCGGAGAGAAAGACATCCCATATCCGTAGAGCCAAAGGAAAAGGAAATGAATAAGAGAAGACGGTGATGAACCATTGACTTGCATACATACTCGGATTGATCATTTCTTGAGTAAAATGTTCTCCGAGCTTTGGAATTAGCTCTTTTACCAAGCTTTCTAACTGAAACAGGTATTGCTGTACAAGAGGAAGCCCTGCCTACATTACACACAGACAGTGACTCTTGGATTATTGATTCCTATATTTTCTCATATGGCATAGTTATACATAGAAAGCGTACATCAATTAACATAACTATCATAATATCAGTATCTCTTTATCTATGAATCGATAAAATTTGTAATTTTACGATATCTCTAAGAATAAGGATGAAACAACTACTGTGATCAGCCATTTATCCTAACCCAAAAAATTCTTACCAGAATCAATATAAACCTAGTCAATGACGAATTTTCAAAAAGTAGCCATGAACTCTAAATATTGCAGTAAATAAGTATTTTTTTTTTCTTCAACATAGTTATTTGCTTGCAATCTTCCAATAAATAAAAATTTCATTGCGTCTCTACTGCAATGATATCTTCTTGCTTAAGGGTAAATTCAGCGAAGTAGAGATGATTAAAAAACTCACATGATACAGTCCTTCCATTGGAGCATGAACAGCTCCTTTTAGTAATGCAACTAATAACCAGAAGGCATCTTCTTCGCTCATATAAAGAAGCAACAAACCGGCTATAAACCCCATCCCCTGCAGATATTAGAAACATGTAATCTTACTACCTTACCAGAAGAAATGTAAGAAACAAGGGAAATATCTCAAGGACAGACCTGAACATATCCAACATCTCTGTCATAAACCGAGTACGCCTTAAGGATATTGTATAAAGATCTTTGGCCAGGTCCATGCCTCTTCTGAAAGAAAACATGTGATGGGAAAGTACGGGATATGTCTCGAATGATATCAAGTTCTGATGCCGATGTTTCATAAATCACCAATTGCTGCGTAGGAAAACCGATAGATTATCAGAATATGACTTGCAAAGCAAACAATAAAACGATATAGACACACACAAAAATCACCTCATAAACACCAGGATTCATAAGCAAAAGGTCCCTACTTCCTGAGATCAACTGCCAAACAAGACCACGTAAGCAATCTGGGATCCCTTTTCGTATACGCCTTTTGACAACATTAGGTTTCCTCCTAACATAATGCTTCCAGTCACTACCACCAACCCCAATCATCTTCCTCCATTTTCTCACCTTTCTCTCCTCTCTACACCAAACAACAAAAACACACTCTCGTTCCTACCTGTCTCTAACTATGACAAAATTGAAGTCAATTTTCCCACTCAGAACAAACCTGTCATGGTCAGTGGATGATGTAGTTCTAGTCTTGCTAAAACGCTCTGGAGAATTGCCATGTTCTTGCTTCAGGAACCCGAATCTATCCACGGGAACATGAGAAGTGGCTGGTCCTGATTCACTGTCGTTTTCCGTTCTTTTTCTACTCATTCTACTAACCTGAAGAGACTCCTCGCATTGATTTTAGAAAGCTTTCAGTCTCCTTTCACAAGATCGTGATCAAGCTGCCAAATGTAACAATCATCAAAACCTGAGCAAACATTCCAATATCCCAAAAAGACAAATTAATACCATCAATTACTTTAGAGAAACATTTAAAATTCCGTGAAATAAAAATTAAGACTCACCAACGAACGAACGTGTAGTTAGATCAAAAGACCTCGTACCCAAACCCTCGATGAATTAAGATGAACCAAGGAGTTGAAACAATCAACTCTGGGCTTTCCGAGATTAGAATCAAATTCGACGAATTTTGGAGATGGGATTGACTTGAGATAACCAAAAGATATACAGCGGTGGAGATCACACCTGGGAACTCACATACGCGTGCGACTCAATTGTAACAAACCTTTGAATTTTTCATCCGCTTGAAGAAAGTGATCCTCGAGAAAATGAGAGCCAAGGAGGAAGGAAAAAATCAGAGTGAAACCAGCATCAGCATGAAACGATGCCGTTGAGGATATTAATCCTTTTTATTTTTATTTAATTAAATAAATGGTGATGCCAACTTGCTAAGTTTGGTGACATGACAACTAAGATTCTATCTGTTAATAGATTTAAATTTTTGATTTACATATAAGGTTTGAGGAATAGAACAATTAATTGGCTGTATGTAATCATCCCCTATATCTTTTACTATCAGCCCAAAATGGAACATAACCCAATAGCTAAAAGGCCCATCACTCGATTTATAATGCCCACTGGGTACTGGCCAGTGCATATTTATCCAGAAAAAAACAAAACCGTAAGATCGATCAAAACGACCTTAAAAAAAAAAAAATCATTTGTCCGGTTTTTTTTTGTCAACGAAAAAGGAAAGACAGAGTCAAAATTAGAGCTTTGGCAAACTCTTATCCTTACAATTGAGAACCGAATCATCCATCAGCGCTTGAAGACGAAAGCTTTTCCAGTTCCCTCCATCTTTTTACGAGCATGACCCTTTCGTCTACGCTTCTTTTGTAAATTCATAGGATTTTTTTTTTTCTTGGCGAAATATGAACAACGCATGATTGGTATTCTAGGAAAGATCGTCCATGGCTACTTTCAATGTTCTTTGTAGCAATAGGTTTCTGTTCAAAGGGGCTAATTCTCCGGAGAATTCTAGCAGAAAGGTGTTTTCCAGGAGTAGTGAGTTTAATGTTTGTGTCGCTAGAGCGAGGAACCAAACGTTTAGTTGCAGGAGGCTCGGTGGGTTTCTTGAAATTGGTGATTCCAGATTAGGGGTTAGATTTCATGGCGATACTCGAAATAAGTTTTCTTGTAATAGTGAGATTAAGCGACTTTTGAGTGGTGATTACGGAGATAATAAGGAGTCTCGTATTGGTGAAGATGGTAGAAGCAAAAGGAAGAGAAGAAGATTTTCCCTTAGGCTTCGACCTAGATTACGATTGGTGACCATGAGACTTGGGAGATTCGATTTCAGAGCATCAATTGAGGAATTTCGATTCTTTTTAAAAAAGAATTTCAAAAGAGTGGTTTTATCAACTGGTGTAGCTGTAATCTTTGGACTGTGTTATTTGTTCTTGAGGTTGACCGCTGTTCCGTCTCCATCCATTGTTCCTTACTCAGATTTCGTTACCAATCTTCGAGGCGGTTCCGTTTCAAAGGTTTTGCTCGAAGAAGGTTCTCGTCGAATCTATTACAATACTAATGAGGTTGTTGAAGATGATCAAACTTTAGAAGAACCGGCACTACAAACTGATGGCAGCACAGCGGAAACTGTGACCGAAGCTGTTACGAAAGATGTTACTCCGCGGAAGGTTCGAGCTTTGCCTCCTGTGTGGAAGTATATGACAAGAAAAGTCGATCATGATGAGAAGTTTCTTCTTGGTTTAATGAGGGAGAAAGGCATTACTTATAGCTCAGCTCCTCAATCTGCATTGATGTCAATGAGAACCACTTTGATAACAATCATCTCTCTGTGGATTCCTTTAACACCTCTTATGTGGCTTCTTTACCGGCAACTCTCAGCATCTAACAGCCCTGCGAAAAAACGACGGTCTAAAAATCCCACGGTTGGATTTGATGATGTTGAGGGTGTTGATTCTGCTAAAGACGAGCTTGTGGAGGTAGAAAGTGTTTGTAATTACGACGTTTTTAGATCTAATTTTGAATACAATCTTGATGTCTTTTGGTGTCTTTTATTTGTAGATAGTGTCATGTCTTCAAGGAAGTATAAACTACAAAAAACTAGGAGCACGATTACCTAGAGGTGTGCTTTTGGTCGGTCCACCAGGGACCGGTAAGACCTTGTTAGCCCGGGCTGTCGCTGGAGAGGCTGGAGTTCCATTTTTCTCGGTTTCCGCTAGTGAATTCGTTGAATTGTTTGTTGGAAGAGGTGCAGCGCGGATCAGAGATCTTTTCAATGCTGCCAGGAAAAACTCACCTTCCATAATATTTATTGATGAGCTTGATGCGGTCGGAGGAAAACGGGGTAGGAGTTTCAACGATGAACGTGACCAGACACTAAACCAGGTAAAGAATCAACCTTTATAAAACTTTTTATCTGGTAGTTGCCATTGCTGATTTGCGTCTTTTGTAGTTGCTTACTGAGATGGATGGATTCGAGTCAGAGACGAAAATCATTGTAATTGCAGCAACTAACCGACCAGAAGCATTAGACCCGGCTCTTTGTCGGCCTGGAAGGTTCTCTAGAAAAGTTGTGGTTGCAGAACCAGACCAAGAAGGCCGTAGGAAAATCTTGGCCGTACATCTGAGAGACATCCCTCTAGAAGAAGATGCGTTCCTCATATGTGATTTGGTTGCTTCTCTAACTCCTGGATTTGTAGGTGCTGATCTGGCCAATATTGTCAATGAAGCTGCATTGCTCGCTGCTCGTAGAGGTCAGTCTTTAAGTGATCTTATTAGTCCTTTATGATATAAGTAAATATCCGAATCTGGTTGCTTCTCAGGTTTGAATATCTGATCGTTTGGGTGGGATGATAAAAAAGGAAGACTTTCTTTAGTTTAACCCGCAGTTGCGCTTTCTTGACTGTTTCAGGCGGGGAAACGGTGGCACGGGAAGATATAATGGAAGCGATAGAGAGAGCAAAGTTTGGGATAAATGATAAGGAAGTGAGGTCAAAGACATTAGGAAATGAGCTGAGCAAGCTGTTCCCATGGATGCCATCTTTGGCTAGAAGGAACGGACCAGATCAAGACGGTTTACAAGGACCGTTAGGTTATCAAAGTCTCAGCTAGACCAAACTAATAAGACAACTCGGTTTATCCGTTGATACGACTGTATCTGCAAATTTTGGAAATGTACGTTTCTTCTGCTGTATTGTATCAGATCTCTGTTTACAATGTAAGTCAATTGCTTTAATTCCCTTTTTCCGGCAATTATAGTTTACAAATAAACCCAATTTGACAATATACAAATATTTGATCATGGTCGTTATATATTTTAGTAAATACATATTTCAGTATTTAGAACCTTGTTTGATGGTAATCCAATAATCGAAATGATTCCTAGCATCTCTCTCATCCCCTGAAATCAAAATCGATTATTCCAACTATTTCTTATTATTCTTTTTAATGTTTCTTTTTTCTCTCGGAATAATGAGACGATGGAACTTCCCGCAACAAGGTTACGAAAAGGACTAGTGATTTTTCCTCTTATTCTACTTACAATAGCTCCAATCCTTTATCTCCTTTTTGGTTATCCTCTCTATTATTCATCAACATCGATATACAAACATTTAACAAATTCATCATCAGATCATCATAACACATCATCAGAATTGCATGATAATGATTATGACGACACATATCATCCCAAGCCATCATCTTCAGATGACAATCATTCCATCTCATCGTATAAAGAAACTCCTAAGAAAGAGAACGGCCGTCAAAAAAGAAAACGGGAATGCGATATATTCTCCGGCGAGTGGATTCCAAACCCTGAAGCACCGTACTACACAAACACGACATGCAGGGCGATACACGAACACCAAAACTGCATCAAGTATGGGAGACCTGATTTAGGTTTCATGAAATGGAGATGGAAACCAAAAGAGTGTGATCTCCCTTTGTTTGATCCTTCCGAGTTTCTGGAGATGGTTAGAGGTAAAAGCATGGCGTTCGTTGGTGACTCCGTTAGCAGAAACCACGTTCAGTCTTTGATCTGCCTACTCTCTCAGGCACGTCCTCCCTCAGAGATATATATGACTTCATTTTGTCGCTTAACTTGATTTATAAGTTTCTATCAAAATAACTTGATACAAAAGTAACCTTAGTTATTAAAAAAAATAACTTCAGGTGGAAGATCCCGAGGATGACTCACGTCAACAAGACTTTAATTTCCAGAGATGGATATACAAAACCTACAACTTTACGATTGCCACATTTTGGACAACCCACTTGGTTCGCTCCGAAGAAACCGAAACCGGTCCGGCAGGTCCTAATTCGTTTTACAATCTATACCTCGACGAACCTGCCCCATCTTGGGCTTCCCAAATCGTTGAATTCGATTACGTTATCATATCCTCTGGACAGTGGTTTTTCCGACCACTCTTCCTTTTTGACAAACAAAAAAGGATAGGATGCTTGTATTGTTACATTCCCGGTGTCAGAAATGTTGGGGCACATTTCGCGTATAGAAGAGCATTAAGAACAACATTTAAGACCATTCTTGGATTAGAGAACTTTAAAGGTGAAGTGTTTCTAAGGACATTTGCACCTTCACATTTCGAAGACGGGGAATGGGATAAAGGTGGAAATTGCTTGAAAACGCGACCCTATAGGTACGTTGTTCATCCAACAACATTAATGTTTTATCAATATAATTTTCTTATAGAACAAAGTATTAGGACTTTTTTGTTGTTTGGTATAAATTTTTCGTTCGTCAACTCCTAAAAGATTAAACGTCTAATTGGGGCTCTTTTGTGTTTAGGAGCAATGAGACAGAGTTAGAAGGTATGAATCTAGAGACGCACAACATTCAACTCGATGAATTTCGCATTGCAAAAAGAGATGAAAACAAGAATGACGGATTAAACTTGAGATTACTAGATGTAACACGAGTCATGTTGTTAAGACCAGATGGACATCCGAGCAGATTTGGACATAAACCGGAAGATAAAGTTGTATTATATAATGATTGTGTACATTGGTGTCTACCAGGTCCTATTGATTCATGGAACGATTTTTTACTAGAGATGCTGAAAAATAGAGATTTAACGAGATTACCATAGTATAATCTTCTTTCTTTTCTCAACTAATTAAACCATGTTTAGTTTGTTACGCGATATGGTATTTAAAAATATATTTGCGCATTTTTCAGATTTAACGTATGGATTGGTTTGATACTCGTCTATCTCATTAACTAACGACATAAAGTTAAATTTTGATAATCGATTATTCAAAGTCAAGGGGCGCTGAAGGCAACATGTCAAACGTAATGGATTTATATTGCATTATATATTTTCACGACATCATGCATATATATTTTACAATACGATTGACAAAATGGTAATATATAATTAATAAAAAAGTTATAGACATATATGAGACCGTTTGCTTATATAATTTTCAATAGCTAGATATAATTTATTAATGTACATTATAAGAAATTTCGTAACGTATGAATACAAACAAACAAGAAAACAAACGAAGAAATAATATAGTCATCCCACCTTGAAAACGCAACCGTGTTTGAATGTAAATCACCGCCGGTCAACATTTCCGGTGACAAGATAACCAATGCCGTGACGTCTCGTCGGGAAAACCATAAACAAAAGGCTGGACATAACACCAACACCCACCGGAACAATGTCCAAGACATGTTTCGTCTCTGCCTCCGGCGACGGACAAAAGCAGTCCGTTACATACTTATCTCTCAACGCAACGGCTCCGAACACTAAAACCGACAACGTAGCGTGGATCCAATCAACGACCCGCATCCGATATTTGGATAAATCGGGTAAACCCAACCCGGACGGGTCAGGATAGTCAACGACCCACATGCCTTTGAACGTGACGAAACCGAAGTAGATAGTTCCGTCGTCGGCTTTGACGCTATCGGTGAAGGAGCTGACGAAGCAAGACGCGGCCAAGAGGTAGAGGAGAACGGCGGTTAGGAAACGCGTTGCGTGGTCGCAAACGCCGTTCGAAGTGAAAACGGGCGTTAGGAGTTGAAACGCGAGGAGTGTTCCCGTTGGGAGCAGGTTTGAGAGATTGGCTGCTGACGTCAGCGTGTTTGACATGGCTCGCTGAGACACTGACATCTGTCTTCTGAGCACCCGTGTTTCTGACGGTGGCTCATCGGAAAACTCGTCGAGCTCCGGAGCCGGAGTGTTTGCGTTCCTTAGCCGAACCGCAGACATCTTTCTAATCTTATTTGTATTTATGGTGTTTCGTTTAATTTGAAATATTGGTGATGAAAATGATGATGATGATGTTTTTAATTTATAGATGCGGAGACATATATAGAAACAGCTAATCATTTATTAAGTTTACGCATAACTAAATTTGTAATTTTGTATGCATATTTTATTAATCTTTCGGTTCGGTTAACTAATAAGATGGAGAATTGGATAATGTACAGAAAAATTAATACAAAGACTTTTTAAAGTTGTTGAATTATATATATATATATATATATATATATATATATATATTTTTTTTTCCTATAAATCAAATTAAAATCCATGAACCAATAAACCTTTTGGTTAAATTTTTATTATATATAATTATATTCGATATATATGTTTAATAAATTCATATTTATTGATAAAATACGATTAAAAATAAACACCATAATTAAAGTCATGGTCCGTATATAGAAGATTTCGGCCTTTTGGGCTATAAAGCCTATAATTAAAGTCACGAACAAAAGAGTCCACCAAACGTCGTCGCTTTTGGAAGATTCTGCAGGTACTAGTAAAGTAATATGGAAAGGTGGACCAAAGAAGCAAAACCCATACAAAGTCGAATCCGAATCTCTCTCCGGCGATCCCATCCATGGCGGAAGGCGGCGAAGATCCCCAGCGGTTGAAGAAAATCGCGGCGGCATCTTATGACTACGAAAACGATGCTCGATGGGCGGATTACTGGTCCAATATCCTCATCCCTCCTCACATGGCTTCTCGTCCCGAAGTCGTCGACCATTTCAAGCGCAAATTCTACCAACGCTACATCGTACGTACTATCTCCCATCTTCAGTTTGCTTATATCCTTCACTACTTTCGAGTTTCGAGTTTGAGTTTGTCTTGTGTGTGCTACTGATTTGGTTGAGAACTTTGAATCTTAGGTTTTACTACTGTGCTTATTGCAGTTGCTTGAATTTTTACGATTGGGGAGTTTTGATGTTCTTTATGCTACTTTGATTAGTCACTGGATTCGAATCTCCTCTTGATTAGGTTATTAAGCGGATGGTAGGGCTTTTCATTGAAAACTGTTCTCACTCTGTTGATTTCATCTTCGTTTGGGTCTTGTTTATAATATAATATTTGCCCTCGTGTTGCTCATCTTTACTTTTTTTTTTCCCTGTGAAGATTTCCTTTTAAACGTATTTGGTCTGGATTTATTGCTAAATCTGGGTGCTTACACTGCCATGGCTTTTTATTTTTGGTAGGATCCTGATCTTGTTGTGGAGCCTATGTCGACATCATCTTCCTCTTCACAATCTGCCAGACCGTCTGCTACATCTGCAGCTTCAACGGCATCTTCTAATGCAAATGAACAAGTTCGTTCACGTAACTCAGGTAAACTTTCTTTGTCTGATATTCTTGACCTTCTAATTTATTCTGTATGAGATGAGATGATCTTTCCTCTTACGCTCAAAAACCAACTTAATTGTGTGCCTCAGGATCGGTTCCTCGAACCTCAGGGCCATCTGCTACCACTGGTGCTAGCCCAACTTCACTGCGCTGGGATCAGCATACAATTCAGTTTTCAGTCAATGCTTGGGTAAGATAATGTTTTTCAGTTGCAGTTTCTTGTTCTTATTGCACAATTCTAAAAAAGATCTAGCTCTTTATTAGGGCTGTGAGTTGGGATTGCTGTTCACTCCTTAACTTGGACAGTAATGAGATGGTGTATTGTCGCGTCTTTATGTCATCTTTTCTAACTGAATGTTTGCTGTGTGCTCATAATATATGAGATAAGGGAAACTAATGCTTTTTATCTGGCATGCTTTATGTAATTATATCCCGTTTTGTGTCTCAAAATCCATCACCTCTTTTGCAGGTTTTTGTTATAGCTGTACTGGCAGTGCTTCCTCTAATACCAAAGAACCTATCAAATAGGGCTTATCGTCTATCTTTCATGGGAACTGCGTGCTCTTCTCTATATTCCTTATACTCCTTATACGGGGTAAGCCTTTTGATCTCCCTTATTTTTCTCTGTATAGTGATCAAGCAATGCAAAATTTTGTTACATATGAATTCCAATGTTGTTATCTGCAGAGACCAAGGGCATGGAATATGCAAGGGCTGCAAGTTTATTTCCAATCAATTGTGGCAGCAAAGGATTTCATCTATTTCATCTACTGCCTTACATTCGTCACTTCACATCTCTGTCTCAAGTGTAAGAATTGATGGAATATTGGTTTGTGAATTTCTGAAAACCACACACATTCTTACGACTAGTCTCCTTATATCTGTTGCAGTTGCTTTGATTCCCATCTTGTGCCGGGCGCTTGAACAAGTAGCCAAGTTCTTGAGGCGTAACTTTGCTCGCTCCACTATATACAGGTAGTTAGTTACATCCAGCTGATTAATATGTTTATCTAGTAGTCGGTTCCATGTGTGGGTTCTTACTGATGGTTATGTTGTTCTATGTGTCTTGTACTGCAATGGTTATCAGAAAGTACTTGGAAGACCCTTGTGTGTGGGTGGAGTCAAACACTACTACCCTCAATATCCTGTCATCGCAGGCTGAGATAGCCATTGGCTTTCTTCTGATTATCTCTCTTCTCTCGTACGCTCTTTGAACCTTTAGAATCGATAATAGTTTTTTTGCACTAATTTCCCAGCTTTGCATTAGCTGGTTTCACTTATCTGAACAAAATTGTCATTTTACTTACTGCAGATGGCAACGCAATATCATACAGACGTTCATGTACTGGCAGGTACACCTCTCCTTTTGGTTGTAGTCACAGTTCTTTGTGATAGCTCAACATCTCCAAGTAGTTACCCTGTTTTCTTTGTTTAGTTTGTTCTAAGTGAACACATAGGAACAACCATTTCCATTGAAATACCTTTATCGTTGTTTGTTGATGGATCTTTGTCTCTGAAAGTGTTACATTGGCTAAGCACATTAGGTTAGTAATGTGAGCTGTGCTTTGCTTCTTATGTTAGAAATATTGTGTTTGCGTCATGGAATCTGTCGAGTTTAAAACTCTTTCCATCATATTATCCCTGAATAAAAAATGATAAAGGTAATTTCCGGGATTGTTGGTTGGATCTTGGGAGTTGTTGTCATGAAACTGAGTATCTTTGTTAATTGGTGGCAGCTATTGAAGCTGATGTATCAAGCACCGGTAACAGCGGGTTACCACCAGAGTACGTGGAGCAAAATAGGGAGGACGGTGAATCCAATTATCCAACGTTACGCTCCCTTCTTGAATACTCCGGTCAGTGCCGTTCAGAGATGGTGGTTCAGGTGATAAAGAAAAACAAACAAAATGCAGAGGTGACATTTGAAACCCATTTGAAAAACCAGAAGATTATAGCTTTCAACAGTCCGACTTTCATTTCATCTTCGACGTAAAGTAGATTCATCCTCTTCTCTTTTAACGTTTTTTTTTGCTATTCCGGAAATAAAAATCTCTTAATGACAACATGATTATGACTTTCTTTTTGGTCGCTAATTTAGTGATATCTGACTAATATTTCCCTTATAGTATTTGATTACGTGAGGCATGAGTAATCACTAGATGACTGTTACCTAAAAATTTAAAATCATGTGGCTAAACGCGGTTAACGTGTAAGCTAATCTATACTATTAATTGGGAAAGACAACTTAAAGCCAAACACCCCCTAATTTTTAAAAAACATTTCATGAAAATAAAATCAGTTGCCAAACATAATTAATGACAGCAAAAAAAAAAACAAAAACAAAAACAAAAACAATCTATATTTATGGAAATCATAATAATCTTTTAACATAAAAAGTGGACAATTAAATTCAAAACTAAATATATGTAAACAAATATATTTTGAATATACATAAACATATTTATTATTAATTTAATATGTTAATATAATTTCGAAATTAATAATTTATATAGAATTAAATCTAATAAAACAAAATCATCATATCTAAAATAACAAAGATAAATTTTTTTAGAAAAATAAAAAAAGATAAAAAAATATGTTAGCATATGAAATAATCAACTAATCAAATTCTACATAGTATATATACATAACTGATCATAGCATAAAATTTTAAAAAATTATATAATTTTTAAATATAAATAAAATTTAACTAAATCAATAATTAAATATTTGTTTGCTAAAACCATGTGAATTAACATTTTAGATCACATAAATTTCTTATTTTGACATAAAGAATATTCATATTCAAATATCAATCTAGCAATTATAGTACAAATGATATCTACAAAATTTATCATTAATTCAATTAGTTAATGATTTTTATTTGGTCAAACCGTTAGTTAATGATTATTCTAAACTTCTTTTTTCTTATTAATTTCACACAATCTTAACAAAATAAACCTTCATCCATTGGCAATTGAGAATTTTTGAGAAATACCCTTTTTGGTGTACCCCTTTTTAAAAATACCTTCTTAATTTATCTATTTTCAAAAATAACTCTTTTTAAATATAAAGAATTATAAAGTTTTATATAGTTTATAAGGTACTTCTATATAATAACTACTACTGTGAGATTCGATACAAATATTTTAAAATGTTTTAAATAGTTTAAAATTGTTTTTATAAGTTTTATAAGGTTTTTAAAAGGTTTTTAAAAGGGTTTATACAGTTTTTATAAGGTTTTTATAAGGTTTTATAATTTATTTTTACGCTATTTATGAAAGGTATATAAAGTTTTATACACATATAAAGGTAAGTTGTGTATATATTTATAAGCTTACACACATATTTGGATAAATTTCAACATTTTTAATGGGTTTTTTGATAAAGTTTGAAAATGGGATATTTTTAAAAAGAGGTATATGAAAAGGGGTATTTTTGAAATTCCCCCTTGGCAATTTGCATATCATTACTATTATCAAATATTAAATAATTGTTCTATCAAATCATAAACTACATTTTGATATTATAAACATATAGAATTTCTATTAAGATTAAAACTAAATAACAAGTGGATATATCACATTTAAATGATTTTAACGACTTATTACCAATTTTTAAATAATAAATGGATTATATTTTTAATGATTTAATCTAATTGAAAACAAATAAAATGTTAAATTGGTATGATATAAATGATATAATAAATAAACATCTACAAACATTATCTCACATATACGTAAAATTTTAAATTATCCTTGACAAATATGATATATAAGTTTTGGATACCCGATTGAAATAAAAAAAAATTGCTAGTTATATTTAATTCTTAAAATCTCAAAATATTGAACAAAATTCAACTTTGGGACGTATAAATCTCTACTTTTGGACGATTATATGAAATTTTACATATATTAAAATTATATTTAGTTACATGTAAATGGTGTTATTTATTTTAAAAAAATATAAATTTATAGGAATGGATACGATACGGAAACATATAATTCGAAACAAAAATTATCTGAATTATTTCACATAAAAAAAAACATGATTAGATATAATTGTTATGAGACACGGTCATAAAGTTAAATTCACTTTCAACTTTCAAATATAAAACTACGAGTACGATACGAGGACATGTAATTTAAGTTGCTAAATTTTATTTCCACTTTCCTATTTATTTCAAATATTTAGACATGAAATGACAGGTACAAGAAGATAACGTATACTTCGGATAACAAAACTACGATAAATTCATGTATTAAAAAAATAGAAATACCTAAATATTTAGAAAACAAAAAGGCTAAAACGTGAATCTAAATCTTTAGAAAACAAACGGGACGGGACGGGTCAGGACGAGACGGAAAGGAACAGGACGGGTTTCCATTCTAAACTACACATAAAACAATTCAAAATAAAGCCAAACCCAAATCCGATTGAACATCTCTAAGCAAACAGTTAGAAATGTTTTGATTAGTTTAAAAAATAAACACGTAATATCACTTATCATTTTCTTTTAAATAATGTTAAAATTTTAATTTTAAAATTTTATCATGTAATACAATATCTATATTTTACAACTGTATGTCTATATATAGTTTATCAAATAAACTCATATCACAAAATTTTACGGAAATAACATCTATTTAAAAAATCGTAATTTTGTAAAAATAACTCCGCACGTACGTGCGGGTCCATCACTAGTTTATTATTTAAATAGATAGTACAATATATTAATAAAAAGGTGATATTTGTAGAAACTATAGTCGCTTGGTTGTCTCAATCGCTTGCAGATGTGTGTATGTAGAATTGTATAATGAGTCCTATGTTTTATATGAAATATTCTCATTAGTGAAAAAAAAATTGTATAATGACTAATTAGTCCTTTTGTTTGTAAAGAATAAGGAAATCTAAAATATAGACTAGTATATTTTAAGGGAAAGAGGAGAAACCAATTTTAGGGAGAAGAGATGTCAATCATTGATTCAGAATCCTTTCGTTGATGTGCGTGCCACCGCTTAATCACCGAACACGTTCGAAAAAGGGTGTGATTGCAACACCACGTGGCCTTCAAACTCAAAATATTGCGAAGTTTCGAGTGTCGTCGAGAGAGACATCCAAAACACAAATGATTTCCAATAGCGTTTACGTTAGCGATGTAGTCAATTATAATATATATCTTGCAAATCCCAACGTAAGTTTTAGTATTAGCAACATTATCCATAGGCTCTTTTGATAGGATAGGAAGCAGCTTCTGAAAGCTTCGAAGTACTATTAATTCGCAGCAATGTCTCGTTCCTTAAATAAACGAACGATCAAACAATGAAAATAACTGGGAAATAAAGTAGAGGAAAGATACGATGTCGTTTTGAGGACTTTTAATATCTTTTCCGCCTTTGCGAGAAGAGAGAGCCGCACATGCGTGGAGAGCTTTTTCAAATATTTGAATTTGAAATAATAATAAAAGCAGAACCGATCAATTTGTACAAACACGAAGAAGAGGAAGAGAGAGGAGGAAACAAAAGTTCGAGATCCAATCTTTTGTTTCACGGCGGAGATGAAGTCGTCTCCGGACCTATTGATGTCTTTGTCGCAGATCAAAGAAGCAGGCCCAGCGAAATCCGACGAACAGGTCCGTCGAAGAGTCTCCGGGAAGTCTTCTTCTGTTGACGGTTCTCCTCGATTTTGCCGGCAGCAGTCGTTGGGTCGCGATATCGGCCATGCAGCTGCCGAAACGTATTTGATTACTCAACTTAGCTTCAACCTCCTTGGATATCTCGGGTACTCATTTCGCAAATTGAGTTTTTATGGAAAATTTATTTATCTTTTTTTTTTTTATTTAATGAGAGAAAAGATATGTTTATTAATTTGTTTGAAGTTTCTGTTCAGGGTAGGTTACCGGTGGATTACAAGATTGCTTGCTCTTGCTTGTTATGCAATGCTCCTTATGCCTGGATTCCTTCAAGGTTCTCTATCTCCTTCCTCTCTCTTTTGCTCCCTCATTTACATTATCCACTTGTGTTTTTATGAATTGTGTATACTTAAAAGCTTTTTAATCTTGTGCAGTTGCATATCTTTATTTTTTCTCATCCCAAGTCAGGAGGAGTATAGTTTATGGAGATCAACCAAGGAATAGGTAGGTTTTTCTCTTAATCTTGCCTTCTCCATTCTTGTGTAAATATCTATAAATATGTCTGCGCATTGTTTTATTTGGCAGACTTGATTTGTACTTACCACCAACTAATGATGGCCTGAAGCCGGTTGTAGTTTTCGTCACTGGTGGGGCTTGGATTATCGGGTATGCACTGAATATATGGAGTTGCCATACTCTTCTCCTACATATTCGCTTTCAAAAACAAAAAAACAAATCTGTCTCATAGTTTTATCCTTGCCTCTTTCTTTAGGTACAAAGCCTGGGGTTCTCTCTTGGGTCTGCAGCTAGCAGAAAGGGATATAATCGTGGCATGTCTAGATTACAGGTAAACTAATCTAATCATCTCCTTACCACTCATAGAACACAAGAATGTAATCAAATTTGTCTCAGTTTAGAGCTTTTTAGTATTAATACAACTTTATTGACAATATATAATCCATGCATTTTCCCCTGTCGTTGGATCAGAAACTTCCCTCAGGGAACCATTAGTGATATGGTCAGTGATGCAGCTCAAGGAATCTCATTTGTCTGCAATAATATTTCTGCATTTGGAGGTGATCCTAACAGGTTAGCTCTCATCAGTTTGGTCTTTTTTTGTTGTTCAAAATCTTTCACGGGATTTTGTGATTCAACCGTGTCTGCTTTTGTCTGTGTAGAATTTATTTGATGGGGCAGTCAGCTGGTGCACATATCTCGTCGTGTGCTCTCTTCGAACAAGCTATTAAAGAATCAAGAGGGGACAGCATCTCATGGAGTGTTTCTCAGATTAAAGCTTACTTTGGTTTATCTGGAGGGTAATTTCTAGATTTGGCGTTACTATGAATCTTAGAAACATTTCCATATTGGCTTTTCTCTTGGATTCACTAATCATTTGCAAAACTGACCAGGTACAATCTCTTCAATTTGGTTGAACACTTCCATAATCGAGGACTGTATCGTTCAATTTTCCTAAGGTACACTATATGTCTTTTCAACTTGGAACATTCAAAAGCCAATTAGCTCTAACACCAAAATTATTTATGGTTCTCTCTTTTCGTAAACTTGCAGCATAATGGAAGGAGAAGAGTCCTTTGAACAATTCTCTCCCGAAGTAAGATTGAAAGATCCGAGTGTAAGAAAAGCCGCTTCTCTCTTGCCTCATAATATACTCTTTCATGGATCCGCAGATTATTCCATTCCACCTGAAGCAAGGTTAGATTACCCCTCTTACATATACATCGAATCCGAAAAACATTCCACTTGGTTTAACCATCTTCATAATCTAGACGTTATTTTTTTTTCTTTTGAAGCAAAACTTTTACAGACGCTCTTCGAGATGTTGAAGTGAAAGCCGAGTTAATTATGTACAAGGGTAAAACTCATACCGATCTATTTCTTCAGGTAAGCAATATACTACACAGCTTCATGTTGTGTGAAACAAATATTATATAACTAAGTAATGATGGGGTTATCACAATTTGCATTGCAAGGATCCGCTGAGAGGTGGTAAAGACGAGCTATTTGATCATATAGTCTCTATGATACATGCCGAGGATAGTGACGCACTGAACAATGATGCGGTTGCGCCACCGAGAAAACGGCTTGTTCCAGAGTTCTTGCTGAAACTGGCTGGCAAGGTCAGCCCCTTTTGAACAGGAAAGCCAAAACTTCTGTATGGTTCTTGTAGCTCTTTATTTGTTTTTGTTCTGTTTTTTCTTCTTCTTCGATATGTATCAACTCTCATATGTTGATATGATTGATATATATGTATAGTCTCTTCTCACCAGTAAATGCATAGAGCTTAAGCAAGCCTCACGAGTTGTCCCACAAAAAATAGTGAGTTTTATCGATCCAATCCACTGATCCACAAACGTCAACCTGAAGCTACCTCTCAGATGATCAGAGTATCATATTCTGCTTTTCTGGCTTGCAAATCAAAGGTAATGGCAATTACAGCCGCATAATAATGGAGAAGTGGTTCCTAGAAGTCAACACAAAAACCATGATCTACATTGCAAGAAGCGAGTAATAGATACAGATGCTTTTCAAGGAAGCTTTTGTCATTCAATTTTTTTAACAAGATTCCTACCATACCTGAAGAAATCACATTAAGCCAGTAGCAACTTAACAATGAGATCAAAGTATTTTCAGGTATAAGTTAGAACATATCATGAAGCTAGCTAAATGGGGATGTTGGAAGGAGGGATCAGATCAACTTACACGCCCTTTTCCTTTTGCTCTGCAATATGCTTGTAAACTCTTAGAGTCTTACTTCTCATGGGCTCAATCATCTTCTCTGTCTCTTCAATTGTCTGTTTTCGCAGTTGAGCCTCCATGGAATCAAACCAGTTTCTTAGTGTCATTTTTCTTATATCTACTTCTACCCTCTCTACATTCCAATTGCTCGATCCCTGCTCAACCTTTTCCTCTTCACAATCATCAACTAATGTCGCCATTCCAGCTTCCTCATGACATTCTTTTTCAATTTGTTGTAAGCTTCCTGTGTCTGCATCTTCTCTAACAGTACAGTTCAGGTCATCTTCTCCTATGGTGCTCTGCTTCGTTAACTCAATCTCAATCTCCACCTGCTCTACCCTCTTAGATCCATCACCTTCCCTCTCATCTTCTTTATCACATTTATCATCACTTCTTTCACTGTAACCTTCCTGAGCTTCATTTCCATTTTCTTCTTCAATATCTTGCAAGCTCTCAGTCTCTCCATCTTCTATAACAGTACAGCTCAGGTCATCTTCTGCTATGGTGCTCTTCTTCCTTAACTCAATCTCCACCTGCTCTACACTCTTAGAACCATCACCTTCCCTCCCATCTTCTTTATCACATTTTTCATCACTGCTTGCACTGCAACCTTCCTGAGCTTTATTTCCATTATCTTCTTCAATATCTTGCAAGTTCTCAGTCTCTCCATGTTCTCTAACAGTACAATTCAGGTCATCTTCTCCTATTGTGTTCTTCTTCCTCAAATCAGTCTCCACCCTCTTAGATCCATCCCCTTCCCTCTCCTCTTCTCTATCACATTTGTCATCACTTCTCTCATTGCGAACTCCCTGAGCTTCATTTTCCTTATCTTCTTCAACATGACAGTTCTTCAAGACCTCTTCTCCGGTATCATCATTTCTAGTTTCCATCTCCACGACGCTCTTGGACGGCTCCTGCTCCATTTTCCTCCTCTTTGCACGGCTCTTCCGGGCTAGGCTCAGGACCATCTCCAACTCCAGAAAGGAATCTCCACCAATTTCATTCTTGGTGCTTCTGGTAGCCCTTGTAGCTCTCTTCGCATCTTTAACTTCTAAAACAGTATCCTCAGTCTTTACATTCCCCAATCCCAAACATGCATTTTCAATCTGCTTGCTCCTTGTCGCTCTCTTCCTGCTTTTTACCTCTGAGATTTCTACTCTTTTTGGGGTATCCTCAACTTCCAATTTGATCGAATCCAAACCCAAATTCTGGACACTTTCACTGTTCTTACCTCTCTGAACCCTAGAGTTTCCTCTTTCATCCTCCGGAAGTTCATCTTCCTTCGTAATTGCACTATTTGCGTTCTTCTGGGGCCTCCCAACCCTAGAATTGACCTTTTTCTCAACTTTTACCTCCACTTCCTCTTCTTTGTCGACGATTTCTTCCAGAGTTTTCTTCTTCGATGCCCTAGTTCTCTTGGGTAGTTCACTTTCCTCTTGCTTCGACGATCTACGCGTGCGCTTTGGCTTCTCCTGAACCGACTCAATAGGATCCGGATCCGGATCCGAAACAGCGAGACGCTTGTTATTCCTCCTTGGCCTAGGCGGAAGCTTATGTTCCTGCGGCGCCTGAACGTCACTCACAAAGTTCACCACAATGGAAGTGTACTCACCAAGCTTGATTTCGTCTCCATGGCTAAGATTGATAGGATTATCTGGGTCGATAGTTTCGGAGTTTAATATGGTGCCGTTGGAAGACCCTAGATCGTGGATTATCCAGTTCTCCGAATCGGAGACGAGCCGGAGGTGCTTGGTAGAGATTCCGGCGTCTTTGATGGCGATTTCATTACCACGAACGATTCGACCAATCCGAATAGTGGATCCGGGTTTGAACCCTAGAGAATCGCCAGCTCTTGGACCCTGGGTGAACTCGAGCTTCAGCAATGGCGGAACCATCGTTTACGATGCGTCTCGAAGAAGCTTTTTCTGGTATTATGATTCAAATTGGGAATTTGAAATTTCGGATTATGTCAACTCAAAATCGAACGGAACGTTGGTGTAACATTAGAGACCCTCTCAAGCCCAATGGGCTTTTCTGTATATGATGAATATACGTACCAGATCACCCGTTACCAGTAAAGGCCGTTTTGCAACAGCCCATCCAAGTTTTGTTATTATTATTTTTTTTTTTTGTGTTTTTTTAATCTCACGTGTGATAGTATAAAATTATATTTTATTAGAGTTTTTTTTGGGTAAAATGATAATTTATGGATGATTTGATTTATTATAAAATTCAAACAAGAAACGAGTTAAGAGTTGATTTTTTGGATACATATCGATACAGTTGAAGTCAACAAACAGACAAAAAGGAAGTGACTAGGCAGGCCCTTGATAACTTGTGGCTCATAAGCATCCTAATCTCTTCACCAGAGGCTTACTTGTCACATTCTCATTGGTCGCTGCAGATTCACCACTTTGCCATGTCAGCTTTTTTCTTCTATATCCACTTCTATGTGTATGAAAGTTTTGGTCTAATCTTTGATCAACACCTGATTTACCTATACCATAGATATGTTCAGTTTGATTAGAAAGTTTACATCTTTTGCTTTTAGATTTGAAAAAGATAAATAAAAAGAAGAAGTAAAAGTTAGCAGCAGATTGAAAATCTTATCCATGTCAGCGCTCACGGGTCCTACAGAGAAAGCTACAAGAGGAAGAGATGTTTACACTTACTTGGCGTAGATTTGTTCTCCTTTGTGAAAGATGTAAGAAAAGACTTTTCGATGATTAATGAATCCTTTGTTCAAAACTCAGGCAGCCACAAGATGTTCCAACCACTTTTTACAACCGCTAACTCTGCGCCACGTGTCCATCTCCAAAGATGCTATCTTTACCCTCTCATCAGTCTCACCCTCCACCCCAAGATGATTGATATAGTAGTCTCATTAGCCTTCCCTCCTTTCTAAAATTACAATCACAATCTCTCTCTCCTTTTTGCCACTTACCAAAAACTTACTATAATGTTGAAAGAAGAGAGCAACGAGAGTGGCACTTGGGCACGAGCATGTGACACTTGTCGTTCAGCCGCCTGCACTGTCTACTGTGAAGCTGACTCTGCCTACTTGTGCAACACCTGTGATGCTCGTGTTCACGTTGCCAATCGTCTTGCTTCCCGCCATGAACGTGTTCGTGTCTGCCAGTCATGCGAGTCTGCCCCTGCTGCCTTTTTCTGCAAAGCCGACGCTGCCTCTCTCTGCACAGCCTGTGATGCTGAGATCCATTCCGCTAACCCTTTAGCTAGACGCCATCAACGAGTTCCCATCCTTCCCTTATCTGCAAACTCTTGCGATTCCATGGCCCCAAGCGAGGCTGATGATGCAGATAACGATGAGGATGATCGAGAGGTGGCTTCCTGGTTACTGCCTAATCCAGGGAAAACCAGCGGTAACCAGAACAATGGCTTCTTGTTTGGTGTTGAGTACCTTGACCTTGTGGATTACAGCTCCAGCTTGGACAACCAATTCGATGATCATCAGTACAGCCAATACCAGCAGAGCTTTGGAGGAGATGGAGTTGTGCCACTTCAAGTTGAAGAATCTACAAATCACCTGAAACAAAGCCAACACAACTTTCAGTTGGGCATCAACTATTCAGGAGCTCACTACAACTCCTCCATAAAGGACCTAAACTATAGCGTAAGATTTTTACATGCATGCCATCTCTTTAGTACACAATAAACAGTATGTTATGTATGTTGTTGTTTCATCACAAATATGTTTCCCTATTACCTCGGAGGATTGAGAATGTCTTTGTTTCTGTCATTAGGCATCCGTTTCATCAATGGACATCAGTGTTGTGCCAGAGTCAACAGCAAGTGACATAACAGTCCACCACCCAAGAACAACTAGAGAGACTATAGACCAACTATCTGGTCCTCCTACTCCGATGGTGCAACAGCTTACTCCAATGGAAAGGGAGGCTAGGGTCCTGAGATACAGAGAGAAGAAGAAGACAAGGAAATTTGACAAGACAATAAGGTATGCTTCAAGAAAGGCATATGCAGAGATACGACCAAGAATCAAGGGCAGATTCGCAAAAAGGATAGAAATTGAAGCTGAGGCTGAAGAAATCTTCTCAGCATCGCTAATGTCTGAGACTGGATATGGAATTGTTCCTTCCTTCTGAACTACTATGGTGAAGATGGACTAGACTGCATGCTGTAAATTACTTCTATTTTGGATGCCTACAAGTTATTACCACAGTTACGCATATGAATCCTAGTTTTGTTAATTTTGTCTAAACTATTATGAGTTAATTAGATATGTTCCTATTAGCTGCACTAGTTTAAGGAAAGCAACATTTCTCTACATAGTTTAAAAATGAAACTGGTGAAATCTTATTATCTTGAACAGTGCCTATCACTCTAATTGAATTGGTGCCACATGAAAGAGATATGCATCACTATGAGTAGCTGTAAGTAGAAAACTAAAAGCAGATTTCACAGGTTGTCACTTCACAAGAAAGACGACACCTAAGTTCAAAGTAAATACCTTTGATTATTTTCTGGCAGTAGAATCTTCAGTTTCTTGACACGTTCCAGATCACTGAACATGTAAATTGCAGGAAAATTCAACTTATGCCAACTCATTCCCTGAGCAAGGATTAGTCAGAATAACATGATTTGTAAATTAAACTGATAACATGGACCAACATTGTCCACACAAATTTAAGAAACTCCAAAATTTAGCATGCAAATCAGCATCAATTGGTCATTTTCGGCTAATGGGAATACATTTACTTAACGTATTCAGCCAGCTACTAGAACAGGATGTTGATGCCTATGCCAAATAAAAGAAAACGAAGATAATTCTCTCCCTCTCTTTACCTTTTGGAATAAAGGACTATACTTTCTCACTTTTCATGGTAAGTGCTGAAAAGAAAGGATTATAACCACATTTTAACCAAGCATTACTGGTTTCACATCTAGGAATGTTCAAAGAGATCATAGCGAAGAAACTCAAAGTAGTATGGTTGCTAAAATCATGATGTAGACTGCACAAAGTAAGTTATAGAGAGTCAATTACGAAAACATGTGCCTTTGTCTTTCAATTATTTTTGGAGCCAGCTTACAGTTCATACTTCCTAGTATGCCTCTAGAACAAGATAAAGTTGTACATATTACCTCATCAATGAGTCGTCCAAGTTACTCCCAACACGAGCATTCTGTTTTCTTGTCACATTTACGGTAAGACAAGGATGTCTATGGAATTGAAGGAAAAGAAACTGGCACGGCCCTGAGCGGTAAGACAGAACATCAATGGTGAAGCTACCGCACAATTGGAGGACTTTATCCTAGTCTCTGTACAAAAGAAAGAGTACATTGACTTAAATCATACTCTACAATTTACAAACAAAAAAGATCATTATAATGACGAAGTCCCCAGCAAATAACTAATGATCATACTCGAGAATTTGGGCACTGGACTGAACCACCAAATTGATATCCTTCGTCATTACTAAGTGTAGTAAACCAGATTCCTTTTCGGTCAACTGAGAACAGTTCCCAGTCTTTTCTCCTTCATAGCTGAGAGTAAAAACCTCAGTTTCAAGAGAGAACGAAGTCGCTGAGGCAATTCGTCGAATACTTGGCGTAAAGGTAAATCTCTTTCTTACAATTCTTCAAATTTCGCAAGTCGTACGAGAGTTAAAAAAGAGCAATCGGCGGCGACGTTCGATCATCGCAAGCTTGATTTCCCCTTCTTTTTTTTGGCTGGGGACTCCTAAATCGCAATGACGAATGATGACGTGTACTTGTCGGAACGAATTATATGGGCCGAAAAACTCACCGGATAAGCCCATCTAGCTAATAAATGACCCAATTAAAAGTAGTGAACGAAACCCAACGGAAAAAATTATAACCATAGATTTTCAGTTTGAAATTAATAAAGAGAAAGAAACACAAGGATGAGAAAAACTCAGTTTCTACAATCATAATTAAGCCAAGGGGGGTATTTCACACATTGACGAAACAAACATTCTGTGTGAAAGTTATTATTCAAGGAGAAGAAGAACATGAGAGGAGAGAGATCTTCAGATCTTGGATTGTCTTGCAATCTTGAACCACTCGGTGTGGAATGATCCTTCCACATCAGTCCTCTCATATGTATGAGCACCAAAGTAATCCCTCTGTGCCTGGACAAGATTTGCTGGCAATCTCTCTCTCCTGTAAGAATCAAAGTAGGCGAGACTCGCAGACATTCCCGGCGTGCTAATACCCGAGTTGATAGCTAAGCAAACGACTCTTCTCCAAGCAGACTGTCTCTCGATGATCTCTTTCGCAAACTCAGGATCCACCAATAGGTTAGCCAGGTCTGCGTTCCTGTCATAAGCTTGCTTGATCCTGTCTAAGAAGATAGCTCTGATGATGCAGCCTCCTTTCCAGATTCTAGCTAACTCACCTAGCTTCAACCCCCACCCTTTTTCCATGCTCTTGGCACGGATCAGGTTCATGCCTTGTGCGTAACTGCAGATTTTGGATGCGTAAAGAGCCTTCCTCACGTCATCGATGAGCTGTTTCTTGTCAACAGTTTGATCGGTCAAGATATCACCAAACCCACCTGCCTTGAAGACTTTAGCTGCTTGCACACGTTCATCCTTTAGCCCGCTGAGGAACCTCGCATCAAGAGAGGATTCAATGGTGGGAGCAGGGACAGATAGCTCAGCAGCTTGCTGCACAGTCCATTTTCCGGTACCTTTCATGCCGGTTTTGTCCAAAACCTTGTCAACCAAATGCCCATCTCCCTTATCGTCCTTGATCCCGAAAATGTCTGCTGTGATCTCTACCAAGAAACTCTCAAGCTCACCTTTGTTCCAGTCAGTGAAGACACTGTGAAGCTCTTCGTTCGATAATTTACCAACAGATTTCAGGACGTCATAAGCTTCTGCGATCAGCTGCATATCACCGTACTCTATCCCATTGTGGACCATTTTGACAAAGTTTCCAGACCCGCCCTTACCAATGTAAGTCACGCAGGGACCGCTGTCCCTAACCTGAGCTGCAACCTTGAGAACAATGTCTTCGATATTCTTGTAGGCTTCATAAGAGCCTCCAGGCATCATAGATGGGCCGTTACGAGCACCTTCTTCACCACCAGAAACTCCCATTCCAAGGTAGAGGAAACCGTTCTCGGCCACGGCTTTTTCTCTCCTCTCAGTGTTCTCATACCATTCATTACCACCATCCACAATGCAATCACCCTTCTCCAAATAAGCAGAGAGGGTCTTGATGGTCTGGTCGACAGGAGCACCAGCCTTAACAAGCATGATGATAACACGTGGCTTCTGAATGGATTTGACAAAAGACTCTGGGTCGTGGAAGCCATAAAGCGGAAGGTTGCCTTCCTTTTTGGCACGTTCGACGGTCTCATCAACTTTGGAAGTAGTTCTGTTGTAAACAGAGATTGGGAAGCCTTTCTCAGCAATGTTGAGAGCTAAGTTCTGACCCATCACAGCCAGTCCAGCAAGACCTATTCTTGTAGGTTGACCAGCCATTTTTTTTTTTTTTAGTTTTCTTCCCTCTGCCAAAAAAAAAAAAACTTCTCTTACAAATCTCAAATCAAAGAGAAGCTAAACACTTTAGACCAAAGAGGTGATGTATATAAAACAGACAACAGCTTCATTGCTTGATCGATCTATAATATAAACCCAAAGATTTAAAGCAGGAATATAAGATCTCCAAGATCTTAGAACACAGGAATCAATAAACCAGCATGAAAAATCTCATTTTTGTAACGAAAATAGCATACACTGAGAATCGATTAGCTTTAGACCCAAAATAGCGATCTAAAGAACATGATAACAATGAGAATTTGCAATGAAAGTACTAGATCACGACACACAAATTTCTGGATCACTTTTTCCCGAAATTTCGGTAACACATCAATTATATCGAAAAGCGATTGGAAGAATCAGATTGCAAATCAAAAATATGATTGGGAAAACGAGAGACAGAGTGTGATCGGAGAAACAAACCTGCTTTGCTTTCTCCTGAGATGGAGTTTTGAGATTTGTCCAATACAAATTATAATATGAGGAAAAGATCTTAAGATTGGAGGAGATTATTAGTGATGTTTTTTGTTATGTCTCAGATATATAGCAAATGAACGATCTGATTCGCACCACCACTAATAATTATAATTTTTTTTATTCCCTTTCTTGTTTTAAAGTATTGTCAAAATTGGCCACTCTGCGTTAGGTGAGAAAAGGGTTGGGTTGGTGGTGGTAGTCGTTCGTATTCTATTGGATCTTCACATGTACATAAAGTTTATGAAATGGTGTTTTATAGAGTTCTACATACGCTTTTAGTTCATATTCATATACAGTATTGTACTTTGTTCATAAATTCAATTCTTTTTTTTTTTTTGTGTGCCAAGTATTGCACATGACATTCTAAACCGTGTTTTGGCATAAGTTGAAACACTGTTTCTTAACACTGTTTCTTTCAGAAGAATATTTCACTCCAACAAAATCCTAATTCATCACCAACAACCGCCAAGTTTGAGCCTAATACACTTGTACGTTCAGACTCATATCTGTATATTATTATGAGAGCATTCTAGAAAGGGAAGAATAATCCTTTAGGACACATTTGAGTTTCTTGATGATTGTTTCTTAGGCCGACAAGTATGAAAGAAAGACAACAAAGACAGACATTGTAGTTTGGAGAACATATTGCTGTGATGAGTTTACATAATTTATAAATAAAGACCAAAACTATGACAGAAATAACAAGCAAAATACTTTGTAACCCCTATATAAAGATAAACGTATCAGTTAAAGAATTGCCCAGGAAGACAGAAACAAATCGATCCAAGGTTACCTCTTCTCCGATTTTTTGCCTCTTTCGGGTTTGGTTTTTTTTTTTTTTATCATCCCTCTCTTTAGAGACCAAAATTGCACATCTGCACAAACTCCATTTCGTTATCGACATATTTCGTCCAGAGAGACTTGTATTGGTTCATTGCAATGTCAAGCCATGGTTTCATGTTTCCATTGTAATGGATCACTGCTGCATTTCTGATCTCGTCCATGCTCACTCCCGGGTTGTATCCTAACCCAAGCACATGCCAAGATTTGTCCAGTGATTTCGTCTTTGAATAGAATGTGATCAATCCCGGGGGGAGAGTGCCCAATTTCCAAAGAGTTCTGTCTTCATTCTGCTCAGCAAAAACAGAATCAACAGAATGTAAGCACATCAACAGCATTGATATGTCTAAGTTACTAAGAAAGAGTTATACATTATACCACTAAGCATGATGGACTTACCAAGTTCTGCCAGTAATGGTATTGATCAGTGCATTTCTCGCGCCTCCAGGCATTGAGATCAAATATATTCATTCCAAAGGCCCAAGCACAAGCACTGGGGCTAAAGCTCTCTTTGATCAAAGGATGAGTGAAGTTTAAGTATTGACCATATCGATGGAAAGAGCCAAAGCATGTCTCAACAGCTCCATTCACCTTGCCATCCAAGTTGATTTTCCATAAACCAGTCACGTCTTTCTGCACCACAACATCATCGTCCAAGAACAAAATCTTATTCAGCTTGGGATACATCTCTGGTAAGTAAAATCTGAGATGGTTCAACATTGAGAGATATTTCGGGTTCTTGAACTTGAGGTTATGGGAATCTTTAGTTGCGTTCTCAGCTTGATTCTCGAAGTAAAACTTCTGCAACTTTGCAGACTCGAGCTGCCTCAAGACCGGTGCATATGAAGAGTTCAAGAACTTGAAATCCTCCACGGATTTGATCTCAATATGGGCACCACGGTCCAAAGGGCGCATCTTAAACCAGACCTTCATGGCTGCAAGATTCATTCGGTCGGTGACCACATGGAAGACATGCTTCCATGGCTCCTCGGCATTCATCACAACCGATCTCACGACAACTGAGACAGCAATCACATTGTCAGAGAAAACGGCATAGTGGTAAAGAGTTGGATCCTCTGCAGCTGGGTCAGGTGAAGCATCCTTGTACTTCTCAGGATTTGAGATCCTCTCACCTACAAGCCTCATGGCCAAACAATGAAGACTTTTAGGGACCGACTTGGCTGAAATCAAGCTTGCAACAGCACCGTTTTTCTTAGCTTTGGTCAACTGTTCTTGGACAGCAAAGATTGTATCTTTCAACTTCTGGATTTTAAGCTGAGTATCATAACTCTCTTTAGACTCAACGATCATCATCCTGGCTGTCTTCACCTTATCTTTAACTTCTTTCTCAAGCTGCCTAAACGTATCCTCCTCAAGAGCATTGCCGGTGTCAGACACAGCAGATTTCAAACCAGGTTTTGATTGTAAATCCGAGAAGTTGATAGCCAAATCTTCAAACAGCTTAAGCTGCTTGGAAGCATCAAGCTTAAGCTTCCTGGCGTAAGCAGCATATGCATTCACAAGTGTGAGATGATCAGTGGCTTGCTTGTGTATCAGATCCAACCTTGTTTTCAATGGATCCGATTGTAAAGCCAAAAACGTCCTCTGCATATATGCGTTTCCCATACTCGGCAATGTCTAAACCACACCACAAACAAAAATATCGAAGCTCAGATATAATATTCAAAGAAATTATCACCGATTCATTCATTTCTAATTTTGTTTGATTGAATTGCAAATCGATAAAAGCATAACCCAAGAGAATTAAAGGAGCTCAGAGATTGGAGATGCGTACATGATCTTGATGAGGTTGATGACGAGAAGAGTTAAGAACGACGGAGAAAGTGGCGAGGAAGAGGAAAGAGAACAAAGCGGAGATAAAGATCCGGTAAGAGAAGAAACTACGAAGTCCGGCAGACTGGCCGGATCCGACACCGCCTCGGCCTCCACGGAAGGCCACCGCCATTTCTACCGATACACTTCAACTTTACAGGTCGAGATCGGGAATTTTTCGATTCGATTCGTCGGTGAGGTACTTGCTTGTCCCAGAGAGACAGATGACTGAGTTAACCTCTGGAGTGTGACGGATAGATCTCAAACATTTAGTGAAGAAAACACGTTAATAAATTTAATCATATAAAAATAATTACAAAATATTTATTAGTGCACTGCTAACTAACTTACAAAATATTATGTAATGGAGATTGGAGAGGATGGTGACGACTGACGAGTCAGGGAGACCAAAGGCTTTCCGCGTCGGTGCGATCAATTGCCAAATCTAAAACTTTTTTTCATTTTTTTTTTTTCACATTCACACCTTTTGTTTCGTTTATTTTTATGTCTCACCCCCGTTAATTTATTCTCTCTTTTGCTTCTCATATGGGCTTTAAAATATAACAGGCTGATATTTGGGCCATCTGGGGCCATATTTCAATTAAACGACTAAACGGCACGTAGTTCTCAATTAAAACATCACGATATTCGGTATTTTCCCCGAGAAAGACGACAACTTGTAACAAGAGTATTGGAACCTTGGTTTGCAAAGCTCGTAGATGGTGTTTCAACATTTCCCGGGATGACAGGCGACCATAGACAGTCTTTGATTTCTTCTTTAAAACTCAGCGAACTTGATCGGGTAAAACAAAAAAAGATACAATCATATCAGACATATATAGCATAACATACCAGTCCTGTGATAAGACTTTATATTACTTTTACAAACCTTATAGAATCTGTAAGATACTATATGGAGTCCTGCAACAATACAAACATAAGTTTCACTGAGAAAACAAGTAGCATCGCAGAGGTCTATAATCAAATCCATTACATACGGGTAACCTATAGTACTGATCTATCCAGATCATCCAAAAACTTGCATAAGAATCGTCAATGGGTAACAACTATGAAGAATATTAACTTCACAAACACTTGCAAGATTTATGGGTTCCAAGTTTAAACATGGTTTATTTCACAAAACAGGAATATTTACATTTACAACATGAACATTATCACATCCACGGCAAGTGCAGCTTACTATAAAAGATAGTGGTTTCAGGATTTGCCTCTGAAACGTGGCTATTAACATGGACAACAGAGACTTCAAATTCATTTAACTATATCTATAGATACCCGGTAGATTCCTTGCCAAACTGGTATCACTTCTTTGTGAGCTCTTATGCGTTTCATACTCAAGATCATCAGTAGGCAGCTCATACCGACAAACAGGGCAAGTATTCCTTATCCCCAACCAAGGCATAATACACTCTCCATGATAGAAATGCTTACAAGGAAGCCTCCTTACTTTCTCCTCCACTACCATTTCATCTTTACATATCGCACAAACCACGTTCCCTTTGTTCAATTCCTCCACTGTGAGTTCCACAACTGGAAGATCCTCAGTTACACTTTTGGCTGCTGGAGGATTTCCTTTGATTCCAGTCTCGTTATCAAACATTTGCCCAAGAATAGCATCAGCATCATAGTGTCCACTTTGATTTTCATCAAATTCATCCAAACTAGCTAGATAAAGGTAATAATTCGGATCGATATCATCAGTGTTTATCATGATTCCTTCTGCTTGTTCGATATAATTAACAACATTGTTAACAGTTAACAAAACCTCCCAATCCAGTTCATGCTCTTCTTCATCATCCCTTGAGAGTGAAGACAATTCATCTTCACCTTCTTCTTCTTCTTCTTCAGGTCTACCAAAAGCCCTAACCGTCCAATTAATTGCGTTCTGCACCTCCTCCCATTCTTCATCAGCCAACATGGTTTCCTCTCCGAAGACGCTATCCCATATAGGAGGGAGACCCGTACCAACCTCGACCCGATCCGAATCATTTGCTCTATTCCCGCTATCTTCAGAGGTATAACCAAACACGTCATCTTCAAAGTCGGAATCCGAATCGATCCCGGTCACTCGAAGCCCTTGCTCACCTGAATCACCCGGTTGCTGATCCGACCCGGATCCAGATACACATCTAGTTCCCAAAACTATCTCATCTTCGTCTTCCTTGGGGTCATAAAAGCCCCAAATATTGAAATCACCGGGGGACAGCCCTTCCGATTCCAAGTACTCAGCCGCGTCAACCTCGGACGAATCTTGATCGAAGAAATCGATGGGACATATGTACGGATCGGGTTCTGAATCCGAGTAAGAACCTGATCCAGAATCTGAAATTGGTCCTGAGAAAGGGAAATAAGGATTGCAATCGATGTCCCTGTTGTCGAACGGAGAGTAGGAAACGAGCAAGCTAGTGGCCTCCGGTATAAAAATCGGGTGGTCTACGACTACACCGTCGCCTTCCGCCTGTTCTTCAAGGTTGATTGCGTGACCGGGCTTCGTCGACGCCATTGTTTTGTTTCAGAGAAAAATGTAAAAGAAAAAAAAAAAGGAAAAAGGAAATTTCAGAGGGAAAATCGTATGCATTCGTACACAAAGGATATAATATTATGATGATGTGTATATGTCAGATAAGACGAAGTGTTGACGTAATAAAAAGGTTAACGCCGCTGCCGGGGATCGAACCCGGGTCACCCGCGTGACAGGCGGGAATACTTACCACTATACTACAACGACTTTGTTGACTTTACGACGACTCTTAGCGTACATTCAGCCGTTTATTAAACCGGTTGAGTTACAGCTCATTGATATTCGATTTCAGTCGGTTTACATATTTTTAAAACCGAGTAAACCGAACCGAATCAGTTGTAATCGTTTCAATCCCGCCATAGATACCACGGGGCTGAGGTTCAATTCATTATGACTCATGGCGGAGAATCTCAGATTGTTGCATATGACCAGAGCAGTGGTTTCATTCAATCGATGTCTGACAGATAAAATTTCGTACCGAAGAGTTCCAGTCTTCTCTTACTTTACGGATTTTGTGAATCAAGTGAACGCAACTAGCACGACCAACTTTTCGTTTGTTTTCAAGGAATGTGCCAAGCAAGGAGCGCTAGAGCTGGGAAAGCAAACTCATGCTCATATGATACTATCTGGTTTTCGTCCCACTACATTCGTACTGAACTGTTTGATTCAGGTTTATACAAATTCTAGAGATTTCATGTCTGCTTCTATGGTGTTCGACAGAATGCCGCTTAGAGATGTTGTTTCGTGGAACAAAATGATTAATGGTTACGCCAAGAGTAATGACATGGCTAAAGCGAGTTCTTTCTTCGATAAGATGCCTGTGAGAGATGTTGTGTCGTGGAACTCAATGCTTTCTGGATATCTGCTGAACGGTGAGAGTTTGAAATCTATTGATATTTTCCTTGACATGGGGAGAGCAGGTATGGAGTTTGACGGTAGAACTTTTGCAATCATCCTTAAAGTGTGTTCCTATTTAGAGGAAACCAGTTTAGGAATGCAGATTCATGGGATTATTGTTCAAGTGGGTTGTGATACTGATGTGGTAGCTGCAAGTGCATTGTTGGATATGTATGCAAAAGGCAAGAGATTTGACGAGTCTCTTAGACTGTTTCAAGGTATTCCAGACAAGAACTCTGTCTCCTGGAGTGCTATAATCGCCGGTTGTGTTCAGAATAACTTGTTGCCCCTTGCTTTCAAGTTTTTCAAGGAGATGCAAAAGGTAAATGCTGGAGTGAGCCAGTCAATTTACGCTAGCGTCTTAAGGTCATGTGCTGCCTTATCCGAATTGAGATTAGGCTGTCAATTACATGCTCATGCCTTAAAGTCAGATTTTGCAGCAGATGGTATAGTGAGAACGGCCACATTGGATATGTATGCAAAGTGTGATAATATGCAAGATGCTCAAATTTTGTTTGACAAGTCAGAAAATCTTAATAGACAATCTTATAACGCAATGATTACTGGTTATTCACAGGAAGAACATGGTTTCAAAGCTCTAAGGTTGTTTCACGGACTAATGTCATCGGGTCTTGGTTTTGACGAAATAAGTTTATCAGGAGTGTTCAGGGCTTGTGCCTTAGTGAAAGGTCTTTCAGAGGGGCTTCAGCTTTATGGTTTGGCAATAAAAAGCAACTTATCGCTAGATGTTTGCGTTGCAAATGCTGCTATTGACATGTATGGGAAATGTCAAGCTCTGGCTGAAGCCTTTTGTGTATTTGATGAGATGGGAAGAAGAGATGCTGTGTCTTGGAATGCGATTATAGCAGCACATGAGCAAAACGGAAAAGGATTTGAAACGCTTTCTCTTTTTGTCTCGATGCTCCGTTCTAGGATTGAACCTGATGAGTTTACCTATGGAAGCGTATTAAAAGCTTGTGCTGGTAGTTCTTTGGGTTATGGAATGGAAATTCATTCCAGCATTGTCAAATCAGGAATGACTTCAAATTCCTCTGTTGGATGCTCTCTGATCGATATGTATTCGAAGTGTGGAATGATAGAAGAGGCTGAGAAGATACATCAGCGATTTTTTCTACCAGCTTATGTGTCGGGAACAATGGAAGAGCTTGAAAAGATGCACAATAAGAGACTGCAGGAAATGTGTGTCTCATGGAATTCAATAATTTCCGGATATGTAATGAAGGAACAAAGCGAGGATGCTCAGATGCTTTTTACCCGGATGATGGATATGGGTATAACTCCTGACAAATTTACTTATGCAACGGTTCTTGATACCTGTGCGAATCTAGCTTCCACTGGATTAGGTAAACAGATTCATGCTCACGTCATCAAGAAAGAATTGCAATCTGATGTGTATATCTGCAGCACCCTCGTTGACATGTACTCGAAATGTGGAGATCTCCATGATTCAAGATTGATGTTTGAGAAGGCGATGAGAAGAGATTTTGTGACCTGGAACGCCATGATTTGCGGGTATGCACATCATGGAAAAGGAGAGGAAGCTATACAACTGTTTGAGAGAATGATACTAGAAAACCTCAAACCAAATCACGTAACTTTCATATCGATACTCCGAGCTTGTGCTCATATGGGTCTAATCGACAAAGGACTCAAGTACTTCTACATGATGAAGAGAGACTATGGCTTGGATCCTCAGCTACCTCATTACTCGAACATGGTAGATATCTTAGGAAAATCTGGAAAAGTCAAGAGAGCATTAGAGCTTATTAGGGAGATGCCATACGAAGCAGACGATGTTATATGGAGAACCTTGTTAGGAGTCTGCACGATACATAGAAACAATGTAGAGATTGCAGAAGAAGCAACTGCTGCTCTGTTGAGATTGGATCCACAAGACTCTTCAGCATATACTCTTCTATCAAATGTATACGCAGATGCAGGAATGTGGGAAAAGGTCTCAGATTTGAGAAGAAGTATGAGAGGCTTTAAGCTTAAGAAGGAGCCTGGTTGCAGTTGGGTTGAGCTCAAAGATGAGCTTCATGTGTTTCTCGTTGGAGATAAGGCTCACCCGAGATGGGAAGAGATCTATGACGAGCTTGGTTTGGTTTATAGTGAAATGAAACCGTTTTGTGATTATTCTTTGGTGCCTGAGGTTGAAGGAAAAGAACAGAACAACTGGTGCTATTGGTAAATGTGTTTACTCTGGCAGTGATGTCGGTGCATTTACTTTAGTAATTTTTTCGCATAAATGTGTACAATGTATAGCTTTGTAATTTTGTACCATATAACTATGATATTGGCATATTGCTACGTTATTGACATTCTCAAAAGGGGTTAACTAGGGTTTAAGAAAATTACTTTGATCTATATTTAGTATTAATCCTAAGATAAAATCACTAGGAAAAATTATAAATGAGGAAACTAATAAGCTCACAAGTTCACAACAAAAAGAATCAGAAAAATGGGTAACAACGCCTAAGTAATATCAAAAATGGTTAAACAGATATAACAAAGTTCTTCATGAAGAGGCAACTCTTCTTGTAGACAAAACGTGATCTCTTGTGTAAGCATTTAGTGATTTGTCTTATGATGATGAAGAAATATCCTCAGTTGTTGTCTTCTGGCGTTTCAGATCAACCTTGTCTTTGAGGTTATCTTCTTGCTCTGCTTCTTCATCTTCTTCTTTAAGTTCTTCATGGTGTTGATTAAGATGACCATTAACTGCTTCATGACCAATCAGCGAAACATGTTTGCTAGTGATTTGGCGTCCAGCCCTAAGCTTTGGACCCCAATGTTTCTCTGGATTTGGCAGAAAACGAGCTATTTTCTTCGCCTGCGCCTTGCTCAACGAACCAATGTGACGCGAAAAATCAACCTGTCCAAACACAAGACGGTATCGAAAATCAGATTCAGGTTTGGAACAGTATTTAGATTCAAACAATTGAGAAAAAAGACGAGAAAAATACCTGATGTGATGGTTCTTTAGACAAAATTATGCTTCCGGGGTGTTCAGGGGATTGTGCCTTTATAGGATGATTCTTTACCTGCAACAAAACAGCATCAACCAAATAAATAAAAAAACCATCAAAAACAAGATTAGGTAAATTGAAATAAGGTCAAATCATGAATCATCAACTTAGTTTACCCAGCAGCGCATAATGTCCCAGATAATCTCCATAGGAGCATCAGTTTTCATGCCAAGCGGATTCACATGAGTCCCCGAGATTCTGTAATTAGCATTAATAACCGCTGATCGAAACATAGCAGCTGATGGTGAAATGCATTTTAGAGTCGCACAAAGATTATGCAGACTCAAAAACAGGGGAACATCAAGCAATTCCTGAAGAAAAAGATAGAAAGATAAAAATCAATATTAAAATGGGTTCTTCAGAAAACTTAACACCAAAAAAGAATCCAGCAACTTACCTCGGAGACTGTAGTAAGTACAGCAGAGATCCTGTCATAAGCAGGATATCTGTCTTTCATGGATTGCACACTGCTTAAAATCGAAGTCACCCATTCTGGATCATGAATTGGAGCAGACCATATTGGTCCACCCATGTTGTATTTCTTCCCACAGTGGCTGCAATCCTGCTGCACAACCGGACCAATTGCTGGTAGATACCTCACACTGTTGTTCTGCCCAAAAAACAAATGATGAAAAAATATTTAAATACGGTCTTAGGATAGAATTTAAACTACTTTGGAAGTGGCCTCACATATACTAGTTCCGAGAGTATTATAAAATGGTGGGAACTATGACATGCACTATTGACACACATAGAACCATAACAAGAATCATTGGCTATAGTCCAAGTTTCTATCATCTTAGGAGATGCATTGCATAGAAAAGAGAATGTGTGAATTTTTTTACAGGTGCATATACCTTAGGGAGGGATCTTCCGACAGGTTGAAGATGAAATGAATCACAGCCAATGCATTGATAAACGTAAGAAAGCTTCAATGGAGTGTTCTTCATTGCACTTGCCGAGCTGAAAATTTCATTAAGCTTTGAGGTTTCAGTGGATCAAAAACAAAACAAAAAAAAATTTCATAATCTGTATTGCTGAGATGTTACATGTTTTGATTAAACAAGGAAAACTCACGTGTAAACGCGGACAAAAACA